ATAAAAATTGGTTTTTGTCCAGGAAAGAAATTTTCCCGCGAACCTTGCATGAAATGAATCATTTCTTCAACAATGTAACATGTTAAATTAATTATTACAATCTGCAATATTTTCGCATCCCTGGTTGACTTTTCGTTTTGATTATGCGCATATGCGCCTAGTTAGGTATTCGCTCATGCAACATTGTCCATCTGTTGGGTTTGGGCGTCGACCTGCGCACCTGCCTTTATCTAGTTTAATTACCGTTATTCAGCTTTACCCAGTTCTTATTATGATTATTATCCGGCGTGCACTGGCCATTCGCGCTACCATTAATCTGTTTTCTACGCCGCCTTATTGTTGTTTGTTGGCAGCGGTGTGCGGTTAATAGAATTGTAACCAATGCCACCATATTCGGCAAGTATTATGCAAATTTTCTATTTGGCGCCTAGATTCTTCTGGTACGAGAATGAATGGGGCCGGTGTATTTGCCTACAACTGGAATGGCGTTCACGCATCAATGCTACCAATATGTATGTATATATCAAGTGGGTTTGACGAGCAGCAAACTGAATCCAAATATAAACAACATGCGCCAAAAGTCGAACAATAACACTTATGCACGACACGTTGGACGATGGTTTTGCAAAAATGTGGCCATCGGATACTTCCCAACACCCAACCACTCTCTTGGATGTTTGTGTGTGCGTGTTTTTTCATTGAAATTCTCTCCAATATCCAGTCTGTATCTTGCAGAGGTGTAAATGGTTGCAGCAATAATAAATATATACACATTATTACCATGCGATAATTGACAACTTCACAGAAAGTTTTTTTTCTCTGATCGTCGAACGAGGAAGTCCTTGCGATCCTAAAATTCGTCATTCCGTGTTTTATGCGTACCGACATCTTGCCAATTAAATATTCGACTCTTATTTTGACAATTGGCTTAATAATTATAATTATTATTAACGCTGAATTTTTTAATTTAATAATCAGCATCATAGTTTCGTGGATAAAATTTTTTCGTGTTCTAACGCCCGGTAAAATCATGAAATATTGAATTCGTTCGGTTTTTCCAAAGGCGAAATTATCATAAACCAATAATAGAAAGTTATGCGATTGGATCGGAATTTCAAAAAATTAAAAATGTTTCTTATATATGCCTTTAAGCTTATAATGTTCGAAAATTAGATGAAATTAAATATCTAAAATTGAATATTCACATCTGCATCGTGCACCCTTATATCACATAACGTTCTCATTTTCCGGAGGTGTCCCGTCGAACGTCGATACATATGTAACAAGGATAGATCAACACGTTTGATAATATGCTGTGCGTCCTATTTAATATGTCACTCATTATTGTGACAAACTTTCACGAATTCGACTCTCAATATCATGATTTATTGTTGTTTTATGCGTGTTCAATTAATGTGCAATCTCTCCGAATAATTTCAAGGTTAGAAATTTTGAATCATATTTGATGAGAGATTAGATCGCCATATTAAATTTGATATATTTATAATGAGAAAATAGATATACGATTCGAAATGTAGTTAATTTATAGTAGGGGTTCATTTGTTCTTGAAAATCTTTCATTTTTTAATTGATCATAAACGTTGATCAATGCTTTTCCATTTTTCTTTTTTAAATTGTGCACAAACCGTGCTCCGCTTTACACATGTTTGGTGACTCAATAGTAATATTTTCTTATGCAACTACTACGAAAATTCGTTATTACTCACTTTTCTGGCATTCTCCAAAGAAATCTACATTGGTAATTTGTTCCTCACAACTTGTACATTACTGTATAAACTTGTAACCATTATGTTTAATGTTCTACATCGTTTCATCCAATGAGTTTCATTTTGCAAACACTGGTTGGCTTATTGACAGAACTTGCCGAAGTGGGATTAATTCGTCAGACGCGGTAGTAGATTACTCATTTGCATTTTTGCCAAATATCGGGTCGCTATTAGCGGCAAAATAATTCATCTTGGGGAGCGAATGGGAGGAGGGGCACTTTTCTACGTTTCTAGACGAAATAATTAAATGCGAAAGTTCATTTGGAAAACGCAACAATATGGCGAACACTTAGAGTTTCGCCTACTTGAAATATCATCATACATTGCGTTCACTCATCCATTCACGCCCGCGCCGTTTTCGCGCGTCGGCAGAAGTTTCGTTGAGATCATTAACCCGATTTGCTAACAAATTCTGGACAATTCTTCCGAGACGAGGAGAGGAATTTCTCTCATCGCATTGTTTCATTATTGTATTTAGTTTTCTTGTCACTTTTTTTCAACATCCTTTCCCATCTTCTTCCTCAGCCAAAGCGATTATGGCTATTAGGGTCACTGCGATTCGATATCCTATAAGAGTAGTAGCACCAGCAGCATGATCTTTTGAACAAACATTATGGCTGGACATGCGTATATCACTGTTTTGCCAGTGTTTTGGTATGTCTAGGTTTACACTTTTTTTCGTTCCTACATTTGTTCCAAGATCGCGTCCACGATAAGAAGCTAATTCATTATTTCTGGATGTATAGATGAACGCGAAAACACTCAAAGTCGTGTTGCGCCGTTACTACATCTAAAGGAAAGTAAAAATCCGGCCGAGTCATTAGAAGGAATGAGAGGAAACAGTTCAAGTACCAAAACCATGTCCCTCATTCCAGAGAGGAAGAAACGCGAGTATCTCATTGTTATTGTTATTGTTGATGTTCGTCACGTTTCCGCGCAAATACCCACTTTTGGATTTGGCTTTCTCGTAAATCCTGTTGCCAGAAGTTGTGGTGCTCCACTTCACGCTGTTTGGCGGTTTGGTGCAAGTTTGGTGTGCTGCGATGTTGTGTATTTGTATACTGGTTTAGTCATTCGGTCTCGTCCCTCCTTTTATGTTTCTTTTACAAATATGACGGTGACATTTGGCGGCATTTAATATTGAGTATTGTTTCTATTGTACTAATTGATTTGTTATTACGGTTTTGCTTCCGACAAAGAGAAATGTCAATTTTTGCTGTGGTCGATTATATTCAATAGTTGAACGTGCAAATTTACTAAATCCAATAACCGTCAAAATATTCCACATCGCGTCATTGAAATCTTTTCTTCATCTGAGTTTCACAGAATTTTCACGGTTAATGGGATTATTGAATGATCGAATCGAACGCTTTTCGCAAATTTTCGATCAAAACGTTCATGCACGCGATGAGGCACTTATGCTGCGCTATTCAAATATTCACGAGATGTTCTAATAAATAATTGTCTCATACAAAATTGTTCAATCTAAAAAAAAGTGACTTAAAATATTATGCCAACTGGTTATGCTATTATTTTCAAAAAAAAACTACGATAATGGTCTCACTCTTTGAAAATCTTAGTGAAAGTCTAAAGAAAGTGAAAACATTAAGGGAAATTATTCAAAAATAAAAAAAAACCGCCTTTATTCAGATATTCGTGTTTCTCACTGCATTTCTTGAAAAATTCCCCGCTTTTTGCAATTGTAAAATGAGGTCTAAAACGAACAACTGAATTGTAAAACATGCCGTTTAAGGCAGCCCGAAAGTGGGTTTTTTAACCACGCGTTGCGAAACAATTTAATCGGAATAACAGGGTATGCAATTGAACTGACCTTGAGCACCGTTATTACTCGTTCAAAACGGGACGGGAGCTTATAATTTTCGGTTTACGACTTCGCCCATTTTTTTCCGTGTGTCGTCTTCTTCATATAATTTTTTTGTGGTTGCTGAATCGTGTGTTAATTATATTATTCTTTAATCGATTTGCATATCGATTTAGGTTTCGCTGGCCGCCGAAATTAAACAGACAGTTATTGTAATTCTTGAATTGATTCGACATGGATTGCGAGTGCCAATCCGCATTTTCTCATTTCCTTCTTCTTTTCCATTCCCCTCTTATGGAATTGATGCCTTAATTTTGGCTTCGAATAAAGACAATCGGCGGTGACGATTATCAAATTAAAATGCCATAAAATTATGAGTGTATGATCGGGATTGAATTTCAATTCGATAGATTTTCACGTTTCCCTTATCAAATTGAGCGATTCCGCATTTGATTGCGCTATTCAAATGAACTATTTCGATTTTATTCCGTTTCCCATCTATATCATTCTAACTCTTCTCACGGTATACTGTCATCCCTCCGTTTAACCCATTCTCAATTGTTTCGCTTTTCGTTAATCTTCTATTTGCCCTCAATTCCTCATTCCGATTTTTTTTATCTTTATTTCGTTCAGATTGATTCGCTAATTCAACAACGGAATTCCAAAAAGTGCAACGTAACATATGAGGTAGGACAAGAATTTTAACATTTTTTCACGCCCAATATTTATTCTGACACATGCTTAACCTTAGACTTTGCAAAATGTTTGCTCGATATGTTCGACGCTGATTGTTTATCAAAACAAACTTTACATAATCAACGCTCAGTTTTAGAGATTGGCGTTATCGATGCCTTCGCTATTATGAATTTCTTCATATCATCTTTCAGTAGTGCGTAAAATCAACCAAATTTTTGAAATTCCAACTTAACCTATTTTAATTCTGAAAATTGATTAGTTTGATTGTAATTATTTTGATTTTATATAAGGGAAGTAATTGAAAATAAATATTAAAAAATAGTGTGTTATTTTAGAAAAAAAAATAATTTTTAAAAATTTTAATTATATATTTAAGATTCGAACGATTTTAAAAAAGATTTTGTTGTTTTCGAACTAGAGTGGAAATTACTTAAAAATTATTAAAAATCAAAATGGAAAAATTTCAAAAACACCACCACTATGAAAAAAGTGTTCTAATTTATTCCCAGAATTTAATTTCCACTTAAAAATAATATTCTAAATGACCAATGTCCCAGATTACCGCGGTTTCCCAAATCTTTTTTATGATAATTATGCGATTTTCCACCTTATTGGCAAACGATAATGGGACCCGATTTTTTTCCAGTCAAACATTTTCTAATGTGAATCAGTTAACGGTGATTTATTAAAGGGACATGCAGCCACCCTCGATGGGTGTCAACGGATTCGGTCGCCGCAGTCACAATTTCTCGTCGCCATCGCTAGTGGACTACAGATCCCAACCATCTCATTATGGCTCGCAATCAAGCGTCAGTTGATTTTTCGAATGTTTTTCTTCTTCTTCTTGTGGGCTTTTGCTTTTTTTATTCTGACATCTCACCTTGCAAAAACTACAATTACACAATTATCGTATCGAATCATTTTCAATGCCTATACTTTTTGCATTAGCGTGACGAATCGCTGGGCAAACAGTCTAAAACGCCTCGAATCCCCCCACCGACCATTTGCGTCGCAATATGACAAAATGGTTTGCCTCTAAGGTATAACGATTATTACAGATATTTCAAAAAGCCGGCAATCAGTCGCCGCCTGACTACGCCCTTCTATTCGAGCAGCCTGTGGTGGTATTACGATCGAAAAAAGTACGATTCTCTCTTTTTCCTATGATTGCTCGCCAATACATATTAAAATTTGCAGCCTAGCACTGTGCGTTCCGCTAAAGAAGAATCACGTTTGAGATCCCAGCAGCCTCCCAACAATATACAAAGAGTTCAAGTTGTTCGGAGCCGGCCACAGAGCACGACGTCATATAATAGCCTTGGTAAGAAGTTGGCGCGATTCGCTAATGGATGAGAGCCCATTTGTCAGCTTTTAACACGTTATGGTACTATAATTTGATAGGCATTTTTGGCATTAGAGTGGTACGACTCATAAATTTAGCAATGCAAAGTTTTTGGAAAAGGAAAGTTCAACCGGTACTTGTCAAAATAGTGAAAAAAATTTTTTTGTTATTGTCGAGTTTTTCTGTTGGGAATAAATGTTTAGTAGTTGATTAACACAGAAAATTAATAAATCAAACAAACATTGAACATTTTAATAGAAATTACTAGTTAAGAAACATATCTAAAACTCAGATTTTTCCACCTTATTCTTATGTGTCTAGTGTCGGTTTTAAACGATTTATAAGGACAATGCTTTCTCTCTATCTCATCATAATCAAAAATAAATATGAATTTGTAAGTATATGCGTTGGTGAATCCGCAAAAATAGAGCACGCAAACACTCGCTTATTTTCCTCAGGCCAAGTATTATTTTTTGAATTCAGTCAGCAATACGAGATGAAAACCTCAATAATCAAGATTTTGTCAGAAAACTGTCAGATATTTGCAGCATCTTCGGGCATGGAAAACGTCCACTGGCGCAATTCAGTCATGTCGTCAGTAACTCCAGATACGCGACGACACACGTTGTATGACGATGATGATTCTCCAAGAGTTGTAAGTATTTTCATATAGTATTTCCCTTCTTTTTTATCAATTCAACAACTAACATGAAAGTATTTATTGAAGCAGAATGATTTTGGGAGATAGTTGTTAAATTATACGAAGCATTTCAATTAATCAGTGTCGAATTTGTGCGTGATGCTCAAAGACGAAATTGTGGGAATGGGTAGTAGATCATGGCGCGTTTTCCAGGGCGAAATCCTTGACGCCCATAGGCCATTGAGCGCTTTCCAGGGCGGAAGTGAAGGCGACCGTAGGCCATTGAACGTTTTCCTGGCCTAAGTCCGTGTCGGCCAATTGCCATCGAGCGCTTCGCCGCCATCGCATATCCCTTGATATCCTCGCCAGAAATGTCCGTGATGCTTCGCTTACCGGGGCTGAAAACTCGCAGTTAAATCATGCCATTCTGAGCTGATGCCGTACCGAAATCCGCTGCGTCCCAACGCTATGCTCCGCTTTCCCATGCTGACCTCTTCAAATCCTAATCGCTCGTCAGAGTCGTTCTCCTGCTCTTCGGAATAGTCGCCGTTCTCAGCAGCGGATGTCGGAACTGTGGTGCCAACCATGACAACATCGACCTCCTAGAACAATATCAGAACTTGGAAGCATTAAATACCAACCTTGGGGTCGTCATTCTTGATGAAGCGCACGTTGACGAGTTGGAACGTCGGTGCGATAATGCCGAAGACGATGAGAAGTGTGAGAAGAGCCCGCATTGTTTGAGGCAGCTTTTAGCTGAAGATCGAAGCCGATTTGCTTGGTGAAAATAATGCGCTTCTTAAAACGAAATTCGGTTTTTATATGCAATTTTGTAGAAGGGGGAGTGCCCTTAAACGGGGTTTGGTTGTTCAGCTCAAGGAGCAAGGAAGAGCAAAATGGGCGGAGTTTCAGAGAGGAATCGTGTCGACTGAAGAAGATTAGATGAAAACAGGCGTTCAGAGCACTTAATAAGGGCGTGGCTTCGCGAAGGCTACATGATTTCATGTTATTATGACGTGAATAATGATCGTTAAGGGAATTGATGTTACAGTATCGCTTAATGAGTGATATAATGGAGATTCGAGTTTTTTTTTATTGGCAGAAACATGAAGAAATTGACTACGTAGTTTGTAAATTAAACCAGACAGAGAAGATTTTTTGTTACCGTAGTTATTGCAGACCACAAATAAATATGAAAAGGGGGGCCCAAGAGATTTAATTATTCTTAAAATTGGGTTTGTTTTCAGGCTCGTCTCGAGTATTTTCAATGCGAGGAAAGCGATGTGCTTAAACGAGGACAGGAACAAGCTAATAAATTGATCGAATGGTATAAGGAAAGGCTGCAATCAGTACAGAAAAAAGCGCGACTCTTACAGCAAGGAAGTGTTTCTTTGGTAATAATTTCAAAAAAAATTATTTCTTTAAAAAAAATACAGAAGCTAAGAAAAATTTTTTGAACGACCAAATCTAAAGAAAATATTTTTGCCAACTGGAGATTGTTTGGCTGTCAGAGATTATTTTTCTGGTCGCCGACTACTGAAAAATAGAGCCGATTGCAACAATTTTTGTAGCCAATTTCCTTCGTCTTGTGCCACATTTTTTTTCTCGCTGTTTTCCAGGATCCAGCAGTTCACGAGCAAAAGCTGAATTTTCTACGGGCTCATATCACCGAACTCAATCGTCGAATGATCGCGGTGATGGAAACAAGCGATAAAGGATTCCCGACGCATATCAAGCCTGTGAGTTTTGATTTGGTGAATTCGGGACGCGACTTCACCTAATAATTATTATGTTGTTCTGAACACAATTTCAAAAGATTTTGTAGCCATATAACTACATTACATAACATTGCGGAAGAACAATTTCAAATATGAAAATGGTTTTCAGAAGAATGTGAGCTCTTCGGCAAACGATGACCAGCTTGTGTGGCTTCACAGACAAAATCAAAGGCTGAACCAGGTAAATTGAAAAAAAAAATTGGTGATGTGGAACGGTTCGTTTGAAACGAATCAATTTTGTTCTCGGGAAATTCGTATTCTCTCCGGCGGCGTAGTTTGCTTGAACGGCTTCGATTCACCGAGCTGTCATTCAACGTCAGAATTATCGTAAAACAAGCGTCATTAGGATGAATGTGAAATTCGAAAAACAAAATGACAACATTGGGCAAATTTGGCAAGAATCTTTGATTTCTTATGATATTTGTCTATTTATTTGGGGCGTGGACCCAGCCGAAAATAATATTCACTAAAAATTGAAAAATGTATTTTATTGTTCGAACCAAGTAGTTGCGCTGGAGTAAATATAAGAAGTCGAAAGGTTTTTTCATAGAAGAGAAAAATGTTAAGTCCAAATATAGAAGAGCTGATATCATTTTTTGAGACCCTCAGGATTCAGCCTAATTAGAGCCTTGAACTTTTTTTGGACTATAACATCCATTGTTGGCTTTTGTATATAGATTTTCAGAGTTTCAAGAATTTGTATGCTTGTGTGCAATATGATAGAAGTTTCTTTAAGAAAATAGGACATTAAAAACGAAGCTATCGTAAAAACGAAATTTTTAAAATTTTTAAAAGAATTGGTGAATTGCATAAAATCTTCATGAAAATATCAAATTTTGAAACATTTTTTTGGAATCAAAATTACTTCTGATTTTATTCTTCATTTCTGTGCGGTAGTTCTTAAAATTTTATCCATCATTCAACTAAAAAAAATTGTTTCTTCGACTCGCATTGCATTTTAGCTGGTTAACTTCATGAAAATTTATATGAAATTCCAAAAATCTTCTGACATTTTCACGAAATTTCTAGTGTCGTATTAAATCATTCCCTCTTGGAACAACACAATTTTTCTTTGTGTCGCATTGTGTGCGATATGTCAAGTGTAAAGAGCTCGAAGTATCATAGGACATGTTGCACCGAGTTGGTTCAACACATTCATTGATAAATGACGTTTGTTTTATCTTTTCGCCCATTGTTCTTTTTATTTATAGGAGCTCGCTGAGAAGACACAATTAATTGATCAACTTAAACGGGAGAATGAGATTGTGAAAAGGAAACAGCTTCAGCAGGCGCCACCACAACCGGAAAAGTTGAAACACTTGACTGACAGAAGCATGAAATCTTCAATTTCAGACCAGTGCCCATTATTCGGCCATCAGCGTTTGTACGTCCAGCATACCAGGCTTATCAAATCAATTCTCAAATCTACAATAATAATGCTCCCCAGAAAATCTATGATACGTTGATGTGAAATCTTCTAGAAAAATGAAATACGCTTGTAATATATTTCTTGCTCTACCCTTCAACCATAATTACGAATAAAATATATAATTCTTTGTGAATGTTTGGTACTTTGAAATGAAATATGCGACCGCATCCATTCCGTGAATAAATATTCATCAAAAGTCCACAAAAAATGATTTTTTGGAAGTAAAAGCGGCTTTGCATTTCCTTTCGCCAAAAAATTTTGACAACAGTTTGTCAGACTATTTTCGGCCTTTCAAAACTATTCCTATTTACATGCTTGGTTCATTCATATAAAATGAACTCGTGTTGTTTTTTTTTTCTGGAATTCATAGTTTCAACACTATTTCGTTTTTTGAAAATTTTGGTTTTTTTTAAATTCAAACTTCAAGTTTGCATGTATACTAAATCATACTTAAAAAATAAACAAGTATTACAGTTGGCTTTTAAACTAGTATTTCTACCATTGCGTAAAAACGAATACTCTTGGTATTTGTTTACCATCGATCTTCTTTCAGAACAATTATTTAAATTTAAACCTAAACAGTTTCAATTAGTGTACCGTACTACTGAAAACTTGCGAACAGTGAGTTTACACACGTTGCTCCTTTTTCGGCTATGGAAATATTGTTCTTGTAATATATCGCATAAAATGTTTGCGCATAACGAAATTAGCTAACCAAAGAAACTGGCAATTAGGGTCGCTGTCGAATTTTCCAATTGATATGATTTGATCTGGTGGCAATCGGCTATTCGAAAGGAACGATGCTGACGACTAATTTTTTAATTAGCAGAAGGCACGGCGACCACTTAGATGGCGCGAACCTCGAAATTTTCATGCAAAGACATCAAGAAACATTTGGCACTTTTCCAAGCTTTCAAAATTTTCAATCTAAGTAGATTAATCTGCTAATTTTAGTAAGTGTCCTCACTCGGCGTAAAACTTGCAACTTCTGCGCGGACCACAGAGTCCCAATGTATCAGGCTTGTTGTTCCGGCCAGCCCACCCGTCCCAGCTAAATCATCACTCGACTTAAAGCCGGCCACTGCCAAAAGAACCTCGGTCATCGACAGAATTGCATTATAATTTACGCCTAAATATATTTTCTCATTTCGAATATTTCAAATCATTCTGCAATGATTTATTTTTGCCGAACATCCCATTTTTCATCTCATCGTTGTTATTTCAACAACAATTGTTGCCAATTAAATGATGCAATTAGGTGCATCGCAATAAAAAAAAATCATCCGAAAAACACAGGTAAATTTATTTGATCGTCATGACTCGCTGACGTCGTAAAGCCTTGCTCTCCCAGATGCCGCCATTCCTCTCTGGCCGGCTCTTGGCAATTTTCAAAAAAGCCAACTGTTTGTTTTGATTACGCACCCGATTGTTTCATTGCGAAAAAGCAGTTGTCAACTGATTACGATTGTTCCAGAATTTTTTTTATTATATAATTTTTTCATCTATTTTTTTTCTAGTATTTTTGTTTTCAGATGTAGGTTTATGATTTATCGGTGCCTTCCATGTGCTATTATGACAGCGCCTGTTGATTTATGCACAATTGTAATGGTGTTTGAAACCTAGACTATTTTTTTTCAGCTTCTCTTCCAATAGCACCTCATCCAAGCGAGCCCACCCTCCTCTCCCCATTTGCTTATACTTTATATGGGCAGATACATACAAACAGTCTCGAATTTCATTGAAAATCGCGTGTTTGTTAATATTTCCTCGACACGTCTCCCCCAGCCATTTTCATCTTCGTGTTTGATCGTTGCACTGCCCTCGTGAGCTACAATTCTTTTGGAGCCGTTTCCTACATATTTTGTGTGCTCACAGTTGTTTTTTGTGTTTTGCTGTGCGGCGGTGCGTAGGCACTTTCAAACAATCACAGGCGACAATGGTTGAATAAGCATGAAAATTGATGGACAAGGAGGGGGATTTCGAATTCTGATAACATTCTTGACCTTCTGTAACCTATTGTTGTCGAAAAAGACACTCTTCAACAATACACGTGATGAATTTTGATTAGTCTACTCGTTGACGAGTTTTGTATTATTGCATATTTAAAAAAAAACCGAAAGATCGATTATTTAAAAATGTACATATTTTTCCAAAAATGGAGGAAGGACGGCTCAGTTTAAATTATTGATAATTTGGTTATCTGGAATTAACTTCAATGGAAAAATGACATTTCTGATTATTATGGCCTGAACATACAGTAATATAAAAAATACTAAAATTAATGTTATCATTCTATATGGGAAGTTTGTCTATTAGAATCACAACTATCTGCAGTGCCCAACATATTGAATTTTTGGGGAGCAAGAAAACACTGAAAAATTTTTCTACGGCTTCAATTGCACTGAGAAAAATGACAGGCTTCATGGAATTCTCAGTAAATGCATGATATGTTACAGCGGCAACAACTTTTCTTATTTGGGTGGATATTTTGGAAATAAATTCAGAAGAAATAAGAAAGTGTTCAAATTGTGCTTGCAAAATTTTCATACGTGAGTTAAATCTGGATGATGTCAGGTTTCATGATTGATCCATGCCCATAAAGGTACAAGGGTTCGTTCGTTTCATGAATTTTTCATTAAAACTCGTTTCAATTTTTTTCATACTTTCATAGCGCCTGATCTCACACGCTATTTTTCATCATTTTCAACGTCGAAATTCATTTTTTTTTCATTCAGATCCCTTATAGACGTCACATCGGTTATTAAAACGGATCTCAGATTGCATTTTTCACACACGTTTATTTGCGCGGCAAAGGACCCGTATATTTGTTGGACGCTCTCTGCTCTGCAGTTTTGACGTCGTCTCGAATTCTGTGACTTTGGCCGAAGCGCAACTCGACAGAAGCTCAGTACGTTCCTTGCGAGTTGATGTGAGTTTTGTTTATTATGAAAATGGGTTCTTTGCTTATATATTGATTAGTTAGAACACATTTCTTCAAAAGAAAAACGATTCAGAACAACTACACCAAATCATTATCACTCCGTCAAATGGCTAAAACCTCTGAAGTATGCATACTGCAGTTTTTTTTACCATTTAAACTGAGCTGGTTATGTAAAATAGCATAGCCAAAAATTACTGTATACATTGTTTTCTTTGTGCTTGCCTCCCCCCTCTATATCTTTAAAGTTATGAAAAATACATAGATTTTACGATCGCCTGTAGAAATTAATTTAAAAGACGTTCCAATTAATGAGATATTTTTGAAGTCTGTCATTTATTTTAGATTTCCTAGCTTCTAAAAATAATTTCTTTAAAACGCATTACCATTTCATAGAAGTCACCAGAAATGTGTTCATTGAGTTGAAAGGTTCAAAAATGAGTTCCGCTAACTTCGCATTTTCATTCTTGATATAGAAATTTGCATTTAAAAAAATCTATAGAAAATTGAATCAAAACTCAATAATTTCAAACTTTCTGGTATAGAATTATGATTTGTGCTTAGTGGGAACCCTTATAATTATAAATAATAAGTAATCCGATATTTTTTTAAACTATTTAGCAAACACCCACAAAGCTTAAATTTCTAAAATCGGAAATTAATTTATAAAACTTCCGGATTCTCAAGATTAGTAAAATCGAATTATTCATATTCCCATAGAAGCTTAAGCTTAGTCGCTTCTTCATTTTTTTCGCAGGGGTCCCCTTTTAACTATTGTAATCCGTTTTTGTGTTCCAAGCACAAAAAAACCATGATTCAATTTTCAACATGTTTTCATTCATATAAAGAGCAAGCGATTCGAACTGGCGTGAAAAAATGCTGTGTGACTTCCTAAACAATTTGCATGTACTTCATGCACTTCACAAACGCATTCAAATCAGGAAGAAGAATCTACGTGCACGTTGTCTTTTCACGTCATTTAAAGGAAATCGAATAGCATTTTAGGCAATATTCGATAATCCCAATAACCATAAATAAACCGAATATTAGGGCATCCTCATGTTTATTTTTTGGATGGCACACTTCAGAAATCTCATTTCACTTCTTATCTGAATTCACTCGCAACGAATCAGAGTTCGCAACGATCACAAAATGAGCTTGAAATTGCAACATTTTTTTCTTCAAGTGTCCTTTTTTGTCCTTTGCTTTGAATGAACTATTTGACCAGAATAACTCAGTCTACAGCAATTAAATATTGTATGCTTTCATCGAATTCAATTGAAAAATGTCCGTCTGGCAAGTAACTTTTTGTTCCCTTCTTTCCCGCCGAAAAAAAAAACGAGAGACGGTCCAGACTTAAACCAATTATTATTCAGGGCCGACATTAAAAACTTGTTGTATGTGTTTCTTTGGGGCTTAATGAAAAATGATCGGGTCTGATGAGACGTCTGCCAACCCATAAAACAGCAATAAACATGTGATTACTGGCCTTTAAGTTTCAAGTTATTGTGTTCCCTGAGACATCATCAATTCGATGTTGTATGTTGCGGGTACGACCCAGTTTCTCAAGTTTTCCACGCTTGCGTGCACACTTTTTTCTATCAGATATTGCTTATCATATGCACATATTTAAAAAAAAAGTTTATTAATATCTAAAATGTGGGATGTTTACAACAACCTTATAATTTTACAACTAATACCGTTGTTAAATCTTCAAGATCTTTGTCATAATCAGATTACACATAGTTTACAGATCCTGAAAATATTAGATATGTCAACAGAATTATGGTTTTTTTTTTTTGCATTCGTCATCCGCAAATATAAAATCGCATTTTGGACTATGGTCTTTTTTGGCTTCGGAGCAATCTAAAGTGCTCAAAATGTTCAACATTTTTATTTGCAAAATTTTCGAACTTTGGTGAGTTCGAAATAGTTCTTTCTTAGGTTTATGAAGTTTGAATGGCGGTAAAAAATTTCTAGTTTGATCTAGGTCATCCCTTAATAACTTTTCAACTAGAATTTGCACATACAGAAAATAAAGAAATTACGTTTTCCTTTTTTTAAAGAATGTAAATTTGTAAATTTCTAGAAATTTCATATTGAAAAGATGATGCCATCGTATTATATAAGTTAACGAGTAGAAATCAGCCATTCAATTTTTTTTTTGAATTTCATTTCGTAGAACTGACTACCTAATCATAAAAATAGTAAGAGCTCATTGACGTGAGAAGCAGTTTTTAATCTTGACTAAAAGGATCGGTGTATGATGCTTGTGCTGCTCGAGGACCACTGGTCTGAATTTTCTCAAGTTTGAATATGAATTGCTTCTCAAAAAAAAAATCGAAAATTGAAAAAATATTTCTACAAATTCACGAAATAGAGAAATGAAACAAATTTTCATTTGTGATTGCATCTGATGGCGACGGAGGGGCTAATAAATTAATTGAAATTGGAACAAATTGAGTTTAGATGATCCTATCTATTGCGCTACGCTGTCGTCACAATGGCATATACTTCACATTAAACCAATTACATTAAAAAAAAACCTCATGTTGGGTTTCGTTGGGTGTATGTGTGTGTCGTCTTGCACATATTCGTTTTCTTTTAGCCTCTCATTTCTCATATAATTTTTCTATTGGCTTGTGCGTGCCCAATAGGGTCCATAATTGTATGTTACCAAATAATTTCATTGGCAACACAAAATACGGAAAGTGCATGTTTTATTCGGCGGCCACGCCGATTGTGGTGGAGGGTGGGGAGGGGGTTACGGTAGATGGACTGCGCATGAAAAAGAAGGGAGAGCAGCTCCCCCCCCACCCCATCAATTTCTTTATTCCTCTATGGCTTTCGTTCATCTGGAAAAAACCGGGTGCCGTGCAAGGTTCTAAATGTTTACAATTTTAGTTTTTTTTTCAAAGCGTTAGAGCCAGCTGTTTGGCATTAAATAAACTAACATGCATCAGGTTTAGATAAATTGGACCCCGTTTTATACTATATACATATGTAATTCATTGTACTCCTACAATAGCGATTTCAGGCACATTTAGCTTTTAAAAATTTGGTAATGAGTTAGTAAAAGTAAAATTGGAACCGAAAGGCAAAAAAAAAAACAATTTTAAAATAATCCCATTCAAAATCTATTATTATTATTATCAATATTGCCACTACACAGTTATCAGTAGAAATCTGTTTTTCCACAAAATCTTACTCGATATGCTTGCTCCTTTGATATTCGATTTCAAATTCAGCTTATTTTGTTTTTTCACCCTGTAATCAATATAATAATATCTTAACTAACGACATTTCCTTCTATATAGCAAATTAATTTTATATTAAATTCGATATTACGAAAATAAATTATGATTTATTTTGGTGAACGGAAGATGGCATTCAAGAAGTTTCAATTCTTTAGACTCAAACATTTATTCTCGTTTTCCAAAATTCTGCACATTTTTAATGAGGAATCGTTTTTGCAAAGAAACTCCGGTGTTCCGAAATGCAACAAGCCGTCGAGAAAAAAACCAAACGGCCAATTTTTCTTGTTTCGTTCGATGCAACCGCCCGGTGTTCTCTCAATTACATGCCAAGTACTTTTACCAAAGAATAACGTGATTTCAAAAACAATTGAAATGTTTTGTCGTTTTCATTTATCTCGTGTTTCGGGCCGCATTTTTTTTTCGGTCACTGCATCAAACCATATGGTTTCGTCGCCGTCAGTAGCGTAAATCATGTTGTAAACACAACGAGAGCTCATTTCAATACGACTCATTATCAATTTTCTTTCGATTTAGTTTTATTTAGCTTGAAAAATAACGCTGAAAAGCTTTCATTAAAAAAAAAGAAGCTTTCGAACGTATTCCAATGCATTATAAATAGGTTCGACCTCAGATCTGTGCCTTCAGTTATTTGTGCGCTACGGAATTCATAGGATCACATTCATTAGTGTCTAAAAATGATATGAATGTAGTATGAATCCTGTTTCTCGACATTCTTCTGAATAAATAGAAAATACACTTGAATTGAATTTTTCGTTTACTTTCAAAACCCATCCCATTTTTCACAAATCCAACGATTTGGTTTTATTCAAAAATATGACACCTTCTCACAATTTTTTTGCTTATTCGTTCTCTCCTGAAAATTGTCTACATATACTTCATGTCCGAAATCCACACAATATCTTGTTTGAACCTGATGCCATTTATTTGCTCCTGTCAGAATATGACTACAATGCTTTTATTGGAAGGCGTCGCTCGAAATGACCTCAATTCAACGCCACTATTCATTATATATTCAAAAAAATAAGAAAATGTGAAGGAAGTGAAGTGGAAGTTTCTTGAAACACTGTCTGCTAGTAATGCATGCATACTCAATATTGAATAATAGGAAAAAAGTCATAAAAATATCATAATGGCTGAGTTGAACGAGTCTTTGGTCGGAAGCTTTCTGATAGATAGCTTTCTCTCGCAATTCATACTCCTGAGAATATCAAAGGCGAAAACTCCCGCCGAGATTTCATTATCATATTCGCATTCTTCACCTGCCATGCGCCTTTAATCCAACATAGTGTAGTTTCAAAAGGAGCGTGTAACAAGATTCGTCGAACGCTTCTGAAGCGGAAGGAAATTTCGCTAAAAAGGTTGAGGTGCGAGAAGTGACCTCAGAATAGCAAAAACAAAAATTACAAAAGATTAACTTTTTCTCTGCACTTTCTCTATGAAAGTTGAGACTTTTCAAACATCTTGACATTTGTAGGCCACCTTATGGAGTTCCTTCCGCTTGGTTTTCAATTTCTTCCGGATCATACTAGAATGTTTTGTCGATTCACGTGCTTTTTTTTTTCATTTCGCTTCGCGTATATATGTCCTATTGTTCCAATTATGGTAGGGCGAATTCTACAACCATTCTTGAGGGTACTCGTCTCAATGAAAAATGTGCATTGTGTCGTCGTTTTATGTATTTGATTCCTTACATCCCAATTTGCGTGGCGCCGACGAAAATTGTCGCGGGCATTTATTTTCACCGTCTGCCGGCTCATTTCCACGCCCACGACAAGCCTTCATTGTTCAATTTTTCCAGGTGTCAAAGAATGCGGTAACCACCTCGACGAGCGGAAAAGACCGGTTCAAACATGTCGTCGCTGTGTTCACAATTCATAATTGTGCTCCTCTACCTGAATGGCTGCCAATGTGCTGATATGGCATTCATCCCGTTGACCAAATCATTTCTCGACACACTCAAAAATGAGTCGCTGTACAATAAATTTGCAACACCAACCCAATATGACGGTAAGCCGAATTTACATTCTCTGTTGTATTTCATAAAGTACACCCCATTTCAATCAAGTTCACTTCAATCATTTTAATGCAGTTTTATTATGTATGTATACACATAACCGAATGAGCCCGTGTGCCGAAAACTGGTTGGGTTTTGCAGAAATTGGTGATGTGCATACATACATATACATATGAAGTTTTGATGGGAAATGTCTCAATTCTATCAAAAGTTTCGAACATCCTTTTTATGGGTTTATGAATTGCGCCCAACATAATTAGTTTCTTTCTTTTACTTCTTTTGGAATGCCGAATGAGCTTAGTTTATTTAAAAGGAATCACATAATCTAATTGTACATATTGGATGGTACAAAACGAAATTAGGTTAATGCGACATAAAAGGAAAATATGAAAGGATGGTTAGGTTCGAAAAGGAGTGAGAAGGAAACAGCGAATGTTCATACCTCTTTTTTATAATTAACCCATTTCTATCAATTTCGAACATTTCTTTTATTCATTAAATTAACAATCACACTTTGTTGAAAATTTTTATCTTTTCAATTTTTTCAACTAAAAATGAAAGGTTTCATTTTAGAGTATATTCGAATTCATGGTGCAGGTATGCAGAGGGTGCTTCTTAACTTTTGCTTTTTTTTCACACTTCTCACTTTGGCAATTTTTTATTCGTGTTTTATTTAGCTTTGCATTCTATGTACTGTAGCGCTTTTTTTTTCTAATATCGTATTCACATGGAATTCATGATATCTAGGCTACGCAGGCTGGAAAAAATAGCGAAGCCAGAATACATTTGAATGCGATTTTCAACTATGCTCTTAATAGAATGTCTGGAACTATTAACCAGCTAAAACTTTTACGAAATATTATTTACTTTGAATGTAGTGTTCTCTCACCGGTGCTGCACTAATACCACTCATGCCTAATCCTAACTTTCAACGATCAGGCTTCCGGTTGCAGTTTTATTCTAAACAAAACACTGTAGCTAGAACCTCTCTTAAACTTTAACAAATCTTATGATGACATTCCAGGTATTCCTACAAATGTTACGCTTTCGATGTTTATCGAAGGAATGAGTTCCTTCAGTAAGTGAAATCTAGAAAAAAAAGTAACTACCGTTATCTCATCATAGGTGCTCAAACGATGGATTATCACTTAGACGTGTACTTTCAAGAAGAATGGTATGATCATCGTCTAGCGCACAATGACTCGGCTCCGATTCTTGTTCGCGATTTGAATGTGTTCAAGATGATGTGGCATCCTGATGTCTACTTTGCGAATGCGAGATCTGCTTCATTTCAGGTCTCATTAATTTTTAGAGCATCGTTCTAAATATGTGGTTTTTAGGATATAACAGATGACAATTTTCTAGTCTGGGTTTATCCCAATGGTCGGGTTTGGTACGACGCACGAATTTCCATAGTAAGCGAATAGCCTTCATAATTGCAAACTTGTCATTTTTCTAGGTGAGCTCATGTAACATGGATTTGTGGAAATATCCTCTCGATTCCCAAGAATGTGCACTTCGCATCTTATCATGTTTGAGCTTTCGAACAGACAAAAAACTATTAATATTGTATTTCCAGATGCATATCCGATGTCAGTCTTGAGACTTCTTTGGTCGGAAAAGCCTGATGTTCCGGCAATTGATAGAAATCTTGACATTACAATGCCAGATATGTCTCTGAAAAGTATCAGAACAGGATATTGTAATGGCACATACGCAACAGGTAGCATAATAGGGGGAAAAATTGGATGTGTATGAGAAACGCATTAAGGAGAATGGAGCTGCATGACGGCCATTTTTTACGTGGAACGTGAGATGATGCATCATGTGATGCAAACTTATGTACCTACAGCTCTGATAGTGGTGATATCCTGGTTTGACTCGAATTCTCAATGTTTTTTTTAATTCTTAAACCCCAACAGGTTCAATTTTTGGCTAGAAATTGACTCTGCTCCGGCAAGAGTGTCCTTGAGTATTACTACTCTGCTCACGATATCGACGCAAGCAAATGCTGTGAAATTGGCGCTTCCTGAAGGTAGAAACGCTGAGCATATTAAATAGAAAACGTGCACAAATACGCATCACCTTCAGTGAGCTACATGAAAGCGATTGATGTTTGGATGGGATCCTGCATGGCATTCGTATTCGGCGTCATGATCGAATTCACAATTTGCCATTATGCAAAGAATTTGGAGCTTCTTCGCGGTGATGCTCAACCGTCGCTGATTGTTGACACGGCTCTGTCAACCCTTTTCGGAGCCGCGCGGGATATTGACGATTTGGTGCGAAAAGTGGCATCGCTTGTATGTTGCTTGCATTGCGTCACTGCGAACATCGATTGAAATTTTTGGAGTAGATGGAAAACAATTTTAGATAACTTATTATTTTTAATTTATTCAATCGATGTTAGTTTTCCTACTAACACTATTTACATACATTTAATCGTCTAACACAAAAAAAAACAGTTATAAGGTTTGCTTTGAAAATTTTTTGTTGCTTCAAATGATTCACTCTATTCACTATTTTGTTGGCTTTTCTTCACAGATCTTTGGTTTCAGGTTGAGGAGAATGTTTGGGTTGGTTTTTTTCTAACACTGTACCGATCTCTTTTTAGTTGATTACTAATAACAATGCTATTCCAATCGGACCCGCATGAAATATTGACCATACTCAGTTTTTCTAACAAATTTCAGCAATTTAGTTGGCTTGAGTTAGTAAAAACGTGCTGGCATTTTTCATGAATGACTCTTGGTTTTCTTCAGAATGAGGAGGATGTTGCAATGAGACCAGATGGCGAGCAGCATATTGCATTGAATATGCTCAATCCGGAGGAGCCGAGACTCCGATCATTGCACACAAACACCGACATTACTTCAAATGGAACAAGGTGCAGAATTCTGGAATTTTGATGGCTTAATGCTACTAAAATATGTCATAGTCATCAAAATTCTTAAATCGAATGGTTTCAGATATTTCGTCGGAACGGATCGAATGAAGCGCAAGCGCTCCAAGGCTTCTCTTTCTCGTCTCCGCCAACAGGTAGCAAGCATGCGCCACGCCGTGAGTTTTGCTCTGCCAACCATTTCTCTTTTCAAGCTTAAGTTTTGCTTCTGGCTTTGATCACCTTAATTACGTTCGACACCAATTTTTTCCAATTCACTCTGAAGTTTGGTGTGGTTTTTTTTTGCCTGAGTTTTACATTCATTCCAAAGGAATTAAAAAAGATTAATAGTTTTTCTTGCAAAGAAAAAGAAAATTGAATATGAGAGCTCTAGTATAATATTTTTTTAGACTATTGATGTCTCGAGACGAGCTTTCAACTGGACCCGAGCTCTTCGCAATCTTCGTGGAAGACGAGTCGCGCAGAGAATTGATGAAAGGTTAGAGAGTATGAAATTTAACAAATCATCATTTTTTTTTCGAATTCAGATGCCGCATTGTGTTTCCCGCCGTTTTCCTTCTATTCAACGTTGCATATTGGAGTTTCTACCTGGTTTTTAATTAATTCCATGAGATGTTTCATTTCAAAAAACACTGTGATGATCTCGTACGTTGTGTATCCGTCCCATCTCTTTAATATTCATTATACCAGTCGTAATATATATATACATATATATATGAACATTACTATAAAACTCGTTTCCTTCAACTTTTCGTTGAGCATTATTTTATGTACTATGTATTTTCAAATAAATGGTGAATTAATGTAAAGCGTTATTAATTGTGAGTGATGTCAACAGAATAAAATAAAAATTCAAATTAAAGCCAGCATGATTTGTTTGTTTTTTGTTGACCTTACACCACCTACATTTATTTGAATGCTTCAATACAAAAATTGATTCGCTCAAGCATCAGTTTTCGACCCTCACCCCTTACACTTCAACTATCTTCATTTGCTACGCTGAGGTACAGACGACGAGGCGAAATACTGCCAACTCGTGGTTGCGAAGCAGCCAGCAGTCGACAGATGGCCGCGTGGCGCAATGGATAACGCGTCTGCCTACGGAGCAGAAGATTGTAGGTTCGAATCCTGCCGTGGTCGAAACTTTTTTTTCACGTTTTTTTCGTTTTAATTCGGGGGTTGCCATGCGTCTCGTTAATTCGACCCCCACAATTCCTATATTTCACTAAGACGGAAACGATCGAAAGGCTCCCGTTTCCTTTAGCCCTGAGAGCCCCACTGCACGTTGGAAAATTATGTTGAAAAAAGGTGATCTGTGGAAGATCAGTTTTTAACCGGTAAATTATTTTTCGCTACCGTTTTATTACTATCGCTTTTCCACTCTCGATTTTTCACTAGCGAATTCTCACTACCAATTTTTCAAACAATATCTTTAATTTAGAGGTTGCAATTTCAGTCTGTTCTCAAAAAATTAAGCTTTGGTTAAATTCGAATAAAAATGTTTTGTAATATACTGATTTCATTTGCCCTATTTGCCCAAATCAATTGTTAGTCAAATAAAATAAGATCGTCCTAAATTTTAAAGAATATAAAATTATGAAACAAATTGTTTCATCTGACCAACGTGACACGTTTTAAAATGTGCCAAATTTATGGATAATATCTACCGAAGCCTATTTTTTTAAATCGACATTTTTTTGAAAACACACTGGTGTGAAAGTTAATGAAACATATGGACCCCTATAATTCCTTTTGGTAAAGGGACCCATAGAAAATTTTTTGGAATATTGGTAGTGAGAAATTAGACGAAATTAAAATTAGAAAACGGGAAGTTTTATCTTACGGAAGCGGAATGAAATAAGGCAAAGGCCTCAGGTATTTGCAAAACCAAATTTTTAGTAATAACACGATATTTATCAACATGAATCTTTACTGAACAACTTTTTTTATTCCAAAATTAGAAAAAAATTTTTTAATTGCACTACATTCCACTAAAATGTGTTTCCCAAAAAAAAAGCGGCTGCCACAATTTATTAAAATATACTCGAATTTTTTCATTATTATTTTTCGGAACCCAATGAATGTGATTGCGCATATTAAAACTAGAGAGTGTAGAATGAGGGAGGACCGGCATAGATACAAATAAAGGTTCACACCTAAGCGAGCCATAGGCGCTCCTAGCGAAAATTACGGTAGCCTAAGTTCAAATGTGCGCACGGGCTTATTAGAAAATTAGGATTAACTTTAATTATTTTTTATTTTTCCTAGAGTTTTTTGTCATTTATACATGCATCTTCTCAACAAATTTGTCCGCTTCGGTGAAGAACAGCTGGGATTGCGCGACATATGGAAGGCTCATTTCGTCGGCATATGTAAAAGCTCACGCAATCTCAAATTTCAAATGTTGCCAGCTGTAATGCTCTGATTTACTATTGTTTATAGAAAAATCAGATAGGGGGCGGGGTTTGATGAAGAGTTCCGGCCTTAACATCCGTCCTTGAACCTCAATTTGTTTCTCTTAAATGTAATTTTTATAATAATTCATATTAAGATTTTTCAGACATGCCTCAAGCTCTACCTGTGGGTTATCGCAATTGTAAATTGCCATTCTTTGGTAACAACTACGTCTACAGCCAACTATGCAACAATATTACCTGTTTCATTTTGATTGCCTTCGCTATCATCCTCGTGTGGAAGCACAAAATCGGAGAGCCAATGAGCTGCAAAAACAGAAACTTTACCAATATCGATCTCATTCCTCTGCTTGGAAACTCGGATGTTGATTGCTTTGCCGGAAAATTCAAGTTCGCCTTTAATGGTACAATGATTATTCCTGGAATTGGCCAGTATACACACGTGGCGTTGTTTCTCACTTCCATGATGTTTGTCGCGCTCAAGCTAATTTGGAATAAGTTGGAAAAGTCTACCGGTAGGATATCGAAACGAATCATCTTTGACATTTTTGTTTAATTTCAGATTTCTGGCTCGACGAATATTTGCAAATCACTATGAAGATCAAGGATCTCTCAGTGGAGCAAAGAACAAAGGGTGTAGAGGAAATGACGAATAAAATAAATGAGTACAAAAAGGCGTCAGGTTCCATATTTGGTAGCCGATCCCCGTAAGTGACGAATTTAAATTTCAAAATAATTATCATTTCGTACAGTCGTCTTAATGCATATGTCACTTTCAAACTGATGTGCATTGGATGCTTAGGATTGCAATTTATTTTGATGCGCTACATTACGGGAGATGGATTCAATCTTTTGTGGGGAATTAAGGTGTTTTAAGTTTATTAACATCAAAATAGCAGCCTATTTCAGAATTTGTCATCGAAATCATTGTGGACCTCTTTTGGAATGACTACGAATTTTCCTCATCGCATTAACTGTGGTGTTCACCCTCTGATTAGAGACGACGTTTATGTCTACACAACATCCTGTATCATCGGTCTCAATGTGCTGAATGATGTTTTGTTTTCGGCTCTTGCTATCTGGCTCTCTTTCGTTTTATTCTTCTTGGCTTTGGACTGCGCCAAATATATGTTCGAAATTGGCAGACATTCTCACACGAAGAAGCTCCTTAAAAAGGTAACATTTGACTTATCAGATGGCTCAGCAATGGCAAACCTTTTCCAGATCTACAATACGAATATTTCGAATGATCAGGCTGCTCGTTTCTACAATTACATTGGATTTGATGGTCTCGTTATCATGAAGACCGTATTTGACGTTTCGGACATTGTTGGCAAACATTTGATTCAAAATTTCATGGCCAACGAGATTGCGAAACGCTTCGAGGACGAAATTGGGGAAGATCAGAGATTAATGTTTTTCAGCAACATGAGAAATATGGGCGAATATACCAAGTTTGCCGCTGCTCTTGAAAAACTCTTCTAATGTTGCAAACTAGCACAACTCGTTGTTTTTTTAATGTTTTGCATTTTGTTTGTTGTTTCTAGTTAATTGTTGTTTCTACTTGTTAATAAAAGCATCGAAAAAGAAGTGAACAAGAAATAGAATGGCGTAAGAATATAAAAGGAATCGGCATCGTTCTATCATTCGTTTGTTATATCAAATCAACGATACAATTGTGTCTCAAATTTCGAGAATCTGCAATCTCAATTTTAGATAGTTATGCAATCATCCGATTCATGCGGCTGTAGCAATTTTCAGCTTTATTAGTATTAATATATTATCGTTTCTCAAGTTTCGTCTGAAAATATGTGGTTTTGGCTTTCGGGTTCGGAAAAGAGCAGCTTGACTTGCTGACATATGTATACAGTATTCCGTCGGCATATGTGCGAACTCATAGATATCTCAAATATCAAAAGCTTCAGTTAGAAGGCTATGATATACGACTGCTATGGTTATTGAATTACATTCAATAAATTATCGGATAACGTGAGCATTTTGAGATTCCCTTTGCTTTGTCTTTGACCTCTAAGCAGAACTCAAAGAAGCCGCAGAAGCAGGATAGTCAAATCTGCCCGACGAATCGCTCTATTGCAAGGCGAGTCGTAAAAAACCGAAAGTCGGACGGACATTCAATTAGCTCTTGGTACCATGCTTGTGTGATAAAAAATAAACTAAAAAAAAACGGAAAAAAAAAACTTTTTACGAAATACTAAAAACCGTTAGCTGAAAACAGTAATTCAAATGATATTTTCTATTATTTTTTTTCTTAAATCAACAACATCATATTATGTTAAATTTAAATGAGTCAACAAACTTATTGGGCTATCATGAACAACGTTTATTAACGTAATAAATTCATATCGATTTAGAAGACATATTTTCTGCATGCAGCATAACGACACGTTTGGTATGAGCAGTCCGCCATTCGCATGTATGTAGCATATCCAACTGGATTATTGAGCACAACCTGAGTATTATAATTATAATTTCAATTACAATTAGTATCATTATAAAAAAAAACAATTTTTGTATTACCTGTCCTTGAACATTTGTTGCGCTTGGCTCTCCTGGTGCAAATCCTTCATAAAAATCAAATGGTGTAAGATCGTCCCATTTGAAATATCCGTTATCAACTGTTAGACCGACAATAATGTTGTCTCGAGAAGAACCAGTAGAGATCCAATTTGAATTCGCTTCGTAAGCAATTCCTTTAAAATCAATTTTTGAAAAAGAAAACAAGTACTGTGAAAATACTCTGAATAAATGCAGATTCTGCAAAATTATGAACTGAAGCAAGTCTTCCTCCAAGAGATCTGCAGGTGTTCATAGCATTGTAATAGGTTATATTAGAGAGAATCTGAACAGTAATCATGATTTAGTGATAATTATTCAGTTATTACAATGAAGCAAGAGCAACTTGGCGGATGATACTGCCATCCATTGGCGCATGGAACGAAATCTTTAAAAAATGTTGTTTGGATTTTTTCCAAATATTTTTCCCTAAAACTTACTTAAATACTTCTGGACGCATGTTGGATATCCTGGTTTTGGCGTAATTGTAGTTGGTGGCTTTTTGGTGGTTTTAGGATTCGAATCAAATTCGCAAAGAGCGCTGTGAGGCTCAGCACATGGTTGAGCGTACCAGAAGCCGTTCATTCCAATTGTCAAACAGTAACCTCGTTCAACTCTAAATGGCTCTCCTTAAAAAAATAATTGGAAATTTTATGGATGAGACTCTTAGAAACCGACCGACCGCAAAATTTGTGTATCTTGGGGGAACACCGTCATCTCCTACAAAGTATTGGCCATTGGCAATAAATTCCAGCCAGGTGTGCCAGCTGGCATGTACTAAATTCATAAGTTAAAGAACAGTGTGATGCTTAAGATTGTACCTTGAACTTGCTCAGTGGCAAATTTGTTTTCAGCAGCAGTCAGTGGTGTTAATAATCGCGCGCCATATCCGTATGTCTGCTGACAAATTGACAATGATGTATTTCTGTCAAAGTCTGTTCCCAGATATGCGTAGCACCTGAAAAGCACCTGAAGTTTTCAATACATATTTTTTCTATTATATCTTACTTTCCATTGTAAACTTTTGTTCCACTTGGACAAGAAGCCTGTGCAAGTGAAATAATTAGCGAAGCAGTAATGATAAACGGGGCTCTCATTTTAAAATAAACTCAAAATCTTGCACTCGGTGCTTCATTTTATACAATTATTTCGTGACGTATTATCAATAGTCGATGGTCTGCCGATAAATCTTTATCGCAGTGATTCATTGGTAAAAATTTAAATGTCAATGCAGAATACCTGATAAGTTCTTTGTGGTTAATAAAATTGAAAATTATCATTACGATAATGAATATTAGAATTATAATTATAATTTGTGTTCAAAGTTGTTTATGAATTGACTTATTGAAATATGACTAAAACCTAGTAATTAATTGAATCAGATTACGGACTCCTTCGGTGTAAAGTTATTTTGTCGATGCCTTTTTCTGTTAGTTGTCCACATTTTACGTGAGTAAATTAGGTAAAACTAACAATTGTGAAATCACTGAATAAATTCAATAAAATTTTTTTAATTATGAAAAGTCTTTGGAATCGTGAAATAATAAATAAATGGAATGCAAAACAGTTTCGACCACGGCAGGATTCGAACCTACAATCTTCTGCTCCGTAGGCAGACGCGTTATCCATTGCGCCACGCGGCCAGGTGACAATTAATTATTGGACTGCGGTTATCTATTGGGGTGAAACACCAATCGCTGTTTACATTTTTCTTCGGAAAAAAGTATGATAAGCGCTGAATGTAAAATGAGAGGAGGCCATTCAAAAAAAGAAAAGTTGGTGGGAAATTTGAAAGTGGCTTACGAGAAAATAAGTTTCGAAATTCAATTATACATATTTAAATTATGCTAATCGCTTGAGGCTATTTAAAGATATGTTTTTCAGAATAATGTTCCCCAAAAAACGAAAAAAGGCAATTTTTTATTCTCCTTCAAAATGACAAAATTTGTTATTATTTCTTATCTACCAGACAATTTTTTGTACAAAAATGACAAAGCAGCCAGAAAGCTCAGTCAAATCTTTAAATATAGACGGTTGTCCGCACAGGTTTTACTCTCGAATATTCAATCAAAATGAAATGTGTTCGATTTTTGGTCTTTCAGCGCTCGTTTCGAAACCAACAGCATTTCATTATCATTTTGAAGGCAATGAACTGATAGGATATTAAGTTTCGTTATCACACGAGTTTCCATTTCAAGAAAATTATCATCACTGTTAGAATGAAATAGAATAGTTAGAATTTGAATAATACATCTAAAATGCAGAAATGGAGGAATCGCTTGCCTCGAGATATCATAGAATATAGTTAATATTTTTTGAAACTGAAAATTCGGTATTACCTTTATAGCGAATCGACACAATATGTTTCGTCCGTGTTGGGCTACGAATTAACTACTTAACTACCCGAGGATACACATTATCGTAATTAATTAACTTCTTATTGGTTTTCATCTTCTTTGTTCTTGGTGGAATATGGGGATTAAAAATTTGCGGCAATTACGTCATTTACATATTTAGATGTTTCCAAATAGACAAATGAGTATTTTATGCAAAACAAATTCAAAGCAGTTCAAATAAAAAAATATATACAATCAATATAAACACACATAAAAATTCAAGAAAGATTTAAATTAGAAGAAAACCTCAGACTCATTTGGATTGCTCAAGCGCCACTTGGCCAAAACTCTTTTCTGAAAGATAATTTTGCAATTTTCCTTCACATTTTTGGCATGTTCTAACCATTAATTCACTCCTTCGACGCGCAGATTCTCTTCCATTGTACCGTTTTCTTAATGATTTGCATAATTTTTTTCGAGCTGACTTCAAAAGTTGATACGATCTTCTTTTTTGGTTGCGTCGAAAACGACGACGCAAAATCCTCACCGGACTGTTATTTCGCACATTTTTTCTTGTGTCACATTCGCTCTTTGGACAAACTTCCGCATTGACACCGCTGCCCTATATTAAAGCGATCAGAACTAACCAATCTGCTGGAAAAAATGTAACCTCATTGAGAATTTTACAATACTCTGTTTCGCTTTGTCGGTTTGCTGCGGGTTGACAGAGCTGCACTGCTGATTGAAACTGCTCAGCCAATGATTCAATTTGAGAGTCCTACAATAATTGTCAGAAAATACATTTGTAATATTCACCACTCACATTAGTAGATTGGGTTCGTCCGGCTTGATTTCCTGTCTCGATTCTCGTCAGCTGGTCGCGCATGATTATTTCCAGTATTTTCAAAATATTTAAAAAATAAAATTTGAAAAATTCACAAAAATTGCAGATCCTCAGGTAAAACGGCTGTCAATTGTGATATAAGATGAAAATGTGAGCAATGGCCATGAATGAATGAGAAAGGCATCTCGGCACTGCGGGAAATTACCGTGCGACCTCTTTGTTTTCTAATTGTGCATTAATTTCCCCGAAACAACTTTCGCTATACCGAAAAATTATATGTTTTGGCGATAAAAACATTTTTTAAGGGATTTTATAACGAGAAATACAAATTATTTCATTACAAGAATTATTTACAGTTCTCGGTTACGGTGGTTTTGGTTACTTTTATGTCACACAATCACGTAACTTATTTTTGTTTTTTTTTTGTTTCAATTCTATACATCTTATTCACTTCAGAAATTAGAATACTGTATAATAGAGTTAAAGAATACATATACAAGTGTTTTAGTTACAAATCCAAATTTTCAATGTGATGATATCATCAAGTGCACACATTGTTCGAGGTTTCAAACCTACCAATACCTTGGGCTACCGTATATAAATTATTTCAGCAACAATTCGACTTTTTCTCAACATCTCTGAAGCATTGTTTAAGTTGTTTTTGAAAGATTTTACCGAGTTCATTTTTAGTCACAAAAATCTGAACAGTACCATTAAATACTTGAATGTTCGCGTTTTTCGGCGACTTTCGGTTTTTTTTACTACCCGCTCTACTAAATAACATAATGCTTTGCAATAGAGCGATTTGTCGGGCAGATTTGACTATCCTGCTTCTGCGGCTTCTTTGAGTTCTACATAGAGGTCAAAGACAAATGGCATCTCAAAATGCGCACGTTATCCGATAAATTATTGTATATAATTCAATAAATATAGCAGTCGTATATCATAGCCTTCTAACTGAAGCTTTTGATATTTGAGATATCTATGAGTTCGCACATATACCGACGGAATACTGTAAACATATGTCAGCAAGTCAAGCTGCTCTTTTCCGAACCCGAAAGCCAAAACCACATATTTTTAGACGAATCGTAAACAACATTATTGTCTAACCGTTGATAACGGATATTTCAAATGGGACGATCTTACACTGTTTGATTTTTATGAAGGATTTGCACTAGGAGAGCCAAGCGCAACAAATGTTCAAGGACAGGTAATACAAAAAAATATTTTTATAATGATACTAATTGTAATTGAAATTATAATTATAATACTCAGGTTGTGCTCAATAATCCAGTTGGATATGCTACATACATGCGAATGGCGGACTGCTCGTACCAAACCTGTCGTTATGCTGCATGCAGAAAATATGTCTTCTAAATCGATATGAATTTATTACGTTAATAAACGTTGTTCATGATAGCCCAATAAGTTTGTTGACTCATTTAAATTTAACATAATATGATGTTGTTGATTTAAGAAAAAAAATAATAGAAAATATCATTTGAATTACTGTTTTCAGCTAACGGTTTTTAGTATTTCGTTAAAAGTTTTTTTTTTTCCGTTTTTTCAGTTTATTTTTTATCACACAAGCATGGTACCAAGAACTACTTGAATGTTCGCCCGACTTTCGGTTTTTTTACTACCCGCTCTACTAAATAACATAATGCTTTGCAATAGAGCGATTTGTCGGGCAGATTTGACTATCCTGCTTCTGCGGCTTCTTTGAGTTCTGCATAGAGGTCAAAGACAAAGCAAAGGGAATCTCAAAATGCGTACTTGATCCGATAATTTATTGTATATAATTCAATAAATATAACAGTCGTATATCATAGCCTTCAAACTGAAGCTTTTGATATTTGAGATATCTATGAGTTCGCACATATGCCGACGGAATACTGTATACATATGTCAGCAAGTCAAGCTGCTCTTTTCCGAACCCGAAAACCGAACGCCACATATTTTTTTGACGAATCGTAAACTTGAGAAACGATGATATATTAATACTAATAAAGCTGAAAATTGCTTTTTGATATATGAAACGAATGATAGAACGATGCCGATTCCTTTTATATTCTTACGCCATACTTTTTCTTGTTCTTTTCTTTTTCGATGCTTTTATTAACAAGTAGAAACAACAACAATCAACTGGAAACAACAGACAAAAATGCAAAATAACAACAAAATTCAATATTAAAAAAAAAAAAAAACAAAAACAACAGTAATTGCTCATTCAGCTATGGGTTATCGACGAAAATGCGAACGTCCTTCATGTTCGAATCCTTGGTGTCATTTTCCCTCAACAACATCAGGTCATCTTCCTCTTTCTTATGGTAACTCGCGATCTCGTAGAGCACAATCATATGCAACAAATCGTAGGAAACGTCCTCCGAGATATCAAACACCGCTTTAATGATAAGAATGCCATTAAATCCAAGATATTTGCTGATTCGGCGAGCTCGGGAATTCGAAATGTCAAAAAGATAGAGCTAAAATATACAATTTGTTGTTTAATAGTTATCCGATTTTCATATTACTTCTTTGAGACGCTTTTTGATGTAACTATCCCGGCCATCATTCCACATGAATTTCAAAAGATCCAACACAACCATCAGCATCATGACAGAAATCCAGATTGAAAACAACGCAAGCAGAATATCAGCAAACAGATTGTATTCCATGAAGCACTTGAAATCCATTCGTGGGTAATCTTCATGTTGAACACGACAAATAGCTTCATGGGGCAAAAGCGCTGTAACTCCATGTCGCGGCGACTCAAAATAATTGTACAGGACCTGAAATTCGCAAATAGATTGAAAAGGTCACTCTTTGTTTGCCTTGAATCCCCAAACGGCGTGGAAGCTTTCCGTGACGATGAAAAGAGCACCAAACGTGAAAACAATGATCATGAACAATCCAATATACATGAGCTTCGTAAGAATGTAGTAATAAAAAATCCTATTGAAAATGTTATTTTTTTAACAAATCGAATAATCAACATACCTGTTTGATCCATTTTTCTGATTGATTTTAATCATTTTTTTCACCATTCTTTTTATCGATTTGGCTCTTTCCTCCGTCTTCTCATTTTTGATCGTATTGGCGATTTGCGAGCAGTCACTCAAGGAAGATTCTGAAGATAAAAATTATTTAATTACTCATTTTTCTACTCACCAACATGAGATTCCATATACATAAACAAACGTCTCAAAAATAAGAACACAATCGCAAACATGCCCAGAACGACTGGACAAATCATGGTGACCATTGGGAGTCTCACATCCTTGTAGCCAATCATGTAAATGTTATCTTCAGAGTTGCATTTTGATTTGTAGAAATCGACAGTCGTTTGGTTGAAAGCATTCGATGGTGAGGAAAGATTTTCGTAGTTGCATTGAATTGAAGTACCCAAGAGCGATTTGACCAACAGGGTGACGGCGAAGATCAGCAGAATGAGTGCTGTCAGATGGTTGATCCATTCGTAGATGCCATATTTACCGAAAAAGGGCAGCTTGAAGGGGCGAATACCCGATGGTTTTTGAGACATTGCTGAAAAAATTATACATGGAATAAAAAATAATAAAATTGAAACGGAAAACAAATGACAATGTTGTAGAGAAAAAATGGAGAATTTGAAGAGTGATCAACTGGTTGAGATTGCGCGCGATGAAGCCGACTCTAGAAGACACGCCCCAATCCCATATGGTTTCTCGATAAACAGTCGTAAATCAAAGCCAAACACATCTGGAAAATTTTGAAATTTGATCCTTGCTTTGACTTTTACAATTGCCGAAGTTGTATCCTTTATAACTGCCATATGTCGCGCAATTCCATATGCTTTTTTCCAAAATTACTGACAATAAAAAGGGAGATTCTAATTTGATTTACAACGGAATACATAAATCCGGAAGATGGAGAGTTGACGATGAGTCCACAACTGATATACAAAAACTGTACATCTGCATTTTCTCAACAGAGAGCTTGAAGTGGAGCAGATTTACAAGAGAATGACAGCCTGCTTATAGAAAAGCTCAACTGACATTATGAAAGATGCGAAAAAAAAGAAAAGCACCGAAAATATTTTTTTTAATAATTTAAAAATTAATCCTGACTTTTTTAGGCCACGAGCACACGGAAACTTCGGCTACCGTAATTTTCGCCAGATGAGCCTCATTCTCGTTTAGGTGTGAACCTTTATTTTCATCTGTGTCACTCTCCTGTTTTCCACACTCCATAGCTTCAATATGCGCAATCATATTAATTGCGCGTTCGAAAACATTGCTATTGTGCTTCCCGGCGAACTTGGTTTTAAATAGTCTTGTATTCTACACTCAATACAAGACACTACAGTCTCGAAACTATCTCGGAAATGTTTTCTTTGTGTGAACTGAGATAATAATGAAAAGTCCGTTTACTGAAAAAAAAAATCTGATATGGAAGCAAAAATAAAGCTATGTAGAATAGTGGAATGGAATTATGATGATATTCATGAATATAGAAATTGCGGAACAAAATAAAAACAGTTTCGACCACGGCAGGATTCGAACCTACAATCTTCTGCTCCGTAGGCAGACGCGTTATCCATTGCGCCACGCAGCCAGCTGGACATACTGCGGTTGCGTCGAAACTAATTGCAGCACGTGTGTGTATGAGCGCGTTTCATTTCACTACGTGATAATTTCGCACAACTAGTCTCAAACGATGGCCGAATTTCAACACGTTCGCTTTTTTCGGCCAGTTGCAAAACATTTTTTAAAAATTAATATTGAAATAACTAGTGAGCTGAATTAACCAAACATTTGCGAAAGAGGACGAAAATGATTGAAGGAAATTGTTCAATAGCAAAACAGTTTTAACTACACATATAAAAAGAGATTTTTCTTCGAAAAAATCACAAATGTTTGTTCATTGGGCTGTTTTGGTCCCTTTCAATTGGCACATGTTGTGTGGCCGTGGCCGACTTGCAAATGGCCAGTGATAGTATCAACAGAGTCTAGCATTAACAACTAGCAAAATCAGAATTCACAATGGCTGACTCATAAACAAAATATTTGCATCTGTTGTTGGATATAGGACGGTGCCCATCAATGACGTTCTCCTTTCTTTCTTCATTCTCCGAATTGTAGCCCTCATTGAAGCAATCTGTTTCCAGGATGTGCCGGTAGAGACATTCTTCGACCTTCTGCTAATTTCGATTTCCTCAATATTAAAAATTATGTATTAAATGAATGGATGTATTATAACTGATTCATCCGCTCTTATCGAACACTCCATCTATAGTACTTCCTTTAGAGTTTTGCTTTTGTAGAAACAAATCATATTTTTTTCTTTTCGTCACCATTCTGTAAATTCATATTGTTCTTTAATTTCAATTTAATTTGTTATGATACTATGCAACTTGCAGAAAAAGCTCCATAAACCCCCTTTGAAGCTTACAGTAGCACAGTTTTTTTTTTTCATAAATCGCCACAAGACTCATAAAAAGTTGTTGAATGCACCTTTAACTGTAAGGATTTTATTTTTTTTAAGTCCCAGTTTTTTTTTAATATTTGTTAATGTCAGCCTTATGAATAATCGCTCAATAAAGAATATTCTTCACATTATTAGTGTTTTAGTGTAAATTCATTGCGTGCAAAATGTCTCTTCAAACATACATGTTTCCGCGTTTTTTAATAAGTGACTTATTATGTTATAATATAAGTGCAAAATATCTAAACCTTATAGTCATGGAGCATGGAGATTTGCCAAATCAATCAGCTGGATCATAACTTGAAAAAATATAAACCTTCCATAAATGGAGTGTTTGGACACTGAAGAATTATCTGATTTTATTTCCGTCAATTATTGACACAATGTGATTGATTTCAATGAGTAGTCCTTGAAGGAATATCCGTTTTTATAAAAATAGAAGCTCGTTTGTTGACTTGAATTATTTTCACAGCATTTACCAGATTATAAAGAAATTGTTTAAATTGTTCGACGACGAATGCTTGAAAGCCGCAGGACTGAAAATGCTCTTCACGATTATTTTTCATCGTTTTTTTTTGTTTTCATCTGCAAAACGAATTTATTTTTGTAGTAGTTGATTTCTTGGTGAAATATTTAATGAAACGCAGTTTTTTCAATAATCTAGAACCCTCTGCAAATCAAAATCTGTTAATCATATATATATATATATATATATATATATATATATATATATATATATATATATATATATATATATATATATATATATATATATATATATATATATATATATATATATATATGTATATAAAGATAAATGATAATGTAACTTTATTTAATAATTTCATTACAAGAATAATCTATTTATTATGCAGCATATTTTGCGACAAGCATTACTATGAAGAGCAGGAGAGAATTTGGGATAAGATAGAATTTTGTTATTCGGAGGAATATTAGTTAACTAGTTAATAAACTCAAAGCAAAGAAAAGATTTTTAAGCTTCGTTGCTGAGTTTAAGTGGCTGGTTTGATTCGTCAACCAATACGTAGGTCTTATCCGGTCGCTGCTCTGGAATGTGAGCTCCGACAAAAAAGTGGTACGACCAGGCTCCCAAGACGGCACCGAATAATGGAGCAATGACAGGAATCCAAAAGTAGTAATTGTGATAACTGAAATCCAAAAATGAAATAATCAGTAGTTTTCAATAATAAAAACCTGAATACTCCAGTTCCATAGATGAAAGCACTGAAGATTCGTGGTCCGAGATCACGAGCTGGGTTAATTGGGTATCCAAGGTTCATTCCGTAGGCGGTTCCGATCATTACAAGAACGAGACCAAACAAGAGTGGGTGAGCCGATGCTGGAATTCCATTTCTCTTGTCAATAATGACACAGACGAACAAGACAAGAAGGTAGGTTCCGATAACCTGAAAATTATTAGTTTTATATTATTTCAACTTTGGCAACGCCCACTTGATCAATGAATGAGGTGGTGTTGGTGACGTGGAATGCGGGGTATGAGCAGAAGCATCCGGCAGTTGCCTTGGTTCCGGTGATGGTACGGTACGGTCCGGCAAACTTCTCAAATTGGTCTGAAGAATCGATTCTTTTGTCTGCATAGTTTCCTATTGATTACCATAATAGGCCAAGTAAGCCACTCCCGATCCAGCAAAAGCACCCAAAGTTTGAACAATGCAGTAAACGACGAAATCCTTGATGGACAATTTGCCAAGGGTGACCATTGCAAGTGACACAGCGGGGTTGAAGTGTCCGCCTGAAAATGGTTCCTTAGTTGGCGATTATTTTTCAAACTTCATCCTCAATTTGTACTTTGTGCTTCTAAATTTTGGCTTATCATCTATGCAATGAATTCTAATTATGAATTACACATTCGCGTCATAAAAAAATCGTTTCGACCACGGCAGGATTCGAACCTACAATCTTCTGCTCCGTAGGCAGACGCGTTATCCATTGCGCCACGCGGCCACATTTCAACTAGCATTCTTTCGCATTATAACAACTGGACGACAAAACGCGTTGTATACTGCCAAACCCTCTCAAGTCTTTCTTACTCTCTAATGGCATCGTCTGGCAAATTGTGCGTTTTTTTTCTTCGTTGTTTCGAAGATATGAAAGGGATAGATAATGCACAAAAAAACGCTCACCAGAGGTTTTGGCACACATGTAAACGGTGAATGCGATAGCAAGTCCCCATCCGAAGTTGATCTAAAAAATATTGAAGAAAACTTCAAGGCTTAACAATCTATATTTACGTTGATCCAGGTGTTCAGTTTCTCGTGGGAAAGGATGAACTGCATGACGATTGCCAAGCCAATAGCCTAAGAAAATTATAAAATCAGTCTTCTAGATTATCTTTTGAAACTTACAATAAGAAGGAAAGTTCCGAAGAATTCCGAAAGCGCATTTCGCAGTAATTGATTTTTGATGCGAATTTTCGCGCGGAGTTTCTCCGTAGGCTCAACCTCGTTTGCCATCTGAAATCAATTTTTAATAGTAATTTGATTCAAACATTTTCTGGAAAATGAATGCGGATTGGTTGACGGAATTGATATGCGCAGGTGGAGGGAGAAGATGTTTAGTGCGCAGGCAAAGAATAAGCATTAATTCGAAAATCGATGAGAGAGCCGAGCGCGGCGGCAAAAATGCAGTCGTTCGCGGAACTGAATGTGTGAAACTTTAATTCTTCAATGTTCGTCGGCCATTTCGTTTCGGAAATCTCATAAAACATATGGCATAATAAAATATATGGTTTCAGTTTATTTATTATTTCGTTCCACGAATCGAATTCCGCTTTTTTTTTGGTTGCAAAAAAAACCGTAAAATGATGTGGCCAATTTTTTTTCCGAAAGTGTAGGGTTCATTTTCTCAAACAAAACAAAGAGACGAAAAGAAACGAACATGCGTTTTCATCTTGTTGAGAGAAATGATTCGGCCAATATTTCTTGGCCGAAAATTATGAAGACTGCTGAGGGAGGACAATTTTCCAATAGGCGTGGCCTGAGCGACACTACTTTCACAACATTCTATCCCAGCGGCATACATTTAGTTCAGTTAATGAAAATGTCACAATTTCAGTTTGACACGATATTCGCTTCGGTTTCTATGGGAGACGTGACTTCATCGATTTTTCAAAGGACTCCTTATCGCTTCTATCAGTTTATCATTTTCAATGAAAAACTAAACGCAACACCTTTGGGTCTTTTGAAGTGGATGAAACACAAAACCCCAACAACTATTATTAGTTCGAAAATGTGTATGAATGAGGTGGTTCGAGAATGTTACACTAGCGGTCGGTCAAAAATCTTTTTTTTTTCTATTTGTTGACGTCTAGAGTGTTTCGTTTATTGGAAATTAACAGATAACGGATATTTCGTCACTGATTCTGGAAATTTTTTTTCAATAATTTTAGTGTTACGTCTGAAATTCGAATTTCAACAAGCTGCTTTGCTCGAATTTCAACAAGCTGCTCTCAAAGGAATTTTGAAACTGAAAAGATTGAAATAGAAAAATTACCCGAATGTTTGTTGCAGTTCCAGTTGACATTTTCGAGCTCAGTTACAGCTACTAAAATTGGAGATTGTCTAAATACCAAATGCGGCAAGAAATGGCCGCCAACTTTTTTCTTTGGACGCTCTCTCCTTCTTCTCTTTCTCTTTCTACTTTTTTTTTTCAAAACATCAGATAGGGCATTGCAGATACAGAAACTAAGTTTGGTTGGTTGAATCGGTTTATTCGCGAGACTTCTAACGAGTCCGTTGTTTTTTGGTGCCCAAATTTTGGCGTTGCGGCGGAGGCATAAAAGTTAGCGAAAGAAGATGCACAATGGCGGGATGTGAATATCCGCTGAGATTGGCTAGCAAGATGTTTCTTCTTCTCGAGAATATCACTGATCACAATTTGAACTTTAACACACGACAAATTTCAAAAGGGCAAATTTCAATGTTTTGAGAAAACATCAACAAAATCCTTAGAGTTGCGGCGAACTAATACGATTAGATCTTAAAATTCACTACTGACTACAAAATCAATTTTGATTCTATTAGGTTTAAAGGAAATCTTTGATTGTCATCAATCTCAGCCCGTTTCGAATGTTGAATATTGAACAAAACCTGGAATTCAAGTCTAAAACGGGTAACAATCGAGCTAGTTAAGACTCTCAAAAAGCGGCTTTTATGGGCTCCATGTAGCTCCTAAAGGACACGTAGGCACACCGCGAAAACAAAAGAGGCGGATAAGACGGACAGCCAATTTTTCAATCCGCAGAAGCTTCTCCAACCTTCTGTAATTGCTATGTACAGAGGGCGAGCTTGAGAAGGATGAAAAATTAGCCCGAATCCGTCATGTGCAGTGGCAAAGCGTAAATTGAATCAACACCAAAAGAGTGTTTCTATAGATGGATTACGAATGGATTGCGGTCTCGGAATGAACGAAGGGGCATATTCATTGATCGGGGGGTTAGATAAGATCACATTGGAATGTGTTTATCATGCCAACCTTGGATACTCGATTAAATTGGTATAAATTATTTGTTGAAACCGAACTCATATGTGTGATATTTCTGGAAAGGAAATACTTTTGCTCTGGAGTAAGCACATTGAGATTTCTGAAATAATTGTTCTCGCAATATGAAACATGTTTTTTATTGAGAACCACAATGTTCCAGACAATACATTAAGATTCTTGCACTTTGGCAACTTTTTCGTAATAAAAACTTGCAATTGAGAATTATCTGAAATTCCGTCACTGAAAAACTAAATCAGATAAAACCACACAATATGAACTTGATAGTTTCACTGAAACCTTGAGATCAAAAAAACATCTTGCAAATAATTTTTTTGGATTATAAATTTTAAGATACCACTATTTTATTGATAAATTAATAGGAAAGCGTTTATGATAGTTTTCGCAGTCGTTGGAGCTTGCAAAAATAGCATTACAGAGCAGGAAGCAAACTGAAGCAATTCGGAAATTTCTATCATGTAGGTCCTCGCAGTGTAAAGTTGTTCACGCACAAAAAAAGTCGTTTTTTTTCAAGCATGAAAATTTGATGGGACGTGCATTTTTTGAAATTGGTGCACAATTCACTAGCAGGAATGAGCTGTTGTGAAAGGAAACAGGTGAACGTAACATGTTGGTTGGTATATAGATAAAACGAAAATGGAAAAAGTTCTTTCTGAGCATATTGACGTTGGCATAATTTGATTGAAGTGTGTACGTGAAGATATGAAACTAAACGTGAATGTGCGTCGCTTCGCATCCACCCTCTTCTCTAATCCTCTTTCTATTTCCTCAAAAAAAGAGTCGTTTTATGTATGAAGTTGAAGCATCTTGCCCTTTGAGTCATTGCAAAATATTGTGGAAAATTCGAAGCTTATTCAGCGTTATTTCAGTTTGATTTACTGGAAAGTTGAGGACAAACGGCCGAATTAGGCGAATGTTTCGGCAGAATGTGGGAAAATTGAATGCAGATTATACGTTCCACCGAATTCCTGAATTTGCGCGAATCAAAATTATAGGGTTCGTTGATTGACAAGAATTATTGGATGGAATATGAGGCTGGTTTGAGGGCAATTTCTACAATTTTGTGTCTCTTCGGCAGTCATTGAAAAAAAAAACACAACGGAAAAAAAAACAACAACATAAATAATGAGTGTGTTCCGCCGAAATTTCCAGAAAGAAATGATGCAATTTTTGGTTTCGATGTGGCCGCCACGCAGTGGTTACGAAATGTGAAGCTGCGAAGCGAATTGCATCATTCGAACACGAGCATGTAGTAATTAGGAGTTAGGAATGGACAACTGGAAAATGCAGAGGAGGCGGGGGGGGACAGGAAAGCTAGGCGACTTTATGTTATTGCAGAACGTCGCTAGTGAATTTGAAAAGTGCAAACAAAAATTTGGACTTTGAAATCAAATGATCCGAAAATTTGAAGTTTAAATATATTTTTACAGTTGGGCATGGTAAATTTTTTTTTCTTCAGTTCACTGAAGGCCAATGGTCAAAGGTAAACGTTTAATAGCCCAATTCCATGAAACATCATTAGTATAGTAGGTTTCCAAAAAAATGCCGTAATTATTGTCGGCGTCAAACGACTGAAGGGACGGGGGCATTCAAACTCGCGAAATCAGTGTAGATTTAAATTTTTAGTTGACTGAATATTAAATGTGCGTACACTATAATGCAATGTACGCAGTCTCGTGTACTTCTCACTGCCTCGAGACGCATTGGCACATAGCCAATAATTTTTTTTAATTTCGTCAAGTCGTTTGACTTCGACAATACTTGTGTGTCTTTCGAACACCTTTATGTTAATTTTAATCGCAATTCGTCTAAACTAAAAGATCTTGCAGAGAAAAATTCTGGTAAGCTCTTATTTGCATAACTCTCATTTTTTTAATGACGGGCATTTTTTATAGATATAAGTGGGAAGTACAATTAAATTTTTCTGCTGGAAAGATCCAGAAAATAATTTTAAATTTTGAATCGTTCCCCCTAATAGAATTAATCGAAAATGTGGCGGCATTTTTCAAAATGATCTTCGTGCTTTCAAAATTGAATCCAATCGTCTTATATATGAAAAATTTAATAAATGTGCTTCGATTGTAGGCTTTGAGGAAATATGTCGAATTGTGGAATGTGCTGATGTCAAATCGAGACAGCAGCCGAACTCATTTTTTATCAAAGCGTACACAACTTTGCAGGATAATTAATGTCATCGCAAAGCGGCGCCAATTTGATGATGATATTATTGAGAACACTTGTCTACCTGATTCGTTGTAATATGGTTATCTGCTATCAGAATGGGTTTTGATCTCGGTTTCAAAAAATGAGATGTTTCGTTACAACTAAATAGTTCGATGTTTCTGCAAACCCTTGGTACTGTTTTTTAATGAAAAGGAGAAGAAGGTAGAAAGGCTCGAAAAATTTTAACGTTCGACTATAGAGCATAGACGTTGAGGAATTGAGTTTCACATCTTCCCAAAATGAAAAGCTTTTTTGTTAATGAAAAAAAAATTTTAATGCACTCTGGCAAAACAAAAACCCACACATTTAGGAAATTTGCATCAAAGTGCATTTTGGGCGTCGCCACCAAAGAAAAATATTTATATTTTCTATATCATGTGCACATTCTTTGTGAATTCAATTAATTGTAGCTGTTATTTTCCGTAGTGTTGACCCCTCTATTTTTCTCGAAACAAAGGCTTAGGTTGACTGGCTTTTGAAGGGGGGTTAACAATTCAACAAAATTCCCTGGTGGACATTTGTCAAATGTCAAAATATTTATTTTGGTGGCAACGCAAAATAAACTTGAAAAACATCATTTTGATTTGTGAACCATCCCTCAACGCCTACACTCAAAAATAACACAAATCGAGTTCGACTTTTGAACTTGCCTACACAATTTTGGACTTTTCTCGTCTAAAAAAGTTTCTTTCTTGCAAGTATATTTGTCAACTTGCATCAAATCACGACTTTAGCGGATTCCACCGACGCCGTGTCCTTGTCGTCAGCTATTGTTTCATCAATCATTTTCCACTATCAAATCGCTAACTCGCAATAACAGCGAAAGTAGACGTGCGGTTTTGGAAACTTGAAAAACGGCGATATTTATTGGAAATTGCGAGGGACTGGCACGTGCGGAAATCACGATTGATGTTATGAATAGGTGCATATGAGAGATCACTAACCAAAACTAATTTGAAAATTGACGTTGGGTTATTTTCAGGTACTTTCTTTTTTGACACTCAGCTTTAGACAACTAAATTTAACGATTTGGTGTTATTGGGGGAGATGAGGGGCAGGGGGGGGGTTGGTTAAATCTTTAATCCCGGGTACATATGCACCGAGAAAACGGGTTTCCATTCGGCTTTCAAATAAATCTGCTACATTTTTCCCTATTCACAATGGATTACAATATTTATTTTTGAGGATTGAGGACAACATCAAAAATTCATTAACAAATTAGGCAAACCTTTTTTCAGAGTACACAACAAATGACGGGAGAACTCGTCACATTATTCCGGATCACACCTGTTACACTAGCCATTAGCGGAGGTCATCAAACTGATTGATCTTGCCACACACCTTTCAGCTAGTGTATTTTTAGCGATTGACGTAAACGAAGAGGCGTCAGGATGAGAAAAAAAGATGTGAACAACTTGGTCCAGAATACCTTGTTGTAATAATAAAAATAAAGAAGATAGGGAGTGAAAGGGGTAAAAGTTCATGTGCAGATATTAAAATTGAGCTTCAGAGGGATGATTCTAAAAAAACATGCTATGCACTTTTTGATTTAAATCGGGCAAACTAAACAAATTGATCACAGATTTTCAGTAATATTAGCTAAAATCTGCATTTCTATTTATCTAGAAGAAGCAAGTTTGCAGGCTCTAAAACATTTCCAAAGAAATTGAAACCATGGTTTACTTATTCTAGTGATTTCAAACTCTTTAAATTCCATACAAAATTAGTTGTTGGTTTTTATTAAGAATTTTTCTATACAGTCTATCCCGATAGCTCCATTTTCAGCACACATCCCCAATGAATTGTATTTATTGTCAACACAGAATTAATTGCTAAGTGTCAACAACACTTACTATCAGAAATGAAACTGCATCATTATTTCCGTCTATCCGTTCCTGGATCTGAATAGAAAAAAGCGGGCACAAACACAAACAACTCAGATTTTGCGCTATGATTAAGTCCACACGTCTTAATTTATAATTTATATAATTTATATATGTACGTTCTAGATGTAAACAGGACATTGTTTGTCGCCTAAATGAATTCTATCATTCTATTTCTGGATATTCTCGTATAAAAAAATTGCAATTATGGTCCGAGTGTGTGGCTCAAGTTTCCATTAAGTCTCCGTGAAACTTTAATTGTTTCACAGCGTATTCCCAAAAGCGTTTCATTCATCCCGAAAAACCAACTTCGACATTATGCATACCAAATATAATTGTAACTCTATTTCCGGTCGAAATTAGCATATTTTCCATCACCAAAAGCCAGCTATTTCTTGGAATATTTGTAAACCATTAAAATTTAAAAATTAAATAGAGTTTTGTCTCAGATATCTCTCGATTGTAAAATCTAGCATAAAATCATTCGATCTTTTTTTTGTTCTAGCATAACCTACTGGGTACTGTAAGTTGTCAATGACCATACCATAATAGACAGAATAGGCTTCTAGGGTATTATTCCACAACCGTAATATTACGTTTATAATAATAGTAGTACTATAAATGTGCTCTCTCTATTATTTCAGCATTGTAACGCCCTTTAATTTATCTACTTATTTATTTATTACAATTTATTTGCATAACAAAAAGTGTACGCGGAGGGTGAATTATTTAATTTCTATTATCGACATATTTATAAAACCTATTTTTAAATTTAAAAAATGTGAAAAATTACATTTTTTGCATTTTTTCACTGCAATGGAATAAGTTATTTTTCACTTTAAAAATAATCAAGTCCATTCAAACAGTTAAATAAAATATTTTTTTTAGACAAAAATTATTTCTTATCAATATTGTCTAATTTCATTTGTTTCAACTGTCTTCGCCTATGTTAAAAGGGAATTCAAGCTTAAATTTCCATACTATGAAACATTTTGTGATTTCGCCTGGCACTCGCTATCTCGAAAAATCCGTGTTGTTGTGACATCATTAGGCCGTGTCAAATCGCCAAACGCGAATAATTAGGTCACGTCTACAACAAAATAATGGATTTTTCGAAGAAACGTGATGACAAAAAAAAACATGGATCGCAGGCAAATCTTTTGGAATCCGTATAATTCGACTTCGCTATCTATTTCAGTAAATTTTGGGCATTATGCATATTTTTTTTCGGCATTCATTTGTTGTCGATGTCGCGCGACTGCGACAAATTGGCAAAATATAATATCAAGAATAGTCTCGAGGCAATATTTTGCTAGTCTCACCTTTACAAAGCAACGGGCCGAAGTTGCTCAATTTCCGCAATATGAATGTTCGACATTTTTCAACGTTCGACTCATTCCTTAATTTTTGCTCTTCAAGTGTTCCCAGAATTCTTTTCTGTTTGTATGATGTCAATTGGCAAAACACAATAAATACTAAAAGCAACGAGAAAAAATGTTTTCAATTTAGTCGGCAAATGTTAATGTCTTAAATCACGCTTCCTTGTTTTCTGCCGATTTTCCGCTTCATTATAACAGTAAGAAAACCGGAAGCATTTTGGACTTCGTCTTCGGATCACTGGCTCTGAGTTGTGTCCTAATATCCGCTCAATGGTTTCTAATTGAACTCAACTCAGTTTTGAAATGTAGGTATGGTATACCTAATTGGGCCAAAACTATTCAACTAAACTCACAGTATGGTCTGTAGAACATATTTTATTGGTCTCACCACGAATAAAAAAAACATATTGACACGTTTCCGGTGTCGATTTACTAAAAACGCATATATAATATAAAATAATAATTCTCCAGTTCATGTACATCCAATCATAACAATGAACCAATTCCTTTGTGTTTTTTATTATACCTAGCATAAAACTGGACCCCTGTGGATCGCTTCCTTTTATTTTTTTTCCTTCCATTCTTGATATCATATAAAACCCAACTTCCTAGTGTTTTCTGGTCAAGTCGTCACGAAAAAAATTCAACATTTTTTGTTTAGTGACACTTTTAATTCAATTTTGTTTAATTCAACTCGGTGGAAGGACGAACCTGAAGGATTGACAGGCCATTTCGGTAACACAAATTCTATTTCTGGAGGGCATTCCAACAAATTGCGTCACAAACAAAATTATCACGAAGACTCGGACTTGGTTTCATTATTTTGTCTTGGTTTAGAGGACCCGATGAAAAAACAATTTCTCTTTTCATTAATTGGTAAACAAATGAGTAGAACTGAACACTTCTGTGTTTTCAAATTGAAATTTGCAGCTAGATTCCTTCAAACGTAATACCATGTTTTATGGAAAACAAAACGCGGAAATTCAAGTTTCAGTTTTATCAATAAGGATTAAAATTCCAATAGTTTAGATTCTTGATGCAGTGTCATTCATTTCTATTTCTCAATTCTTTCTATTAATGCTGATACAGTCATTATAAAAAAACATGAGTTATTGCAGTTATTGTCATTCAAAGAAATTGAGATTTATCGCACAATTTTTTTTGTTTTCCCTATTTGAAAACTGTGCCCAAATAAAAAATTAATTAATTAATTCAATGAGTTATCACTTATATGGGTTTCTTTAACATTTTATGTTTTCAAATTTTATTTGAAATTATAATACATAAAAACATCCCAAAAGTAGAATCAATTGTTTTTTTTAACAAATTGAAGATTCTAATAGTACAAATTATGGACTTGAAAAATGATCTTCAAACGATATTCAGGACAAACTTTAGGTTCTAGGAAAATCTAAAATTATAAACTGATGTAATGAAAAAAACTAGCCACATTATGAAGGTAATTTAGGTTTCCCAAACAAATAAGCTTCCCCAGGTCCTCTCATTTGACGAAGGAATTGCACTTTTTCTCGATTTTAACACAATTTTCGTCGTGATTGAAATCCTTTGACGTAGGCCGAAGTGACCCATTTTTTCTTGTCTTCGACAACTCAATGCAACTCGTTTTCATCATTGAAACAAAATCAAATTGGTCCGATTGCGCTCCAAATTGCTTACATCCATCGTCATTGGTTAAGAATGTGGAGGAGGAGGAGCTGGTGAAAACATTTTCTTAAACCTTGGGTGGCAGTGAGCAAAAAAAAAGTATCGGCTCTTTAGAATGACGTGCTCCAACATCTTGGGGGGCGGGACCATTGTGGCATCACAGGCCGTTCTCGTCCCTCGACCGAAAAAAAAACTGCCTATATAAATGATACCGAACAACAATTTTGGCATTTCCAGACCTAACTTTCCATTTATATTGAATAGTTAACCCTCAAAATCCCGCTTTGGAATTCAAGCTTCTTGTTTTCGTCTAACCTATTGCAACCGTGGAGGGGGTTAAATACGTAAAGATAAAAATAACGCCTAACAATTCATAAGATGTATTTTTAGAATTCCTGTGACCTCCCACCACCCACTACTAATATAATAGATATTTGGCATTCACTCATTCGTAATTCAATAACGAAATGAATCTGGGAGAAAAGTTTTTCGCAAGAAGCCTGCCACTTGATTTCTCATTGACTTCGAAAACGTATTCTTTCCGCACATTTAATTTTTTTTCGGCTTCTTCATCACTTCAGTTTATATTCTTCCGCATTTTATTTTATTTTTTTCATTAACTCGAGTGTCAGTCAGTCAATCTTGACTATTCGAAATGCTTAACTTAAATTAGACGTCGGATGTCAAAGTCATCGAACGCAAGTTTTTCATTTGCCGCCTTAAATGTAAACTCGTCTTGAACAACTTTTCATTTTAGTTTAACCAAATTTCCAGCTGGCTTATTTCAGGGTGAGAAAATGCAACGGTGGTCGAGCGCTTTATTAATCGCACTTTGTTGCTTGTTACGTGGAGCACTCGCATATACCGAACCAGGTAGGTCAAATTACAATATATTTTCATTTTGGGCTCACCCTCCCAACATTAAAACAAATGAAAAACAACGAAAAAAAAACTTTGGCGAAAAGTGCGTCACGACGATTTGTTATCGAAAGAAAGAAATCCATTGGGATTCCACGTTATTTGTTCTACTCTCGTGAATTCGCCAAACCAAATCAAGAAAATTATATAATTTGAGTTTCAGTCTATGAAATCGTTGATGATGAGACCCCGGAGTTCGACGGAGCACGTCAGCCAGTGAAACCCGACGGTAGACTATTCTCAAAACGAGGTGCAGTTTATTAGCTTTGTTTATCGGGGTGTTTTTTCCCCTCAATTCACCCCTCTCAAAATTCTGATGCAATTGGCTATTCGAAAATTGAATAAGAAAACTTGTTTCGCATCATTCATGAAAAAGTTCACGGATTATCGGAGAATTCGCGATTACAGCTCCCATGGGGATATGAATTTCTCGAACAACATGTTCTTATTCGAAAATTTTCCGATCGAATAGCCATTAATCTTTGTTAATATCGAAAAAAAAGTTCCCCGAGCACAGCCGGCAGTTTTATGTATGATGCCATTTTTTAGACATTGATGGAAATGTTCCTGGAGTTTTGCGGTTCGGCAAACGCGCCGGATACTTTGACAAACGTGAGAGCTCCGTTCAAAAAAAGGAGATGCCTGGTGTGCTACGCTTCGGTAAAAGAATGTTCTTCGATGAGAAGGAAAGCGTTCCAGGTCGCGACAATCATGATAAGAATTCGAATTGAACAATTTTTGCTAATTTTCAGGTGTCCTTCGTTTTGGAAAACGCGGAATAATTGAGGCGAAACGTGAGATTCCCGGAGTTCTTAGATTCGGAAAGAGAGAATACCTCGACGAGATTTTTGACAAGAGAAGCGAAGTTCCAGGTATGCCAATAAGTCGATTTCATTCTCTCATCGTCTAAATGGATTTAGGAGTTCTCCGCTTCGGAAAGCGCAACGTTCCGGGTGTATTGAGGTAATTTTCCCATATTTGCCATGACTCGGTCTAACTCGTAATGTTATTAGATTCGGAAAGAGATCCGACTTTGGTGAACATTACGCCGGAATATTGTTGAAGAAGAGTGTTCCAGGAGTGCTGCGATTCGGCCGCAAATAAGATGAATGTATTGCTACCCGAATAAAATGCCAGCGATCAATTTGATTATTTCAGACGAGCGGTCACCAACAGAATGATCTCCGCTTATGTTATAATACGATTCTCACAATTTCTTCTCTCTCTCTCACACACAGTCGAATGATAAATTAAGTTAACAATACCTTTTATCGAATTTTATTTATTGGAAATCTATTCATCCTCATTTTGCCAACCCAACCTTCAATTCCATTAACCGCACTGACGTTTATTCTTCATGTTTATTTTCCGCGATACTGTCCGATGTCATAGAGAATTCAACAGATAATGAAGCGTATATTGTTGGAGTCTGGACAGAAAAAAAAACATTAGCAGCAAATCGATGTTTTTGTGACCTTTTATTCTAATTATGGATATGGCGCAATTCAGTTCGATCGATAGTAAAAATAACAAAGACAAACATGAGAAATGAGAACTTGTGTTGTGTGTTTTTTTTTTACAACAACAACGTGTACACAAAGATAATATAGGAGGCTCACATGAATATTGAAAATTTGATTACGGAAAATTTGAAAAGAACGACGAGCGAATTTTTCTGATAGAAAAGGAAACTCAATATGGGAATGTATGAAAATGACTATCGTCATTCGAATAACCGAATAACCGAAATAGACAACTGCTGGAATATTGTGGAAAGTTGAACATTTCTGGAAAACAAAAAATATCAAGCAGATGTTACTATGGAATCAAAGAAGCGTCGAAATATCTCGAAGCGAAATATTTTATTGTTAATTTCTCTATTTTTTTTACCAAATATGTACATTGGTATTTTTTTAGAAAGTTAAGTGAAATTTGTTTTTTAAAACTCCAAAAAGTCAATGAACTTCTAACAGAGAGATTATTCATAAAATAAAAACTGTAAGAATAACTTTTTCTCTTAATTTTTCATAAAAATAAAAATTTCATTATCGCGTTCATAAATAGTTTTATTGAAAGTTAATTAATTTTCTACAATTATTAAAATGATATATAAATTTGTTGTATTTATATATTCCTTAAAAAATTCTAAACTGAAAAAAACTGTTTAAAATCTTTAGAAATATTAAATAATTAAAAAATTCAGCTGAAATTTCAATTGACGTTTTCAAAAAATATAAAGCTAATGTTTTTTCTTTCTTCAAATATATTGAAGCATAAAATTTCATAAAATAATATTAAAGCACAATTACTTAACAAATTCTTTCAAATAATCTTAAAATTAAAAATATCCTTTTTATTGTCTCAATTTGCTTTTTTTTTCATAAGACGAAAGTTTAATTAGAAATTACTTTGACACATTATCACCTTAAAGGTCATTCTCTTCTCATTTCTTTCTTATTAGCGACAATTTTTACGAGCGTTTTTTTTCAGTAATTATCGCATAAATTCCTAACTAGCACATATTTTCAATATTCTTCACGAAACTTCTGAAGATGAAACGCAAATTTTGAAATCCAACCAATTTTTTATTCAGCATATTTGAAAAGATTTTTCTATTTTTGATGTCCTGAATCATGCAACTTGATAAAATTCGTAGGCAACACTGTTGTCCTTATCTCTCCATTTTTAGCGAATAGTGTGTTTTAATTGAAACGCAGACGACTATTTTGATCGCTCGATATTTGTTTGTATGGAGGTCATCGTATAATAACAACTAATTTTTTTTTGTGTCATTCAAATTGATGCTTATTACGGAGCCATAATAATAGTGCTCCATTTACAGTATGCTCATTCTTTCAGACTTGCAGCGATGGCGAAATTGTTGAACGGCGTGAAAGTCGTTGAACTCTCCGGTTTGGCGCCAGTGCCACATTGTGGCCTTGTATTAGCGGATTTCGGCGCTCAGGTAACCGTCGTCGAAAAGGTAAGATCATTATAATATAATTTAAAAAAAAACGTTTAATAATGTATGGTTTTTTTTCAGAAAGAGTTTCAAACAATCGAGCAGCGTCTCAATCGTGGAAAGGATCTTGTATTGCTGGATCTTAAAGATCCCACCGACTTGAAAAAAGTTGGAAAATATAATCTCCAATTGTAATGTTTTCAATATTTCAGGTTCAAGATATGTGCAAAGTCTCCGATGTTCTTTTAGATCCTTATCGCCCAGGAATATTGGAAAAAATTGGACTCGACCCTTTAAAGCTTCTTCAAGTCATTTATATTTTAACGATTTCAGATTAATTTTCATTTATTTTAGCAAAATGAGCGACTAATAATATGTCGAATCACCGGATATGGTCAAACTGGAAGGATGAGAAGTGAAGCCGGACATGATATCAATTATGTCTCACTAAGTGGTAGCTCTCGGTTTTTAAATTTTCCTTTACTTGTTGTTCACCATTTAAGGAATGCTTCCAATCTTTTCTGGAGCTGAATCAAGTCGTCCATGGCCACCAGTTAATATGTTGGCTGATTTTGCGGGCGGAGGTCTTACAGCGGCCTTTGGCATTGTTTCAGCTCTTCATGCCAGATCTCAAAACGGTTAGAAAAGTATCAAGAAATTTTCAAAATTTCAAAATTCAGGTGGAAAAGGATGCGTTATAGACTGCTCGATGACTGAGGGGATCTCCTATTTGGGAGCGTTTGTGCAACATTATTACGATCAGTCTCACATGTTTACGGACAAATATGGAATTTTTACTGGAGAGTGTCCGTTGTACAGGTCCGAGTTATTATATAAAAGGACCAAAATTTGATGCATTTCTAAACAAGCTCATTTTTTTTTGCCTTGCAGAACTTATAAAACGAAAGATGACAAGTTTATTGCCGTTGGAGCATTGGAGCCGAAATTCCATCAAAATATGTTCCGAGGTTGATACTTGAAAAATTTCATTTTTTTTTTTAAAGATATCGCCTTTTTAGTTCTTGGCTTTGATGGAAGTGACATTTTTGATGATCCGGAAAAATTGGTCAGACAAATGGAGCAAATATTTTTGACTAGAACTCGTGATGAATGGTGGCAGATTTTTGAAGGCAAACTTTTTTTTCGAGAAATTTGGCATTACAAAAACCTTTGAATAAATTATAGGTAAAGACTGCTGCGTGACACCAGTGCTTAATATGGATGAGGTTGGCGAATTCGGTCTGCACAAGGATCGCAGAAGCTTCCAAAAATCCGAAGTTTATGGTGGAACCTGGATCGCCAAACCAGCGCCGCGCATTTTAACAATTGACGATTTGAGATCGAAATCGTCAAAGTTATAAGAGCATTTCGATTGTAAATAAAATTGTTTGTTTAAAGAATTTTTAACACAGCTCGATTTTTTTTTGCAAAAATTGACTGCTCCGCAAATAGACGCATTTCTTTGTTTATAATTTATCTCATGCTTTCGTCATAAACAGATTGTACGAATTTCAAATATTCATTGCTTACTTTATTCCAATCGCTTTTTGATGCTTCAATGTTTCGTATAAATTGCTTTTTTGTAAGAAAATTTGGTGGCACATCTCTCTCTTCGAGGGTTGTTTTTGTATATATACGAAAAAAAAAAACAATAAAATATTGCCAAGATATTTAGGAGCTGTCTCATCAGCGAAAACAACAAAAACCAATATATTGATACCAACTGTGTCGCTCGGCCATTAGGAGGCCAAAGAGCATTTGTGAGACAGCAAACACGCACACACACATTGTATATCCGTTCATATCACTCATTGATATTAGCCTCTTGGATATCTTTGCATCTTTTCGTATGCAATAATGGCACCTCATAACAATGAGCGCGCCGCTTTCTTCAAATAAAAATTCGATTTGCTCTCAAGCAGCTCGCGATTTAGTTCCAATTTTCAAAATTCAACACTTTCTGTAAAATGTTAAGATATTCTCAAGCTGATATTATCTCAAATAAATGAAAGCTTTCTTTACATAAAAATTCGCAACGCATGAATTTGAATCAAAAATTTGATGGGTTTTAAAAATTTTCTAGCCGTCAAACAGTACGATCTAATGGTTGACCATTATTGTCGTTTGTTCCAGAAACATGCCCTATTCAATAATTATTGAATATGTCTCATTTATCGGCTCACTGAGCTCTTCATCCTATACGTATATACATCCTTTTCGACTTGTAACGTTGACTTCAAATTTCTTGTCCAATCTGTTGCCTTAGTAATCGCTTTTTGTATTCACTTTCCCACCATAAAATTTCCATTTTTCGTTCTCCTTCTTCTTCTTCTTCGTCGAGTGTCGCCATATGAAAAATTCGGAAGTGGTTGTGGGGGGGGAGCTCCACTCTTCCTCCGTTGTGCGCACGCTAGCTTTTGCCAAAAAAAATGCACGAACCATGCTGTGCGGAAAGAGAAGACTTCAGGCGAAACGAAATATTGATTTCGGGCTGCACGCTGCGCTTCGCGTTTCCACACGCTTCCACTCATCGGCGGGACCTTAGTAGTTAACGGAGGCAAGCAACCGTCGGGCCTCCCCAGCCGCTTGCCATCCGCCTGCGTCTACTACTTGGCTCTGCGTTTAGTAAACTCGAAATGCTATTTTTTTTGCCAGCAATTTCAAACTTTATCCATTTTTCCAAACGATCGTCAGCATTATGTAGTCATTGAAGACAGCTGCCATAAAACTCTGATAGATAAGTTAGCCGTTTTCAAATTTCGATAGGAAAAATTCCCAGAATTTAATATACAGACAATTGTTTCAATAAACGTTGCCTTATGGCACAATTCAATCTATTATTAATTTTTTTGCAATCAAACAAAATTGTTGCGTCTCTGCTCGATGTTTGCGCGCCGATTTTCATTTTGGGGGGTGGGTGTCCAACTACTGCTCTTCTTTTCTTCTTCATCATCATTCTTCTTTCATTTCAAAGTTGTGTGCGGCTTGTTTGCTAAGTAAACCGAGCTCACGGACAGCAGGCAACTTGCGTTTAGTCCTACAAAACAATGAATTTTCGTCGATTTCCATTTGGTCGATGTCCTCCCTTCAACTCTTCTTCTTTGCCTTTTATCGATTTTTTTCCTATCGTCTCGTTTCATATGAATGATTCACCGACGCCCGTCTTCGTCATTCAATTGTTGCCACATTTATACACATATTTCAGGATGGTTGACTTGAAACAGCAGCTTGATGTCATTGACTATTTTGGTGTCATCGCCGTTTGGCTTCTGTTCTTTTCCGTCGTCTTCATTATCTCGATCACTTGCATCCTTTGGTGCTGCGTCTCGAAGAGTGACGATCCGACCGTCTTTGCCAAGGTACGATTATTTTTTTTTATTGAAAGTTGCCTCACACTTGATTTTCAGTATGGTCTCGGACCACAGCCACGCGTTCCAGCTCAAAGGTTAGCTGCTCAAGAAGCCAAGGCCGAATAACTACGCTACCAGACTACCATTACAACCCATAACAATTAACAATCAACAACAACTTTTAGATTTAGTCCTATTACCTTAATCTTCTATTGTTTTCTTTAACCAATCTGAGCAATGTTCTCAGACAAGTGCAAATTACAGAACCAAATTGACCGTCGAGAAAGACTTCTAAATGGAATTGCATTTGGTGAATAACAAGTCGTCGCACAACTTCATTCCTCACTTTTTCGTATGAAAATTCTTTTGTAGTTGCTCGTTTTTTGCTGAAATTAAGTCAATAAAAGGATTACAGTAAATAGTGTTCTGAATAGTTATGGAATTAGAATTATCGAAGAAAAAGGTTATAAATACAAACGTGAGTGAATGGAATTTTTTTTGGAAAAGTTCAAACAATTTTTGTCACGTCAATCGATAATTGCAATGAAAAGGGTTGTCATTAGTATAGTAGGATGTCACTAAATGCTTGGAACTAAGATACACTTATACATATATCTAGCTTAAAGTAAGGAGCTGAAACCAGTCAACAATTCGAGAATCAACATTTAATGAATATTTATAACTAAAACATTTCTGATGATGGATCAAATTAGTGAAAAATTGTCGAATTCTCAGTTTTACCCAACGACTATTTGAAATTAAAACCTAAAAATGTATGTTTTGCGATAAGCTGAATATGTTGGTTTTATTTTGTTTAAACTTCAAATATTGTTATTCTCTCGATCTCAGTGCCATTGGTTTGTCGTACATTTCTTTTTTTTATGTTTCCCTTTTTGTTGCGTGAGAATTTCGCTGCTTGAAAATTCCGTAAAAAATGGGCTCATGGTGACACGTTTCCAAGGTTTCACGACGCAAAATTGAAAAGTTGCCTACTATAGCTTTTTTGGGTGTTTATTTCTTTCGTTTCTGGCATACTATCAATGTCTCAACGACGGATTCGCGGTACACGTGATACCGCTAAGGATATTATTCTTGGTCTCGCGTGAGTAGTAAAAAAATCGAAAAGTTTACGCTGATTTTTAGACCATCTGGGCAGGGACCCAAACAACCCAAAGAAGGGGTAGTTGTACCAAAGGTAAGTCATTTATTGAAATTCTGAAATATTCCTTGTTTTGTTGTGATTCGAAAAAAACCAGTGATTCGTTTGAAGATTCGTTCGAGTTCTTATGACGTACCAGCAAGTCGTCGGGTAACACGAAAGCAAACCGTAAATGCAGTGAATACTTTCCCTAATATTCAATTTCCCTATTTTTTCCAAAGTTTCTCAAACATATTTCGATTTCAACCTACATATTTCACACCCTAAACTGTCACATTGTCTTGAGAAAAAATTTTGGTTTTAATGACAGAACAATGAGAAGCCGCCTCGAACCGCGGATGATGCGATCATACAACGCCTTCAAAACCAATTGGCTCAAATTCAGCAAGAAAATCGCGAATTGGTTTCGGCTGAAAAAGTGAGATTGCCGTCTGTTCAGCACAATCAAGCATGCTTGCATTGTTTAGTTGCAATTGACAAAAAAAAACACTGAATGTGTGACGTAATGCTACAATTAGTTTAGGCTGCTCGAATAAGATTGGAAGCAAATCAGGATGCGTTGCAAAGAAGAGTCCTAAACACGGAGTCATCGGGAGTACAGTAATGCGCAATTTACTATATTTAATTTTAAGCGGCAACTTAAAATTTTCTTGCGTCATATTGCGCTGATTGTTTTGTTTCATATTTGATATCAGGCACAGAATATTTTTTTCAGAAATTTCTAAATTTCCGCTTTAGTAAAAATTATAACAAAGAAATAATTTCTGACCAGCTTATTTTTTTGCAGAATTCGAGATCTTGATGATGTTCGAAGGCAGATAAATAGTATTGATGGCAAAGTTTGCGTTTGAAAAAATATTAAATTCTATATGAGCTATTCTCAGCTGTTAATGATGAACAACGACATCAATGGGATTCGAGGAGCTATGGATCGACAGGTGTCGGATTTGATGCATATTAACAATGAAATGAAAAGTAGACCTGTTGTTGATCCATCGGTATAATGTCGAAAAGGAAATCATTAAGAATTGATTTTTGCAGAAAATTTCAAATGCCACGTCTCAATTGGACATGAAAATGAGAGATTTGCATAACCAAGTGATGGAATTGCAAAAGAATTTAAATAGAGAGCAAAGGGATCGTGAGAAGGACGCAAAACTGGCAAGTGACGGGTAAAAATTGCATCAGAGATTCATCAAAATTTGTGTCGATTTATAGAATTTCAAAGCTCCAAGATATTATCAGGCAACAAGATTTGTCGAGACAGGATATATTGAACAGTTTGTCGAAAAAGGGCGATGTTGACAAAGTGGCTAAACATTTTTTTTTTAAGTTTTCTTTTTTTTCTTCTTCTTCAGGAAAAATTAAACGAGGAGACTAGAAGATTGAACGATAAAATAAATCTCATCACAACTGAAGTTACTCGAAAAACTGGTGAAAATCAGCAAAGAATGAAGGATGAGCTAGCTGGAAGGATTCAAGTCCTCGAAAATGTACCGAAATGAATAGGCTTCTGAATGCAATGTCTTTGACATTTTATAGATGATTCGGGCACAAACGGAAAGAATTATTGAAAATGACAAGGATATGCGGCAAAAATACGAATCTCGGTTGAATGAGCAAAGCGAGCAGCTGCAAGCATTGATGAAACAGCTAACTACGGAGAAAGCAAAGCAGAAGGAGCGATTTCAGAAGGTGAATGAAGCATTGGCCGCTTTGGAGCATCATTTGGAGCTGGGAAATAGTAAAATCGACAAACTAATGAGTTCTGAAATTCAAGCCCGGTATTAATACATGTTAATAGGGATGTTTAAGAAAAAAACGTGTTCAGGAAACTCCATGAAAAAGGCTTGCTAGCAAAAATGACTGATATTGAGAATCGTCTCAACAACTATATTGGTGGAATGAACAAATCAATCGAAGATATGCAAAATGGGAAGAGTAATGTTCAAATGCCCGCACTGGATACTGATGCGGTGAGGAATTATTCATAATTGCTAGGGAAGGGCTTGGGATTCATTAGAAATTCGATGAGAAGATTTGCAAGCCCTTTTATTACAGCTTCGACGAGAGATGGAAGCGATTTCAGCCGACAAGAACAAACTAAGTATGGAAGGTTTGTTGAAGTTGGAGGAAAAAATGAGCAGAGTGCAGCAAGGTGAGATAATCAAAAGCAAACTCTTCAAATCGTGAGTTGATTCAGGGTTCTATCACGATCGTCGTGAGATAAACCAAAGATTGACAGATTTGGGTGATGGTGAGCATGTTAACAAGTAAATGATTGAAATTTCAATTTTTTCGAGAAATTTATTTTTTTCAGAATTAGAGCACAGCTTAATAAGATGGATGCTCTTCAAGAGGATATGGAAAAAGCGCAAGAGCGAATTCGAGATAAAGTTGAACGCCAAATTCCGCAGGATGTAATTAATTCTCCATTAAGAAATTCCGATTTTTGAATATTTTTTAGTTGAACGAATTATCAGCAAAGGTTGACAATGTAAAACATCAATTGAATACGAGAGTTGACAATGAGGAAGAGGAACGGTGATAAATGATTATCTAGATATTATCTTTTGATTATTGGTTTTGTTTTCCAGATATTTGGCTATCAAAGAACTGCAAGAAGCGTTCTCCCAGTTGCAACAAACGCAAGTATCGGCGATAGGCGGCAAACCGAGTGTAGACAACCAGGTGAGAGGCGGCGATATTATCATTGCGATGCACGCGTTGTGCCGCCGTGGGGTTCCATGGTGTAGCGGTTAGCACTCAGGACTCTGAATCCTGCGACCCGAGTTCAAATCTCGGTGGAACCTATGTTTTTTTTTACTTGTCGTTTTGAGCTTGAAACTTCTCGATAAACTTAAACTGCGATTTTTATCTTTCGGCGAAACTGTGCTAAATTCTAGTAGTAATAGTGATTAATCACTACTGTCATTAAATAAATGCAGTAAGCATTAAATGTTTTTGTTTTCAGATGAAGCGTGATGTTGATGAATGTAAAATTGCCATCAAAAAGCTTGCGGAATCAGTAACAACTGTCAAAAATGTTCTAGACAAGAAAATAACTGACGAGACAAAGCGGGTATAATTTTTGAAATATATAGAAACATTTTTGCCATTTCATCATTTTATGATTCCAGAGAGAAGATGATGTTGCCAGCTTACGTCGACAAATGAATTGATAACAATTATATTTTATCCAAAAGATGTAGCACTCATTAATCAGTTTAAATTTTTGAAATCGGTATTAAATATAAAATTTTGATAAAGATTTGAAACAGAAATGTGCTGATAAGAAATTCTCACTTCACTTTGGTTGAAACCATGGGGAAGGGGGTTAGTTATTTCACAGCTCGTAAGTTACTTGTTATTTCTAAATTATGTTTTTTTTTCTTTTTTTTTAGTTGCAATTGTAATTGCTGTTGGTATTTCAATTGCTTCATTGGTTTTGAATATCATCATTCTGAATCAAGTAAATAAAAGTTACAAGAATAGCACTGAGCCAATCATAACTCCCAATCATACTCACTACGACCCTTCTCAAGGCTGTGGATATAATGTCAGCCAATCTCCGGAATTCAAGGTAAAATTAATCTGACAAGGGAGGTCTCCTTGCCGTCTGTCTTACCATTTTTTAGTTTTTGTATACATAAGCTTTAGAAAATTTCCAATCCAATGAATTAGGTTCCTACCTGCGCGAAATTCATGTTATCAAGATATGGGACTTAATAGTTTTAGGGCTGTCATGAATGGGGTTGCGTATTCGGTCCCGGTATCTGCAAACTTTTTAACGTATGTTTTAATAGGTGATACAATAATTATGCCATTTTTGCGATTTTCTATTCAAATGTATCACTTTAATCATATTGAAAGATCATGTATAAATCAAATAATTTAAAGTGTTCAAAAATTGAAACATTTTTTACGAGTTATACGGTTTTTGATCTGATGCTTGAAAAAACTTTGAAGGTCCGTATGTCGATAATTAGATGTTTGCGCAGGTAGCGACCTATTGCATTCGATCGGGAATTTTTTAAAGAATCTGTATGCAAAAAGTTAAAAAAAAATGAAGACGGACAGCAAAAAGTCCTCCTTTGTGACGAAGTTTTAAGAAAAATTAAATTGACACAGGCAGCAGCTGACTACCTGCTTAATGGCTTAGATCCTACTGTTGACCCATGCCAGGATTTCTACGCATTTACATGTAATAAAGTGAGTTTGTGTTGCAATAGTTTCAACGCGGGAAACAATCAATTCAAGTTTCCGGTTCATTTTTTTAACAAAAAAAATCGTTTTTAATTTCAGTTTTTGCAAAATACCGATCTCAAAAAACTTCATCGATCTCGTCTGGGTACCTACGATCAAGCCCAAGTTGATGTGTTCACTGAAGTCGCTGCGTCTCTTGCCAAAATCGACATAAATGACGATAAAATTTCAAAAACGGAGCGAATCACTAAAGCGGTAAGGCGATTTTAAAATCATTATACTGCCGTATTAATCATTCTAAACTCATTTGCTGATAAAGCCTTATCAACATTGCAGGCTTACGACTCATGTCACGCAAATTTGATGAACCCTCCCGATCGCACCCAAGTCGTCTATCGAGAAATTAAAAACTTATTTGGTGGTGCTCCATTTCTTGGCGATCAATTAAGAAACAATGTTGATTATTGGGATGTCGCCGGTCAACTTGAACAAAAGCACGCGCTGGGGACACTTTCGTACTCCATTGGATCTTCAGATTACAAAAACCATCTTCAAAATGCTTTGTACATCGGAGAAGTGAAATTGAGCTCAATAACTTTTGATATCCAATTGGCATTTTTAGCCAGAACTTTCCCTTGCCCGAGAATATTACGTTAAACCGCAATTCATTGATCAAGTCAATCAACGCGTTAAAGATGTGAATGATTTGCTTACCTCTTTCGCACACGCAGTTGGAAAACAATGCAGCGCTGATGATGTTCTTCGCGCTGCTCAGGAAACAGTCAATTTTGAAGTGCAAATTGCAATGGCATCATGGCCCGATGATCTTATGAGGTATTATTTACACCCAGCCCCTCAAAATATCAAAATTAGAAACTATCAACAACAGTACAACGCGTATAATCTTGATGGGCTTAACAAAGCGTACAGCGGAATTACTTGGAACACATATATTGGAAGCCTTTTCGATGGAATCGCTTCTGTTGATAAACAGAAAAATTTCAATGTAATTTAAAATGCTGATGGTAGTTCGATGTTCAGTAATTTCAGCTTGTTATCACTCAGCCGTCGTATTTTGCCTGGTTGAACAGCGTTTTTTCTGGAAGCACTGTAAACTCAACAGTGGTGGCAAACTATATGATTGCTCAACTCATTGCTGTAATATTTCTTTTCATTTGTGAAATATTTATTTTTTTTAGGACGAAGCTGACTTTATTAATCCAGCAACTCAAAAAGCAAACTCGAAATATATACACTATGCTCTTCGTGCTGGAAGAGGAGTTTCCAAGTTTGCTTATTTAAATTGTTCTGCACTCAAAAACTCCTTGTTCAGAATTGGAAGGCACGAAGTTCGTGTTTTGGACCTTGACGGCATTGCTCAAGGCTGCATGAACCTTCTCACCGCGTACATGCCATACGGAACTGGTTACGTGTACGTAAAAGGAAAGAGTGAGAGAAATGATGTGAAGAAAGATGTTATGGCTCAAACAGATCTTATTATCAATAACTTTCAAGTACGCTTCATTGATTTTTCGTATAATTCGTTAGATATATATTGCCAGTTTTAAATGACAGCTCGGTGGCGGGAAATTAAATCAGTGTGAATCTACGAATTTTTAATTTTATATTTATATATGTATTAAAAGATCATACGCTAAAAAGTAGACACTCACAGTTCTCATAGCTTAGAGTCACCATGGCGCATAGCCAATATTATTTTTAATTCGGTCCATTGTTTGAAACCAGCAATAATTTGTTTAAAGGGCATGATTGATAGCTTACAATGGATGGATGATTACAGCAAAGAACGCGCTCATAACAAATGTATGTTAATTATACATTACGCTAATTCAAAAATCGATTAATTGAATTTTCAGCGGAAAGCTTAGTGAAAAACTTTGGATGGCCTGATATGTTCGGAAATTTCATTGACTTCAAGGACATTGATGATTACAACAGTGATTACGCCTCAATTATTGACATTTACAAAAATGATTCATCTAATATCTATGATATCATGGCGGTGTTAAAAAAAGGAATGGAAGTTCGGGAATTGTTCCGAATTCTGAATGAGCCAGCGAAAAGGTAAAGAAGTTGACAATTGATTTATTTTAAATTTGGTTTAGAGAGAATTTCCTTCAATCTCCAGCAATGGTAAATGCGTGGTATCAGCCTGAGAGAAACTCGATTACTTTCCCGTATGCCGCATGGAATCCACCATATTATCAGTATCATAAACCAGAAGAAATTCATAGAAATTTTAAGTATTTTAGCCTTAATTACCCGCAAGCCTACAATTTCGCCGGACAGGGTGGAACTGGCGGCCATGAGCTGACACATGGTTATGACGACGAAGGTGTTCAATTTGGATTCAATGGTGAACTCACAAATTGCACCTGGAACAAATGTGGCTGGATGGACTCGAGCTCGTCATCGGGATTCGTTGATATGGCTCAATGTGTTGTTACCCAATTTAGCACCAAATGCTGTCCGGAGAAAACCGGTAATGTCCACTGTGCGAATGGTGCGACGACACAAGGAGAGAATATTGCTGACCTTGGAGGCCAACAAGCTGCTTATAGAGCATATAGAGAATATGTAGCAACTGTGAGGAATGGGCAAGAAGAGGAGAGGTCTTTTTAAACAGTTGCATCATGCAGGCAACGAACGTTTTCATTTTAGACTTCCTGGACTCGAAAAATACACACCTAATCAAATATTTTGGATAACTTATGGTTACTCGTGGTGTATGAAGCAAACCGATGAGAATCTCGTTCACCAATTGCTCACGAACCCTCACTCACCAGGATCCTGCAGAACCAACAATGTAATGCAAGATATTCCAGAATTTGGAATCGATTTCGGATGTGTTCGTGGAACACCAATGTACCCACCGCCATCAGAGAGATGCAAAGTCTGGGTTGGAAACTAAATTTTTTTTGTTCGTTTTTTTTAATTGAATTGACTTATTTACTCTTATCCATCTACACAAATGAATTATTTGTTAACATATTTATAATAGAATTAACTTGGTGCAATCGAATATTCGAGAAATTACTTCATCTTGTTGTACTTCTCGGCCCACTTGGCACGAGTGAGCATTCTGGTGAACCAGATGTCCATGTCTGGATCGGCGTCGTGCTAAACAGAACAAAATTCAATAGTCTCATTACCTATGATATATTATCTACCTTGAATGGGTAGTGACGGCGTACAAGCTCCATGAGACTAGCTGGCCAGATCGACAATCGAGCTTGGCGTATGTAGTCCTTGCGGATGCAGACTTTACAGAATGGCACGAAGCATGTGATGCCGCCATCCTTGAGGAACATGCCTCCGCCGACCTCATGCAATGCGTGCATGCTGCAGGAAACTTTGAGATTCAAAATCGGTCCAGCTCCGAGATACTCGAATCTTTGAGCGAATCTCAACTCCTGAAATTTTTCTAGTTTCTACTAAACATGGTTTTAAAACCAAATTGCAAAACAATGGGTGGATCTTGTCCAACAAAAATCCCATTAATATTTTTTCTAGCTCAAAGTACTTTAGACACCCATTATTTGTTCAAACAATATCATTAAGTTAATGTGCAGCAAATGGGTAAAAAAAATCGAGAGCATATAGAATATTTTTTGTCATCTGTTTTTTTTTTGTCAATTTACCAACCTTGATAAACTCGGTGTCGGTGCAGAACTTGGTTTCATCCCAGAATTTGACGTCATATTGCTCCTCTTCCTGAAAATGCAACCAATTTTTTATTTCCCCCATTTTTTTCGAAACCGTTTCGTCGACCTCCGCGATGTTGAATGTGATGTTCTTTGGCAATTCGAAAAATTTGAAATGCATTTAACGGTTGATTGTTTGATTGAACTTACTCGCGAGGAGGGTGACTTTCTTATTATCCTGAAAACGCTCGACAGTCACAAAAACGCGGCCCTTGTTACGTTTCTTCCAGCCCTTAAAAATATATTGTGAGGATCCATTTAGACCACCAACGATCTACCAGTTCCGTCGGGATGAAGCGGGAGACGAGACGAGGAAATGGAATCGGGTGTAACATGTCAAAATCGAGAACACCGTAGCAGACGCAGCATCTACAGAACGTGTAGACGTAGAAACGTTTCGTCTCGCAATCGACGAGGATAAGCGCGCGGCGATGCTCAATGAAGTGAAACATGCAGAATGAAGTGTCATAGACCGAGAACACACCGGCAACTTTGTATTTGGCAGTAGAAGGATTCTAAAAATTTTGCACAAATTTTTCAAATAATTTTCGCGAATTAGAGCGAATTTTCCCTGAAAAAAAAAACAAATTCCGAGTTGAATTTTCGTCTAGTTGAGAGAAAATTTTGGCGTGATACTATTTTGTTTTACCTTCTCGAAGTGACTACGCTATACATTTATACGTATTTCGTTTCTCAATCTGTAAGTGTGTGATTCTTGCACAATAAATTTCACAAATTGAATTCTCTATCCGTTTTTTCAGTTTTCTACTAATAATCTGCAAGTTCAATTTCTCAATTATATTAATTATTGATCTACCGATCCTTTCTCATTGTTTCGATTTTTCGTAGTGGGACAATTTTTTAACTATAATTTTTTGTGAAAAAAAAATAACGAATTCGTTGTGCCCTCCCATCTTTAATAACAAAAACTATTATATTTATATGTAGTCCGCTCAATGATGTCTTGTTGGAGATACTGTAGAATTTTATTGAACAATGAATAGCGTGCCATCGAATGTGTTTATCGATAAAAACATTTTATTACACTTGCCACCGCGGTTTTTTTTAATAATTGTAATATCGGTGAAAACAATACGAACTTACGCCTTTAGGAACTCTTGGCGCGCGCGTGTCGACAATATCGTAGCGCTTGAAGTCCTTGAGAAGTCCGGGAGCCAGCGGGTCCCACATAACGCTGAGGCGTTGTCCCATGAAACTGAAAAAAAAACGACTGTAGGTTTGAAGTAGATTCATAGATGAAATGACGAGCAAAAACAAAAAGGCGGATACGCGAATGTGGTTCCGATGAGAGGGCGGGACATGGAAAATTTGTGGAACGCGCAATTGAATGAAAAGGGAAGAGAGAGAGAGCAACACATGTGAATCCGAAAACAGACGCGTCTAATAGGAAACCGCCCATAACGAAAATGGAACCGCGAAAAGGTGACAAATTGAGCAGCGAAAATCGATAGCAGGATTTTGTAGCAACGAGAAATTGTCGGCATTTTCCATTCGTTTTTTTAAGCTTGAATACCATTGAAATCTCTGATAATGCATCACGAATAAACTCTCGTGCCAAAACGAGGAGTGAAAATTTGTTTTGTACTCAATTTTTGAGTTCCCTGGAGACCGCATTGTAATTATCAAAGCTATGACACATTATCATGAGTAGCGTGTTGCGATAATTGCCTGCAAAACAAGATAATTAAATTTTACTAAGATATCAAAAATCCAATCCGAACTGTTTGTTTGCAAAGAAAAATCGTTCCGATTTTTTTTTTTCGAACCAAAAAATATTTTTTTTTATTTTTATTCTCTTTTCTTGTGCAAAATATCATAATGACGTTGTTCATAATTTTTTTTAAGTTTGGCCTTCGCCTATATAAAAGGGAATAGGATGAAACCGTCTCTCAATATCAATGTTCAATCGTCACTCTTTTGCGACACGCCTTCAAGAGTGAGTTTGTCCACATTTGTCAGCAGTGGCCTCTAAAACAAAAAATGATATAAATTGGTCGACCATATGTGCATCGTGTCTTCATTTACAGGCATTACTACATTTGTTCATTTTTGACAAAAATCGATTCAAATGTCGATAATTTAGTGTTATTAATTTCAATATTAGTCAACTATTTTATTATATTTTTGACTTTTCCAATACTCGCATATAATGATTAGAAGTTCCTACGCTAATTAACGTAACTTTTTATCCAAAACTAAATTATCATTTTTGTTATTTCTGCTTGTACCCATCCACCCCCCTCCCCTTCCCGGTTTCCCATTCCCCTATTTTTCTATCAAATCAATATTCCAATTGACGAAGAGCCAATTAACGGCGGTTCATCCAGCCACAAAGCGACTGCGAAAATTAAATTCAAAAAAATCCTCAAACCAAGCAAACAATGCACTCATAAATAATCTACAGTAAGATAGTGTATGGAAATTTCCGACAACAATGGGACACAATAAATTGGCAATTTTCGGGCACAGCTCTTTTAAGATTGTAGGCATCCTATAAAAAATTGCCTCGAACAATCAAAGGCCATTCTCTGTTTTGCATAAAGGCAGTTCGTCATAGATTCCAATAGGAGATTGAAGGCAAGATTTTTTTGGGGAAAAATTGGCGGGTAGGTAGCCAGAATTAGAGGGGTTAAGACACGCCATGTAGGAATGAGTTTTCTAGAATTTGCTGAATTGGATACCTTTGTGGCGCCACACTACCTGAGATTGAGCTCGAAATAGTACGGAAGGCAGAAAAATAGAATTTTCCAGTATTTTTAGTGATGTTATCTTTAACTCTTTTAAAAGCTCAATACCGTAATGTATCTACAATTGTAAAGGCATTGAGCTAAATTTATCAAAAGCTGACCGAAAAGAATAGAACTCTAAATCTTAACATCAGGCGACATAATTATTAGGCTGCGCGAATTTTAGCGAGTTTAGTATTGAGCGTGCTATTGGCAACATTTCGATTTTTCTTGTTTTTTTTTCAACATTCCGATATTCCTTTACATGGCGAGCAGCGAAAATACAAAAGTCAGTCTTACGACACAAAATTTACTGGTTCTTTTTATGTATTTTATCATCGTTTTATGGCGTTTCAAATATTTTATTCTTGTTATTGGCTGGATATGGCAGAAGGTTATAATCGGGAAGTGAGGCGCGCTTGAAAAAAAAATCTAATGTGTAAAAAAACTTGAAGAGAAATGAAAATTGCAAATAAGTTGTTTCGAGCGATTTTTGAATATGTGTATATCAATAATTACACCCTTCAGAGAGGTAAAAAAAATTCTTGAGAAATGTTCATGTGCTTTCAAAATGATTGCTCACCATGACCATGCACTTTATGCAAATTTTTTGGAGGAATTTGTTGCCCAGCGCAAATGCATCGGTACCAGGCAAGACACCTTGAGAATGAACGCGTCGATAGTAGCAATGTCGTATAATGTCTCGTCGTCACATGGTTTCCTATAAACGTAGTACGGTTTAGACAATAAAACAAAACTGGGTGGTGAAGCTTATTAAGAAAATGCTCGTTCTCCAGATTAACAATTCACTGTTTCACAGACAGCAACAATGTTAAAGAAGGAAGAAGCTTATTGAATCACGTGTTACTGAAGATCCTCGCATTATACCTTGTTCATTTTTTTACACCTTATACAATGTTTCTTTTTTTTTGAGAATATTCTAAGTTGCTGCCACACCACTTTTGACACTATTGACTTGATGAATTGTTTGCTCATCGCTACCGAATTGTCATTTTCTCACCAGTATGTAAATTGTTTGGAAATCAATTTTCCACTAGTTCTTGAAAAATTTTTGACGTCATTCGTTTTGGGGGCGATGGAAGAGGGGGTGGGGGAACGAAAGATGCCTTCTTAAACACCGATTTTGTTCATTTCATGACAATTTCATTAATTAATTATTTATTATTGAGCACTCTTTCTCCTATCTGCTAGACAAATACCTTGGAGATTATAAGAAATTTTTACTCCCAACGTATTAGATATCTATTTCTATAACTTAAAAAATTTAAAGCAAATTGTCTTAAAAATCACTAGTCTGGGAAAGCACTAGTCTGAGAAAAGCAAACTGCATTAGCATCGTTAAAACGTTTCAGAAGCGCAATCGATTTAAGAGTCTCCGGAAGGTTGTATGTCGTATAGCTGCGCTTTCGATGCACACTGGTACAGGCCCTCAACGTGTACAAAATTTGTTGTCTTTTTCATTTTGGAGTACTTTTTGTCAGCAAAATATTTGTAGCTAGCCTTCGGTTTCCGACCCTTCAAAAATTGTTCTTCTTGATTAGGTCACGTTGCATTGGGTGCGACACAAAGAAATGGGGAGGATGCGATAACATTAATTATCATTTACGACTTCTCAAACTTTTTGACGCGACAGGTTATTGTATTGTGACAATCCGACGTTCTTAGAATCTATGGTTGTGCGTAGGAATTGACATATTTTCGATGGTCTTTAATTCTCGAATATGTTCTTTTACATTTCTTTCTGATCGTGATTTCGGTTTGCCATTATAATTTTTACATGTCACCGAAATCGGCATTAGATTTGATTTTTGCTTCCTTGATGCGTCGCGGCAAATATTTAAAATGTAGACACCCCCGCATTATTCTCGTTTCAAAATTTTATTGCCCCGAATTTTTTAGTGTTCCATATAATGTCAAATGCCAGAAAAAAAAACGACTGATTACAAAAGCCGCTGTGGCGAGGCACATCTTGCAATCGCCATTGCCTGACTGCTTCTTGGAAAACCCCCTGTGACATTTATTCGACTTTACAAGACTGAATGAGACACCGTCCTAACCTACGGTCCGTTTCAAAACATTCCCACGGGCACATGAAAATCAAAATCACCATAAAAGCAGAAAAATTGAACATGCCATTTCATTTTGATAGCTCTCGCATTCCCTATTCAATTTTTTCTCAATTCTTCGTTCTGTTACCATTTTCTATTGTCAGTTCAACAGAATTTGCTGAGAACACCCATTTCAGATGATAAGATCACAACGCTGCTACGATCTTCATACGCTTGGGCTCAGTGCGACGACGGTCTGGAAGCGAATTGCACAAATCGTGATAATAATTGGATTTTTCTTTCAGCTACCAATAGCGGAAAAATTTAAACAAGAGATATCCGTTCCAAAGCCGACCTCATCACCAAGACCATACGCGAATATTGAAGAAGCTGTTAGAAGCGTCAACATCTCGAAGCCAACGGAGGTGGGAGACCAAAATTGACAAGGGGCTGCCAAAAAGTCGACCCGCATAATACCATCAAAATAAATCATTTTCAAATAACAAGGAGTGATACTTTTTGGCAGCTCTACCTGAAAAAAATCAATGAAAATTGGAAATTAAGAAGCATATGAACAATTATTATGTATTTGTCGCAGTTGCTCATTCGCCAATAAGCAATATGAGAAAAAAATCTCCGCCCATATACAGTATACGCTAAGAATGTAACATGCGACCGCCATGAAAAATAACAAGAGAAAGTTTGAGTGTAGTTTGAACTAACGGTTTTGTCAGTAATATCGAAATTTTCCTGTTGAGAAAATTATTCCGACAAACGGATTTTTACACGTAACATTCATGAAATATTTTTAACGTCACGATCATAGAAGGGCCTTGAACCCGTCATGCTGTAACAAGGAATCTATTTCAATTGCTCTGTTGGTGAGCATTCATTCAGCAGACTAGTGCGATTGTTAAAAAAAATCGAAAACATGTATTTTTTCTTAAATACAAAGCGATTTCATTAGACATCCACAAAGTTTCGAAAATTTCGGTTTTCATCATGGTCAACTGCTTGTAAATCGTCAAATAATGAAAAACTAGTTTATATTATTTCACAACTCGGAACCATTTTGCTGATATTAGGATTAACACATCTACGCGTGTGGAATAGTGACTAGCAGAAAAATCTGAAAAGTTTATAACTTCCCGAACGTTTTCTCTTAACTACGTAAAATGATATACTCGAATATATCGAGAATCCACCCGTATGTACAGAGAATTTTAATGAAAATTCACCGTTTCAAAACTTTTTCTTGGCGAATCAGTTTATTAATTCACTTCGGTTTTGAAGTAAATCTTATCGATGCGGCATTAAAGAGCCGACAAGATTATATGTCCAATACCGGTCCCCATTCCACGTGGGAAACCGCGCGGTGCCCTTTTTCCAAAACGAAAACAGCTTGATACCCATAAATATTGCCACGTTTTCCATCTGCGTCTTTGAACATACTTAAAAAACAATTGTATTCAACGTCTTGAAACCCTAAGGTGGCAGATGTCTATTTGCGCAATCCCGTTTCAGTTTTTTTTTTCTTTGTGTTAAACCATTCATCTCAATTATCGTAGCAATTTCGCAGAGAAACGAAAAGTGAGCAGAGCGCCAGTGCTCCGGGATTCTCATAACTCAATATTGTGCTGTCTGTGTACAGTAAAACGTGAGCGTCCCCTTCTCGCGGCACCCTTCGATCTATCCAAGAGGGGTTTCCCAAATAAAACGCAAAACAGCACCATAAGCGCGGATGTGCGCCATTGTTTTCGACTCATTTTCACATGGCGCACCGTTCGAAACTCGTCAATATTTTCAATTTATCGGCCCGCTGCGGTGGGAAACATGGTGTTTTTGGGCTTCATTTAATGGGTCTAGGCAAACGCCTTGCCATACTGCGCAGTATCTATGGCCCGCCTTCAAACCATGCCAGTATACCTTCGGCATCAGCGGACGAGTTGGGCTTGCTCTTACTTTCTGCCAAAGATTTGTTAATCCTAAAATGTAATCTTCCTCTCAACTTTGTGATGCAGACGATCTCTCTCTCTCTTCCAAATAAGAATGAACTTCGTTCGTATGATCAGACAATATTTTCCAAATTTTATGAGATCGTAAAGTGATAGAAAAATTTCGCGCCAAGTTTGTTTGTTTTCTGTTATTATTTAATGGGCTACCAGTGGCCACTGCGCCGTATACGCTCATTCGGTGTCGAACTCTCCGAAGATAATTGTATGGTTTCCATATTTCTCATTCTCTCAACCTTAGATTCAAGAATTAAACAATTATTGTCATACATTTCTACCCCTTCTTGAATTACAGATCACTCCAATGACTTTGCTGAAGGCTGTCAAGGTGATTCGTCTCATTTCTATTAGCTAATACATTTGTCCTAAATTCAGAAGTGCGCTGTCAAATACTGTTGCTGTTGTCTCGGCATGTGCACGAAGCAACAAACTCGCGCAGAATCCTACGGTTCGATCAACGACTCTGTAAGTACTAGATATTTCATCATATCATGCACTTAAAAAACCAATTTCCTTGAATTCTTTGTAGTCCTTTATGAGGAATCCAAAATGCATTGAGCTGATCGACAATGCCGAAATCAACATGGATGAAGTCGAACAGCAATCTACGATTGTAAGCTTCATTTTTTTTCAAATAACTACTTTTTATTGAAAACGTGCAATTTTTCAGACATCCGACACCGTAAAGATCGATCAAATGCCTTTGATTGTCAACGGCACCTTCGTCACAAAAAAGGTGCTTAAAAATTGGGGCATTATGACGAATGAGGTGAGAATCGAATTTACTTCAATAAATATCGTCGCAAAAATAAAACCCCCTTAATAATTTGTTTCATGCCAACTTGAGATGAATATTAACAGAAATCGAACAGCTGCAAAATGCCGCTGTTATATCTTTGATCTCTCGAGAAAAAAATTCCTCAATAGGTCAAATGCACTTTTTTTTAACCACAATTTCATACCAATCAAGACATAATCTGAAAAAAAAATCGTTTTTTGGTTATCACTAAATTTCAGTTCAAAACCCTTCTCAAGAACAACGCCGAAAAGAAGATCAAGAAGGTCACCGTCCAGTGCTCACTCCCGGAGGAGGACAACATCAACGAGCAGTGAATCGTACTTGGAATTGTTAACTTTATTTATTCTCTTTGTTTCTTTTTTGTAATGTCGCACAATAAGATACTCATAAAATCCACAGTTGCCTAAAATAAGAAGCGGATAAGTTCGAAAAGCGGAGAAGAGGGCAAGGGTTCGAGGAAACCAGCGACGAACCAAAGAGAGTGGTTTCATACATTCTGTTACAATTCTGGGATTTGTATAAATACATTAGATCCGCAAATACTCATCTTTTAGTAAGAAAAAAAAGTATTGCTCTGATACTGCTTGGTCTACACTGCAAAAACACGATATCAGTCACTACTTTGCTCGTAATATTTTTGCTCTGCCGAAAATCAGATTTTATCTTTCAATATGTTCAGCTTTCTCAATAAAATACCCTCTGTTAAAAAATACGAACCATCAGACCTGTCAAATTTCAGCGCTTCGTGTTTGCATGTCAATCAGGCCTGACTGATAAAAAATTTTGTCGGGCCAAATATTTTTAAAAACAAATTTATTGTTTTTTCCAGTTGTTCTCCAGCGAAGTTTTATGTTACAATAATTCTTATTATTTATAATTGGGATATTTCAAATAAGAGAAAGTAAAAATTCTAGACCAAATGAAATTAAGCTAATTCTTACAGGTTTGAAAATTTAACGTTCATTAATCTTGAAGTTTGCAACCCGTTGTGCAAATTCACTCTAAAAATCGGACGCCGTGAAGCAGGACTTATTATGTAATTAATCAACGCACGTACGTTTTTAGATTAAACTTTGTTTCTTTTCAACTGTTTTTGTAATAGGGAAATGCTGAAAAAATAAAAACAATGAAAGAAAAAATTTTTTTCTTTTTCATTTTCACATCTGCATTTGCCCTTGACTCATTTTTACAATTAAATATTATTTTTTCTAAATTTTGGACCCTTCAGTTTTTGCAGAATATTTTTCAAAAAATTCCGATCGATCACTACTCCGGCTCAATGCTGCATGTATTAAGCAAACAGAATTCAATGAGCGAATTGCACGCCGTCTCCGCCTATTTAGAGAACTACCGTAGACGGGGCTGAGAAGTGGGCACACATCGGAGTTCCTCAGTTCGATTAGTGCCGCATTCAAAGATGGAAACTCAGTTGCTGTGGAGTCCAGATGTTCTCGCGAAAATGTATAATATCACCATGAATTTCAACGTTAACTATGCGAAATGTTTAGTTTCGCTTTCACAAGGTTTGTGAGTTTTCTGTTCAAAAGTAAATCGTTGTACAACTATTTATATCTTACTTATATTCTGGAATTTTTGAGAAATTAATTAATTAATTGTCGTCGATTGAATACAATGCTTAATTTCAAACAAACATTTAATTCCGGAAATGTTCAGCAGCACTGAATGCTGGTCTGCTCCCTCTGCAAATTCCGCCGACAGGCGTTTTCAATCAATTACCATATCCGAATTCGATTTCACAAATGGTAACGCCAACACCCACCAAAAAAAAACATGTTCAGCGAATTTTTACTTGTTTTCAGGCGCCATTGGTTGGTCACAATACCACAAATTCGGCGAATGGCAACGAGGAGACACGGAATTCGATAAACGAAACCATCGAACAGCCGGCTGACGAGGCCCAAACTACTAAAACTGCAGGTTCGAGCTGTTTCAAGATATTTTAAATATTTGAACCCATATGGAAGAGCTTAGCAGTGCTGTTTGAACATTATAATACTCGGGTGGCAATGGCAAATAAGATACCAATGCATCTCATTAGTTGTTCCACGGGAAAAAAATGAGGCGAGGAAAAGGCTAAAAACTGATGAAAACTCCTTTTCTGAATTCTAATTACTAGTTGGGATCGTAATTGAATTTCATTAAAATTGAAAAAAAAGAAATGTTTTGGAACTGGAATAAAGAACTCTGCAATTTTAGATGGATTCTCCTGCAATCAATGTGGAAAAATGTTCACTTATGAATATTATCGCGACAAACATCTTAAGTACACTCGATGCGTTGATAATGGAAAAAGAAAATATCCATGTGCGATTTGTGATAGGTATGTTTTGAAAATCATTGGTTTTTATGAAACAATATTCTTAAAAAAAACATTGAGAGAGTAATTTGAAACTAATTTAAAAACTGGCGAGTTTTTTTATTAAGCATTTGGTGTGCTGTGGACGACGTCTTGTCAGAATTGGCTATTATGAAAGTCTCAAGACCAATGTATTTCAATTTGCAGCATTCCCAACCTTCTTTAACCGTAACCAATTCTTTAAACAAAAGTAGCGTAGAAGGTCTCCTTTTTTTTTAAATACTCTCCCCCATTTGGTTTAAAATGCAATTTTTTTAATTTAAAAAATACCATTAAAATTTAAGTTCCACCAATATTCAACCGTGTCTAATTTTCCTAGGAAGTACTTGATGTTTTTACGGAATGTTTAATGCCCTATAGTGTATTATGTCAACGCTCACACCTAAAATAGTTCTGAAGTGGGCCCCCGTAGATACATTCATGCCATAAACATACTACCGTAAACCCTCAAAATCATTGTGAGCACCGCGTCGAGCAAACAATTCAAAACTACCATTTCTAAATGTTAGTGACACTGTCGACGCCTAATGCCACTGTCGATTGCGATTCTTTAGATCGTTCGAAAAACGGGATCGCCTACGAATTCATATTCTACACGTTCATGAGAATCATCGACCACATGTCTGCACTATCTGTAGTAAATCGTTTAGTCAGTCAAGTAGTCTGAACAAGGTGAGACCAAAAAAAGTGTCTAAATGAAAGGTCAATGTGGTACTTTCTAGCATATGCGGGTACACTCTGGCGAACGACCGTACAAATGCGACTGTTGCCCAAAAGCATTCACAGCTTCATCGATTCTAAGAACTCACAAAAGGCAACACAGTGGAGAGAAGCCGTTTATGGTGCGGAATTGATTACAAATTTTTTAATTGCTCGAGTAAGAGTAGATTGAAAAGAAAACATTTCGGAAAACCAAATAACTCGAAATAGTTCTCAACAAACCATTTTCTTTGACCCTATAAGGAAATGTTTTTCATGACGGTACACACCAGACGAATACAAGAAAATCAATTATTTAATTATTATGATGTTTATTGAAACAACTATTTTTAATATAATGCCAAAAAAACAAACATATATTTTTTAGATGAGTTTTAAACAAGAAATGGAAGTCACGACCCCTTTGCCAATTTTTACTTCTTTATGTCAAATGAGAGAATACAGTGATAGTTTCCTCTTCAAGCCTCTAAATATCGCGACAATTATCCATGAAAAATATTTACAAAAAGACACATCCCTTCTAATCTTGAATAATTGCCGTAAACCGACACGTTTTTTTTTAATCTCCGATCATCAACAAACATTGAAGTCAGTTCGTGATGAACCCAAACTTGCCAAATCGTTCGCTGATTTTATTTCGCCACTTCCGCAATTTGATCTGGTCTATGCGTACCTAGAAGAAAAAAACATTTCAACAAATAAGTCAATTACAGTGTTCACATTGTGGAAAAGCTTTCGCTTCGCATGCAGCTCACGACAGCCATGTTCGTCGATCTCATCTTGCCAAACCGTAACAACAGTATTATCAATATTTATTTGCATTGATTCCTGCTTGCTTCGATTCATTTCAAAAATAAACGTTTACCGTACCAAGCTACATATATTCAGATTATTCTAAAGATATGCATAACTACTACAATGGAAAAGACCGGTTGTTTAATAATACCGGCGTATTTTTTTTGCAGAATTTCGCTAAAGGTTGTTCGGAAGCTACAATAACAATGAGTAATGTTTGAATTTTGGCGAATTCGCTATTTGCCTACGAAGCATGCGCCTTTAAAAGACGCCGTGTTTTTCTTCAAATTCCAAATTGAATCAGCACCTATCTTCCGCTAATAACCCGTTTTATTATTAACAATAATTATTATGTTGTAATTTTCAAAGATAGCCGTGATAAATAGTACATTTCGGATAGTCGACAGATAAACAGGTTTCGATCCCCCTTTAACCATAATTTTCAACGACTGCATATCGTTTGACTTTTGATTTCAATTTCCAATTGACATATTTATTTTTATTGCTTGGTGTACTATAGAAAAATGCTAATATATTTTATAAAAAAACAATTTTATCTGATATTTTCTTTAGTGAAAATAAAGTCAATTGTTTAGCCATTCGTTTAAAATCAAAAAATCAAAAATCTTTATGATTGATGACCTTTAATAATTATTTCCATCATTCCTACCGAATTAATCAACAATACAATTTTTCTATATTCTCACTGGTATAAAATGGGACCAAAAACTGGTTGAAGTGTGTGTTGTGGGTGTGTTTGAGATACACCATATTGGACGAGTGCTGGAGACGAATTGGTAAAGATCACGACGAAAATGACAGTGGCGAAGAATACAAGACGCGTGATCTGTGATGACATTTTTCCGCGACACTCCGGCTATTGTAGTTTGAATATTTCAAATATCGACGTCTTCCGAATAAATCATCATTTTCTACTCAATTAGTTGTCGTTTCGCAACTTAATTTCTAGACATTTCCAGAAAACGTTTTTAATTTTTTCAGACGGTAATGGATCGAATATACATATTTCTCGCGTTATTTTCTTTGGTGTATTTCCTGGAAGCCATTGGTGGCAGCTATATTAACTCGGCAGTTCAGAATATTGAAAGGCAGTTTCAGATGTCTTCTAGAGTTTCTGGGTTCATGATCTCAGCTAGTACGTCTTAAAACATTGTTTACTTTGTTTTATTAAAAATAGTATGGAATCGGATCAAAAATCAATATCTCTTGTGGAATCTTTTAGAACACAATTGCTTTTTTTTCAGGTGACTTTGGCTACATTCCATGCGTCGTCCTAATTGCTCATTTTGGCTCAAAAGGGAATCGGTCAGTTTCGTTGAGCCACTTTTTTGTTCGTCCAGAAATTTTATCAATGATTTTCCAATCAATACATCATGAAGCAAAACATTCTAAAGAACAAGCGAATGTTGGAACATTTTCAGCGCGCGATGGATCGGTGCTGGAACAATTCTCGTTTCCATAACGTATTTGATGTTGGCATCGCCAAATTTTCTGTTTCCACAAGGACATCATGACATCAATACAACAGCAGTGGCTGTAAGTCGGAATAATGATTATCTTTCCCTGATTTGATTCAATTGATCTTGTGATTTCAATCGCAATCTGACCTCACGTTTTGTATATGGGCGTCGCCCGATGTCTCTGTGAGACTACGAATATCCCATGGATGCGTTCGTGAGGTTTTGAAAAATTTGTATTGAACAAATTTGAGAGCAATATGATTGCATAGCAAAAGTTATGGAATATCACAGCGGTATAGCTACCGTTCTATATGAATTTTAAAATTTGGGGTTCTATGTTTTATATTAATTTAAGAAGACCATCAAGACGAAACCATAAAAAGTTTAACTAAAAAGAAATTATTGTAGGCTCAACTCGAACCAACAGAACTTCAATTGGCAGCGAATTCTTCACTCCGCCAATTGTTATCATATCCATTGATTCGGGATCGCCTACCCTTTGACATTTATAATAAATTAAATTTATTAGAAGATGACCAATCCCCGGTGAGATCTCCTATTCGCTAAATGCTTTTAAACGCATAATTAAGATTGAGGAATACACCCCATTAAAGGATACGCCAAAGTCCGCTGAAGACGTTGGAACTATCGGACACAATGTAACATATTCAATTGATGGTTGGCTTATCGATGAGGTATTCCAGCAATGCCCGTTTATTGTATTCATTGAGCGAATTTAGGCACTTGAGAAGGTTGATAGTGTTCTGGAGGGTGACGGAGATCAGGCTGAATTGCGTAGCATACTTCAGTATTATTTGAGAAGACGTTCGAATTCGACAAATCGTGATATAATGAAAATGCGTTTGAGTGCTGCCGCACCATTTGCATTTTGCGGAAAATTGACGAATTCCTTAAGAAAAATTATCAAAGTAGGATTTTTATGACATATAGGGCGAATTGAAAATTTTTAAAATCCATTACTAGTTATAACAATAGTACATATCTTGATGGCTACAAGAAATAAACCAACAAAAAAATTGAAAATTGATGTTTATATTAATAATTTTCATAGTGGCAATTATTATGAAATTCATAGTTATTTGTAGAGCGAATTTGTTGCATAACTCTTTATTTAAGGATTCCAAATGCAATGAGCAAAGCAATAGTATTTATCCATTTCTTGTGTTCTTCTTCTCTCTTCTTTTCCTTGGTGTCGGAAGAACTGTTCCTTGGAGTCTTGGTGTCCCACTTCTCGATGACAACATCAAAAAGAAGAGTCTTCCCGCTTATTTTGGTATGTTTGAATAAATTTCTCAAAAATAAAATATTTCTTATAGGAGCAATTTCATCAATTCGTGTTCTTGGGCCAATTTGCGGTTATTTGATTGGAAGCGCTTGCAACAAATTATATTATACACTTCATCGTAAGATGGCTTCTTGAAAAAATTCTATGTTAAATTACGCTTCAGCTCCAAACGGATTGACACCAGCGGATCCAACATGGATTGGAGCTTGGTGGATTGGATTCCTCTTTATCGGATCTATCACCCTCATCCCGTCGATTGTCTTGTTTGCATTCCCATCTGGCCAGAAAGGGTAATAACCATAACTAAGCAAATACTATAAAACTTCGTATATTTGATTTCAGAACCGAATCGGCTTTACAATTACATGATATTCATAAAGAAAAGAAGAAGCTTGAAGTAAAAACTAACAGAACATTCAAGGAAAGAAGAACGGATTTTTTGAAATCGTGCAAAGCTGTTCTCAGCACAAAACTCTATGTGGGTAGTGTTGTTGGCAGAATTTGCGATATTCTAGCGTTCAAGGGGTATGAGACAGCAATTAGCTTCGGTTTCACTAAATTCGAATTTAGTTATATCGTTTTTTTGCCAAAATACTTGGAAAATCATTTTGGAATTCCTCAATACCTGGTATATCGCTACATGGGTATCCATTAACTAAATGTTTTGCAAGGAAATGAAATAATTTAGCCATGTTTGGGGTATTCGGCTTCGGATTGGGAACCGCTTGTGGAGGATTCCTCACGAGAAAGTTAAAACTCAATGGAAGAAGGGCTGCCCTATTCGTCATGATTGTATCATTTTTGAATGTCTGTTTGTACACGACAAAAATTTTCATCGGATGCGAATCAATTGTAAATTCCATCGGTCTGAATAATAGGTAGATTCTTTTCTTCAAAAAAAAAGTTTTCTAATTACATTCAATTAAGGGAAACTAATTACAATTTCACACGAGAATGCAACGCTCAATGCGATTGTGGAAGTGCTAGATTGTACCCAGTTTGCGATAAAACAGGGTAATTGACAATTCCAAAAAGAAAATTATGCGAAAATTGCAGATTTGCTTATTTTTCTCCATGCCATGCCGGATGTCGTGAAGCAAAACAATTTGGAAACAATCCGATTCTAGACTTCACGTCGTGCGATTGTGCTCCCGGTGGAATTGTTAGTAAGAAGTTTTGCGAGAACAAATGCAAGACTTCAACCGTTCTCTTCTTCCTTACTGTTCTTCCGGGATCGTTCATGGCAGGTCTTGGTGTTGTACCGGCAATGCTCATCCTTTTAAGGTAAAAAGAACATCAATATGAAAGAATATTCTAAAATTTGTTTAGATGCGTCCCGCCAGAGAGTCGGTCCCTTTCGCTTGGTCTTCAAGGAATGGCGGTATCTTTGTTCGGAACTCTACCATCCCCAATTATATGGGGATTCGTTATTGATGCAGCTTGCCTTGTTTGGGACACAACTTGTAATGGAACTCGTGGTGCCTGCTCAATTTATCATCCTCAACATCTTCGGGTTTGGATGCATCTCTTATATGTGTGCATTCGGTTGATCGCATTGCTCACCGATATATTCGTTTGGTGGCACAGTAAAAACTTGAACATTATGGAAGAGCCTCCAAACGAGGTAGGCAAAATGTTTTCGAATTTTTATAAGTAATAAAATATTTATTTCAGGAAAATGAAATAATTCGAAGACATTCTGTCAAACTTCAACCAACTACTCCGGAACAGTGATCTCGATAATCTATTCAAATAATTTTATGTTGAATTATTTTTTTTCGCCAAAATCCAATTTGTTTATTGTCTAACATTTTCATACTGGTAATCCATAATCACGTACAATTTTATTTTGAGCATTAACCTCATTATTTATACGGAATTTTCGTTCAATGTTTTCCGCGTTATTTTTGCAACTTATTGTTATTTGTTCTCTTCAAAAATGGTTGAAGTAAATAAGTACATTTGCGTATCAATTGACCCGTCACATCTCGCAGAAAACGAACGAACGATGACAATCCCAATATTTGCCTTTTTGGCCACCGTTTGTGGGCAGCTCAGCCGGCATTCGAACCATATTAGACCATTTATTTACCTGCCGCTGGTTGTTAGGTAGCTGCTACCAGATAACCCCCCGTATTTTTTTGCAAGCCAAACGACGTGAAGGAGATATCGAACTGGAAGGTGAGTATTTTAATTGAATAAAATGGCAAATTAATTGAGATGCTAAAATAATTTAATCTCTCGTTCAAACGTCTTTAACGGCTGAAACGTAACTATCAAATATACATGAAATATTTTTTTTAACTAAACACGTGTGAATCCCAATTTAATTTCATGAGCGAGAAATATCTATAAAAAAATATATACATGAAATATAAAACCTTAAAGCAAATCGAATTCACTTTGGACGCTTTTTTGAATATTGCGATTCTGATGTTACAGTCAGTAATTCATATTGCCAAAAAAATTTCATATGTTTCTTTATTAAAATTCTCAGTCAGCATATTTCAGTTTTTCCGAATGTACCTGTTTATACCATAATTTCCTTTAGACAAAATAAACTTTCTGGGTATCTCTATTTTTCTTTTCGAATTAACACAATTATTCTTATATTATTATATGGACGTTGTTTCCGACAAAAATTTCAATTGCTTCCCGCTGGTTTTGTTTTTCGCTGGTTTTCCAACACACAATTCGTCTCACCAACATCTTTCGTCCAGCAATTATCTCCCATCTCCGTAATTTATCCATGTATGTACAGTGTCGACCAAAACAGTTTTCTATGTGAAATCTTGATGAAATGACTTGCGGAACGCATAATTCGCTTTAATCGAGAGTCAATTGAATCGAAAAAAAATAATATACATTTGTTTAGATTAACAATATTTTTTGGAATAATGATTTTCTAATTCTCGAAATTAATTTTTTCACTAGTTTCATGCTATTTAATGTCTCAGAAATATTAAAGTGCTAAACATTTCAAAGAAAAGGGCATTGTTTTCAATTTACACACTGTATGCACTATGAACATTTTTTTTTTTTGAAGAAACTGTTCAGTTCAACTCAATCTAATATAATATTCATATTAGGAAGCAAATCAAATGATAATATCGTATATGGCAATGAATTTCACGAATAGTGATTATCCTTTGCCCAAATAAAATTTTCATACGCTCTACCTGCTTCCATTTTTATGTAAATATGAAACGCACCAGCCGATGATTATCATGCAATTCTTGACAGCCGAGCCTCCACTGCGTTGCCTCCTTTCACTCACACTATATTTTGTCAATAACAACACGACAGAAGCCATGTAGATGTATCGGTTTTTCACGGCCCGATTTGCGTCCCACTACCAACATTTTTACCGCCGGCTCTTATCATTAATTCGCATCTGGGTGGTACATTTTACGAGTTTCACTCCAATGACCTCGTTTAACAATGTATCGAACCAAACGGTTTTTTATTTCATTTTTATTAATATCGCAAGATTTATTATTGTATATGACAGAATAGATTATGATACATCTATTCATGAGAATGCAACACATTTTGACGTATTATACCAAAATTGGGCTATAGAAGTTGTATAAATTAAATTACCTTTGTTTAAGTAAAGATTTTTAAGTAATGATTAAAGCTTAACTTAAACCTACTCACTTACTTTGTTACTTAGTCGACCCATACTTCGCTTACAAAAAAATTTATAAAAATAAAAAATAATTGTTTTATCAAAAAAACATATTCTAATAAAATTTTCAGAAGATTCAATTCGTTTTTCATACATTTACAAGCAAAATGACAATAAAATTTCACTTGTCATTTTTTTTCCAAAATGATTGCAAAAATTCTTCAAAACCTTAACAATCATGTCCTTGCGTGTTTTTATCGTTTTAGTCTACTATCATTTCCATATCATCATACATATTCTTTTTTGATTTTTATTACACTTGATGAATTCAACTTCTCGACGTTGCTCTTTATCACAAAATAAGCTATTTTTGGAGTTTTTCGTTATATGTTTATGTATATACATTCACTTACACATAGATATATTCTTTTATGGACTTCTTTACAAGTCTTTTCCGGCAATTTAATGTTTAATTCACTCTATTGTACTAGTATTAATACTATAATTGTCACTTCCTCATTTCCCTATCTTTTTGTCAAACTATACCGTTTTTTTTTACTTATAAGCGTTCGCCTGTTCAATCACAAGGTTTCCAATTTTGTTCTAATATGAAAAATTGAAATTTCATTAGTTGAAAAGGAAAATGTGCGAAAATATGTGAATACAATAGGATCAATTAGTGGTTTCTATAATTGGATTTTCGTGTTTTTAAGGGGCGGGTTGTCTGGCGGGAAATTTGAAATCCCGCATGAACTAGTCTTTAAATTATAATAAAAAATCTTACATGTAACCTTGACCACTAATTTTTTGTAATTTTATTTAATTAATATAAAAATTTTATCTGAGTAGTTCAAATTACCTAAACTCTAAATTGAAAAACTGAGATCCTGCAATCCCAGAAACACGTAAAACTGAAAGTTCTCGAATTATTTGTTAAACCATCTCGCACTCTAACCTCATTTTATAAGTGTTCTTAATCATTTGAGTGTTGCTCTTTTAATAAATACAACTGACTCGGCAAACTACTTTCAATATGTTCTGTCTCCCGAATTCTATGTAAACATGATGAAGCGCCGAGTACAAAGGTATTCGCAGATAATAGAAACTTGAGCGTTTCGCGCTCTTCCTAACGCCAATACCAAACCATTCGCATTGTTTTTACCGTAACGTTATGATTTTCTTCTTCTCGCCTTTTTTGGTCAACATTTGATTTTTCATCCTTCCCCCCCACCCCAATTTTTTTGTTTAATACCAAACCTATACAATTGCCGTTTTCCGATGATAAATAATAACAAAAATGTAGTTCGTTTTTGGTATTATTCATCATTATGGACGACGACTACGACTATTATAATTTCTGCTATAATGAATCAACAGATAATGTATGTATGTTTTCCACATTGTTGAGATCTCATCCATATGAATCTTCATATTGCGCTCTTTCATTACGATGAATTTCAGGTGTGTATGGACATAGAAAAACTGAAACCGCCCGCTGATAGATCGTCAGTGTCGCGGCAGTCTGATAGTTTTAACTCATTTCTACAAACTGCCATCTCCGCGATACTTGTGAGTAAAAAATTTGAAAAAAAATTGAACAAACTAATGTAGCAAACCAAACAAATTTATTTAGTGCTGCTGATCGAGGTTCAGAATGTTGTTCTCAAAAAACAATCTTTTTGAAATTTTGAAGTTGGAAAGGCGATGAAAAAAAGACTATAGAAACTTCCTGATGTTTGTTTGTTCATTCTCATTTGCTAATTCATAGTTTTTTTGGTATTGCAAATTCACCGTATTTCATGATTGCTTACTGAATTTTCTGAAAACAAACAATAAATATTTCATAGATTTCTGAATTAGCCATGGAATTTCGAGATAAAGCGAATAATGAATTTGGCTTTCAATATTGCTTGACCTCGATATTGCGCGTTGCGGTAAATTGGTTCAAATTAGTTTTGTGTTGTGAAACCCAATTCAATTATAATACCGCTAGAAACGGTCACCAACCCAACCGGAATATCCAATTTTTCCGGGAAATCTTTTGATTTTCACAACATCCTAATAATAATAATATATTAATAATAATAATTATGATTATGAATGTAGTATTGCGGCAAATAATTATTGCGGCGGTCACTATCCGGTCGGATGCCATTACATAAGGTGTCATTGAGGTCCACCTTGACGTCGATAACTTTTTCTCGTGAACTAGTCCGTCGAATTTCGCACTGGACATTTGAACATTAGATAGATTCACATGAATTCGACCTCAATTTTCTTTTGCCTACAAATTCTGACGTTTTTCCTTTTCTTCTATAATTAGTAGTTAGGTTCAAAAAATTGCCTTCATCAATATAAAGATTGTTGTAAATCAATTTAAGTTCGATGTAAATTACCACAATAAATTGGTGAAGAATTCCATTTCTCTGAATTCCGAACATTTTGATTGAAAAATGAATATCGCGTGGAAAACTGGAAAATTATACAATACACTGTAAATTTTACACCTAATTTTCAAGATCATATTCGTGATCACAGAAAAAAATGTCGAGAATAAATAAAGAAATTGAATCAAAAATATATCTTATATCCATAAAATATATCATTATTTTTAGGCCTTCATATTCTCATTGCGAATTATTTTGCGATCTACTCTGAAGAAGATCACAAATCACGCAAGCGATCAGGAGCCCTGCAGCAGTTCTAGCAGTAGCAGCGATTCGAGTAGCGAGCCGATCGATATTGAGGCAAGTCTCTTGATTGTTGGCCATTGTCTGCCTCTAATTGCTCATTCGACTGCTCAAATCTCGCGTTCGTTTTGTTGAAACTGTTCGCCGTCGCGCGCGAAACGTTTATACATAGTTCATTCATATAGAATGTCAAGTGCATTCAACCAGCCATCTCTCGTCTTCTTGACCGTCTCGCATTCATTTTTTTTGTGGTCAATGTCAATGGCAATGCCATTGAGCAAATGCAATGTATGTATATTTGCTGATTTTTTTGTGTGCGATTTGCATCTTCGTTTATTCAGATGAGTCAGATTTTGATTTTGCTCCGCGATTTTTTTTCATTCCAATTTTACTTTATTTTTTGTCAATATCAAAACTTCACTGACATTATCAACTAAATTTTCTTCTTCAACTTTATTCCTTTGCGATCCATTGAAATTGAGAATTGCGTAGAACCTGAATTCAGCATAATTACCACCAAACAAATATAATGTCCAGCAATAGCCTTCCCAGTTGTAATTATAAATTTGAAGGACTATGGTTTTTCTTTTATTCTCTATTTACATGTAATCACAAAGATAATGTTTGTTTTAGGGATTTTAGAAAATTTTCTGGAATTATTTCAATTTATTTTTATTTAAAAAAAATGTGTGTAAAACATGGAGAAAATCATGTATACAATTTCTAGCGGCATTTTTACTTTCTTGAAATTCTACAGAACCTCAATAATTGTTTCCCCGTTTATTTCGCGTTTTCTCGCATTTTATTACAACGAAATTGTTCCTTTTTTCCCTTATATCACCTTTCGTTCCCAGACTTGTATTCTTCCAACTTTCTCGATATTGGTTTGTGAATTGCTACAATTACATTGAACGCGGTTCTCCCACAAATAATCACTGGCCATTATCGCGATAGTAATGTGTTATACAGTGTGTTTTTTTTTTAATTCGCGATACGGATCAGCTCGTCCAATTCGTCGATGCAGCATGTATGATCTTGATTTAAAATGTATCGGATTGCTTTTATTGTTCACTCGCCAACACATCGATTTTCAACGCTCAAACACCTCGTCAATTCATTGACTAATCAGTATCAATTAATCAAATCCATCTCTCCACCTTGACTACCAATGCCATGCGGGGGAGGACCTGATTTATTGCCGATTCACACCCGATTCAAACAATCTATCAATATTGGTAGACTGTTGTTTTCTTTTTTTCGGTTTCCAATTGCTCTTCCCTGTTTCACTTGTGAGCTAGACCGTAAAATAAATACAATAGTATGCATCGTTTCTTTGTCCTCATCCCCCCGCCGCTCGATCTCGACGTGTCGTTCAATGCTTTTTTTGGGATGTAGTCTATTAGAAAAATTCAAAAAAACATTTGGATATTTGCGAGCGCGCGTCTCAAAACTGTACAATTTGTTTCTTGTAGCAGCCATAAATGTACGAATTTATGGCGACGAAGGGGTTTGACGTTTTTTTTTTTGTTTTACTCGACAAAAAATCAATATTCTTGAATTATTTCTAGTTTATTCGAATTTATTCATTTTCAGAATCAAATCGAGGAAATGGAAGAGAAAAATGCCCAGCATTCACAAGGAATGCCATCAGTTCTATCTCTTCTGCAAACCGATGAAATGCCGTCATCGTGCTCCGATGAAGAACCGTAATATATCCTTTTTTTGAAATTTACACCAAATTCAATAATATAAAGAATAATTAGGAGAAAAGCTAAAACTTTTAAATAAGAAAATATAACTATATGTAATTGTCTCAGAGGTAGTTATAATTTCCGAAAACCAAATTTTTAATAAAATATGAACAATAAAAATAAACGTTATTAAAATCTATAATTGTCCAACTATCTAGTTTATTGGAAGACTTTCGTGACTTAAAGAAATGTAATCTATAATATTTCATTATGCAAAATTCAGCGCAAGACACATAATTTTATATTTTATACCCCCATAAATAGATTCTATCAAATAATAAAATTTCGTTCCTCGAATTCTATAATTGGAAATTAAATCTCCAATCTCGGTTTAATTACCCTTATTGACATTTTGGATTTTTTTGGAAAATTCGTCAGGCACGAAGAAAAGTGTCAAAACACAGATGAAGTTTATTTCGCACAACATTTCAATCAGTGTGTGAAAATTTTCCAAATTTGTCCATTTTTGAGATATGTGAATGTTCAATTCCTCAGCAAAATTTAGTGTCTACAAGTTGGTAGTTTCGGTTTTTAAAATTTTCATGCAACCATTTCCACGCTTCTAGTTTTTCCATGAGATTTGCAGAGAAAATAAAGAGGATTAACGTCGGCGAGCAATAGATTCATTTTTCATATAATCTTGGCTAATATTTCAACAATTTTGATTTTTGTTTTATTACAGTTCGACGTCAGGAACCATTCCACTTCCATCCCTGCTTCAATCCAACATGAGTGCCCTGCCAAATTTCCTTCACACAATCAATGAGGTAGGTCATTGAAAATTATCACGATTGATGATAGGAGAGATATATGTAAATTTTGGTGCGCCACACCTCAGGTTCACCAATAATAGCTGCCCTGACCCGAAAGAATCGGGTCCCCCCAATGACCTTGCGATATAATCCAAACGGTGCGGGTCGGATTCTGATAAACCTCAAGCGTAAATGGATATTAATCTGCCGACAGAATTCCTTTTGTTTTGCCCCATTTAGACGAAAATGAATATACTATACATATTAAAGGTGTTTCTAACCGTTGGAAAGAATTTTGCACTTTCTAATCGATGAACTGTCAAGTTGTTTTTCTCTAAAATTATTTCAAGGCAATGTGCTAAAGAAAATTCGATGCTGAAAATAAAAATGGAGAAAATCTAAAAATAATTGGTAACATTTGTTCTTCTCCCCAACTTTTATTCTATTACGTTTGTGTTTCGAGGAATTTACAATTCCATGCACTTGTGCAAATAATATCTTAGCTTGTTCAAACAATTCTCGGCAAGTTTTGGTCCGTCGGACTTACCTTGTTTGGTATTATTCGATATTCGTCAGCCGTTTTCATCGCTCACAGTAATTACCAGCGGTCAGATTAACACGTCTAGGAGAATAGAGGGGGGGGGAGAGGGACCATGACCGCTCCTCCGTGACCCCAGCCTTTTTTAGTCGTCTCCACCCGTCCCGCTCACCCTCCCATAATCATAATAATAATATGTGGACGGGTAGGGCCAGTCAGATCCCCCACAGATCCGTCAATCGGCCACCCATGCGACCTGCCTAATATTGTCCCTCCGACCTCAGACTACGCGTTTTTTGGCTTGAGTATTGGTTTACCTTCGTTGGCGTATCTACTTTTTGTGAACGTGGAGGGGCAGGTGCAGATGTTGAAATTGCTACTTATGTATTTCGTGAAAGCTTCCCTTTTTCCCTTCAATTTGAAATCCACTTCAATATACCTTCTGAGACTTTTGCAATTAATGAGCTTTCACACAACCAGAAATCAGTATATATATGTTTATCTCGCAACTTTTTGGATTATATATAATTGTTTTGCAATTATTTTTATTGCTATATGCATAATTTTCAGGAAGAATCGGATGAAGTAAGATCTTTGACCGGCAGTAGTTTAGCATCCCCACGTACTGTTGTTGATCGCCGATTATCCAATATATCGCTTCTCAGTCCAATTCTCAACGACGACGATCAGAGCTCATCGTACTCCGATCATTCAGAAGTAAGCTGCAGAATGATTTTTGTACAGCTGAATGGTGAAAATTGACGCTGTTGCTATATTTTTTTCTGACGTCGTACCCATTGTTTCGCACTATCCCGATTAAGGAGATTCAACCATAATTGCACCTAATTAAGGCTGCAAGAGACGTCCCACCGCACGAAGAACAAAGGACGCTGCGAATTGTTGAAGTCACGCATTCATCGCAATCGGAAGACGACAAACTTGATCTGCTCAAAGAATTGGCAAAAATAGGAACAAAGCAAAACCAGGTTTGCTTTGAAATTGGATTATTGCGTCAACCCATCTTGATTACGTCAAAATCTTGCAAAAATGGATAGGTTCCACCGAGATTTGAACTCGGGTCGCAGGATTCAAAGTCCTGAGTGCTAACCGCTACACCATGGAACCTCACACGAGCGAAGCGGTGTATCGCATGTTATCCTCTCAAGAACGCGCAAGTGTGTGTATATGTCGTCTCTTGCGCTCGTGTGCTATTTTTCTCGTTCGTGCAAAAGAGCACACAGAGGAAATTATAGTATAGAAAATGTGATAAAGAATAATTGAAAAAAAAACGAAAGCTCGAGGGAATAGTTAGTAACAGATTAATATAAAAGTATTTGCATTGCCTCACAACTTCAGAGAATTTATTTTTTATAATGTTTTTTTTATTACCTTGTATCTCGGCAGTTTTCAATTGAAAATATTTAATTTACTGAACCAAAAAAATATTGATCACATCGTAAAGAAAAAAACCATATTATTTGTTTCTAATATCAACATTACATTGAATTTTCAATAATCCTATCTTTAGAATAGCTTTCTTTTTCGCTTTTACGAAAAAAATACAAATTCTACTACCACATGTGGAAGTTATTTAAATTTCACATTTTCCAACTTTGATAGCTTTTAAAATTTTCCTATTTCCTTTATATTTTTTCCATATTTACAATATTTTGAAATGTTAAAAAATTTTGCATTTCTTTAATAATTTGCTAATGTTTCTCAAAAGCCGTTAAAATATTTTCCGAGGCTTTTAAAAATTTGCAAAAGCGATAGGTTCCACCGAGATTTGAACTCGGGTCGCAGGATTCAAAGTCCTGAGTGCTAACCGCTACACCATGGAACCTCACGGCAGTGTAGTTGCATTCTGCGTTGAGAAAGCAGCAGACAGCCAGCATGACGAGAGAGTGTGTAAGGCGATGAGGTTTACAATGAGACCAGAAGTGAAATGAAGACATAACATTTATATATTTTTTCAGTCAAAAAATTATGAATTATCAAGACCAAAAGACATTCCATTGTTACTTGTCATTTTTGCGTTACCAATAAGATAAAAAACAGTGATTGAGAGAAATTCCCAAAAAATTGTATAGGCGCTTCCTATTGTTAAATTTTTTTCTGATTTTATGTTTCTTTCCCTGCTGACGTACACAATAAAAAACGTTTTTGTATTGTCGCGCTCGAAAGGTTTTGAATTGAAAATGTTATGTTCCTTTTTTGGTATTCCAAGATTGTAGAAATGTTTGTTCAGAGTTTCAAGGTTTTCATTCAAAGAAGGATTTTTCGAGAAGGCCCATTTATTGATGTTTTCGATTCTGAAAACTATTAAAAAATTGTTTTGAGCGTGAGAAATATCCGAAGAAACTCTTTAAGATATGCATTTTTTATGTGTAGCCTCTAGTCTTGATTCAATATTTACTATACGCCTAGTTATATTGTAAATTATTAATTATCCTATCCGAGCATCGCATCCAATTACAACAGTTTCTAAGAATTTCATTTGAACACGGCGCTATTATACCCGTGAAGAGTTTTATTTATTTTGAAAACCAACCATGCTTGTCGTTTATGAGCAATCAACATTATTACGTAAAGGATGAAGCTTGGAGTCAAGTGTGTATGGTTGGGCGTGTGTGTGTGTGCTTCGTCTCCAAAAATTGTCAAATACACGATCTCTCACGGCTGCTTTATATTTACCCATAGCATATAAACATAGAAACTCAACACAGTGATTCTTCTTCTTTTCTTTAATTTGCGACACCTTTTGTTTTTGGCTGCTTGTTTGAGAATTCATATTTCATTTTTTTAATAAATGATTTTACAGTAATCAAGATGGGAGACATCAATGAAGTTCAGTTACTTGTGACTGAGCTTATTGATCAGGTCGACATTCTGAAACCCTCTAAAGCGATCGTTATTCAGATGCAGCCATCTACCGATCAATCCGAGCCAGTTGTGGAGCAAACGAAAATTGACGAGGTTCCTGAAGTGCCATTAACATCTGCAGTTTTAGCGATTCCTGAAGAAATTGAAGAGCCTGACTATGCGCAGGTGCCAGTGGAAACTGATGAGGAAAATGAGGAAGAAACATCGAAGAATGATACGGTCATTGAAGTGAAGAAGATGGAGGCTGATGAGCCGGAACTTGCTGAAATTGGAGAGCCGCAGAAGGCTGAGGTGGTCACTATTCCTCCAACGAGTGATGCTGAAGATCAAAAGGTATTACTCAATTTAATTCTGACACATTTCCAAGCTGAGGGAATAGGTTGAAAAGAAACGAATAAACAAAAACCAACAGCTGGCGTCCAAAAAAATGTTGCCAATTTTTGAATTTGCTTACAACAACAGAATCCCTAATTATTCTCTCCTCGAGTAATTATTAAATAATTTCAAGGCATCCTGATCAAAACATGGTTACACTACAAAACTAGATGTAAATTATTGGTAATTGACGTGTATTCTAATTAGAATAGTGGGTCAAATTTGCGGCTTTTTCTCTTCATTTTTTTTCTGAAACCAAATTGGTCAAACTTGAAAAATGGCTCTCTTGTTTGCGGCAAGCTTTATCTATTTGATCACGTCTCGTAATAAATATGCGCTATTTGAAATCATATGATTTTGCGCGATTCTGACTTACCTAAACAAATAGATCGCGTCGCTGTTTTGTCATGCATCAAAACCAAGTCATTATCTGTTCGGGAATTATACTTTTCATTGTTGTGCGCATTTTTTTTCTCCTGGTATGTATTTCGATGTTCCAACCTTGCCCCATCAACCGTTCGCCCAACTTTCACTCCCCAGATTCCCCCCCCCCCCTTCCTACCAAATGATCTAGTGTGTTTTCATACTAGTTTCTTTTGTGCGAGGCATCATCATCACCTACTCGAACAGCCGCAAAAAATAACACCCGACAATATTTGGGTTTCGAATCAATAATTCATAGTGAACGCCGATCATTATTTGATTTGAGAGCGTCACCATCATTTTTTTTCGCCCCATTCTTTTCGTCCATGGTATGCAAATCGAAAATTCCCACGTTTTGGGTAGTGCCGTCAAATTGTACATTTTTTTTCTCAAGAAATTGTACATTTTCTTTCGGCAATTTTCTGTGTATTTAAAGTTTAAACCATTGAGGGAGATTGTAAACTGGAAATGTTCGTTACAACTTTTCGAAAATTTATCTTGAAATTCGATCTCCAGTATATATTTTTTATTTCACAACCTCATGCTTGCTTGTCGCTTTTATGAGTCATTCTTTGGTTACCATCACCATCTTGAGAGGTCGTCATTTTACGAAATAGGCCATTTGACTTGAATTCAATTTTCTAGCATTCCCTATCCATTTTAATGTTTGCAGTTTCCATGTATTTTGACGATGAGGTGCATATTAGTTCCACAGAAGTTCACACCACAAAAATGACATCGTTTATCGTGGTTGGTTTTCGTTTCACAGCGCAACTTATTCGCTCAGCGGAAATTGAAATCGAAACGACCGATCAAAGACAATCGTTCGGTCTAAAAATAGAGAGGAGAAGAATTTTTCCTCCGATCTGCTACATTTGTCACAAATGAATTAATGCTTTTTTTGTTCAGCTCGCTGACGCTGATAGAGATCAAGAGGAGGAATTGGTGTTCAATGAGGAGAGACGAAAAACAGTCACATTGTGAGTTTGATACTATTTTTGGTTGAATAATAATTAGATGGTTTGAAAAATTATTAAAATTCCATATTTGAATATTAAAGCATGAAGTATCTGGAAATCTTGCAAAAAATTTTGACTATATCATATTTTACTGCTTAATTCTTTTGATTATTTATTATCTACCTAGATATATTATTGAGCTTGTTAAAACCCCTAAATATACAAAATTTATATATAAAACATTTCAAAATTGGAATAGACTCCCCCCTCTTCTAAAGACATTATGTATTATAATAATCCCTATGTCTGTTATTTCGCTAATCCCTATTTACAAAATTCAAAAATGAATTCGACCGATCGCGCAATAGTGCAACATGTTGACCTAGAACTCACTGGCTAACCCAAAAAGGTCGTAGAAAAGTTGTTGTCAAATTTGTTGTGTGTGGCCATTTGAAAAACGCGAACCGGTTCCTTTTTCTGCAATGTTTTGATACCCGACGGACAGTTCCTTTTGTGAAAATGCGTATTCCGCTGGCTGGCGTAATGCACCTAATATTATTTCATTTAAACAATTATAATTTCGTTATTAAAACAAACGATTTATGTGTATGCAAATGAGTCATAATGCGCAAAGTGTTGTTTCGCGATGAGAGCGAAAGTAATTATCGAGAATTCCTCAATATTTATTTTGGCATCGTTTTCGTTATCAATTTCAATCGGTCTCACCCATTATTCGCAAATTTCGAGTTTCATTTCATTATTCACAGTTTGACGCCGCCGCGAAATGAATTCTCGATTATCCCTCCCGTATATCGCCGCACATTCATTCCTAATCTCGACATACCATTCAACATTAGAATAATTATTTGTATTTCCATTTTCGGCGATCACAACAGCTCTTGTTCCTATGCTCGTATATAATTATATTCCAAATCGATTTCATTTCATAATACTATAGTAATAATGATAGCATATCAAAAAATTAAATAATTTTAAGCAAGATCTTCCTTTTACTCAAACTTCAAATACTGAAAAATTTTAAGAAAAATTTTAATACAAATAGAGAAAGGTGCGGAAAATAACGCAATATTAGAAAATTTCGACATACTTAAAATTTTACAGTTTTGAGAAAAAATGATGATGAATGCTATTCGAAAAATTGCATAGTCAGAAATAATTATAATATAATAATAAAAATACAATTTCTAGAAAATTCAATAAAAAATAAATACTTGATATTCCCATCTTCTCATTATTTAGGTACGATTTCTTTAGTTCAAAATTCGTACTAATTTGTTGAAAACTTATTTTGCAACACACATTTCCCTCATCAAACTTGTTTCTGAGTCAGCGTTCAATAAAATGGCCTATCGGTTCTTGGCACAAACACAAATAACCTCAAAAGACATTATTTGCACAATCGCGCGCTTGCAATTGCTGATAACATGTCTCACTATCAATTTATCAAACCGACATTTTTTTACGCGCGTTGCCTGAACCGATGCACCATCAATATCACTCACAATCACATTTCTCCAGAATATCGTAAGCAGATATTTAAACGCATTAGAATGCATATCAATCGTTTTTGATAATTGCAGAGGCGACGACAATTCTTCGCTACGGTCTGCTTCAATAACCCTTGATCCGAATCGGGAAGAGGTTGATCTCAACGAGTCATTTGCTTCGAATCCAACAGACGAAAGCGCTTTCATGCAAAGGTTTGTACAATTTGATATGAAAAAAAAACAAAAAAAAAAAAAACAAGTGAGAAGAAGAACAACATTATTTCCCACGCATCGACGAATGATTCAAAAATCAACGTTACGAATGATTGAGTTCCGAACAACGCATACATTTGTCATTATGCAAACAATTTTGTATATTAGCTCATCTGTTGTAGTTGCGACGATGACGGCTTGTTAGTTAGCAGTAGTATTTTTTAGTAGTAACTGTTGTTTTATTCGGCATTTCGAACCATTTGTGGAATAAGAAAGGTATTCTTTCACCTTCACGCCGTACTCGTTAAATGTCTTCGCGATGTTGGTTCGCAGCACTATTCAAATTCACCATCTTACGCATAATTGCATCAAAAAAAAAAAAACATTGAATGATTTGCAGAACCAAGGACGAAATGGAAGCGTCCGGCCGTCCAAAATCTCCACTCGATCTTCCACCGCCGCCATCTTCTGTTGTGCACCCGGCCGGACCGCCACCACCGCCACCTCCGCCACTTCCATCACGACCGCCTGTTGAAGAGACAACTACCACTTATACCACAAAGTCGTGGACATCAACAACGGAATCTCACGAAACGCCGAAGATTCCACTTTCAAATTTGAGTCCAGCCCAACCACCACCGAGCATTTTGTCTTCTAAAACTATTGGATCGGGATATCCATACTATTCATCAGGTTTCTTTTTTTTTTCATTTAAGCTTTTAGTTTTTAAACCAGATTTTTTTTTTGAAATAAAAAAAACCCGAGTGTTCTCAAGAATCTCAGTTTACAATATGCCTCTCACGTGGATAATATTTTCACGTGAAATGAATTACAGTAAAGGACTATGGGTTTCAAATTTCTATAAATTTCAATAAAAATGCCCCTTCCTTAAGCTTTATCAAACAATGATTTTTATTAGGCTTGCAAAATCAAGAATTTCTAAATTTTGATTTTTAAAAAGTTCACACTAAATTTTTTTTCTCTATTCTTGCAAATCGGTTGGGATACATCTAAGGATTTTAAATCTTTCGAACGGATCGCAAAACAATTATTTGGTCAATTTCAATGTTGCATTTGTCAGTGAGAAATCGCCGACACAATGTGTGACGGTGGGGCGACCTTCTTGACGGAATACCGAAAAATCCGCGGCGATTCCCTCATTCGATAAGGTCGATAGTCCTCACGAATGACACTTATTCGAAGCAAAAACCATGCAACGCTGGTTGGCTTTCATTTTCAACGTGTTCGCTTTTTTTCTTGAAATTATGATTGCGCCGAGTTACTGTTTGCTTTTGCCCGCCGTCCAAGCATTTCTTATTATTTATGGTATTCGATTTCACCAAACATACATTGCATTCACATATGCGTATGCTTCGTTGCATTTTGGGCTTTTGATGTTTCTAAACAAATTTTTAGCGCTTTCGCGGACCCCTTTGCTTGTCAACAAACGCATGACGGCGGGGAAACTCATAAAAAAAATTGCTGTAAATGGTTTCATCGAAGGTGTGAAGCCAACTTAAACACTTCAGAGAAGAGGCAAACCCTCAAATGCAAATAATGACCGGCTCATGGGACCGCCAAGAGGCCGCACCGTCAACGTATTCAATTACTTTGCGATTGATTTTCAACGTTATCCAGCCTTCCATTTTTCGTTTAATTCCTTCTAGGCTAGGTAAAAATGCATTCCACCCATCTTCTTTTTTTCAATTTTGATCTAATTAACGATTCTAAATAGTTTTGATCGAAAACCATTTCATTGAAACAATCCGCAACATATGTTTTCAATTTGCAGGACATTCTTTGTTAAGCAATTAACGACAACCAATTAATTATTAAACGATCATTTCAGGAATGAGTGTCCCAAATGAAGCCCCACCTCCGCCGCCGCCACCAGCCCCAGTAGTGTCGTCGCAGAATCAAGTGAATACGACGACGACGACGACGACATCTTCGACGTATCAGCCGTATCAATCTGGAGGAGCATCTAGCAAGGTATGAATTGATCAATAGTGTATATATTTCGTGCATACGAAACTTTGATCGAATATATATATATATAGTGTAGGTGAGAGAGGGTGTCATGTAAATACAAACAGTGAGAATCGAAAAGAGCTTCTCGGTCAGCGATATTTGCATATTCGGACTTTACACACTCGAGTGGTCAGCTTCATTTTCTAGTTATTCATGAGATTATTCAAATTTCAAAGTGAGTGTATTTACAAAAATCATTGAATCATAGCTGAAAAGTTGGGATACTTAAAAAAATCCTATCAATATCATAAGTGAGAATTATTTCAGAAATTCTTCCCGGATTAGAACAAATTTAGAGGAAAAGGAATGTTTTGGAATATTTTGTATATATGTATAAAATTCCAATCCAAATTCATTCCAAAAATTTTTGTTTGATTTTTCAAAAACATCAGATGCATCACCATCGGTGGCGCACGGCATACGGCGGAGAGGAATTCGCCTCTCTCCACCTCTCTTTTCATCATCATTTCAATTCAAATACACACACGACACCCGGTCCGATTGTTCTTTTTTCCATCCTCTAGTCCCCACAAAATACACAAGCCGTCGACGGGATGAGACCCACTTATATAACATAATTTGTATATGTTTATCAATTTCTGTTGTCGATGTCGGCCAGTGGAAAACAGAAAAAAAAAACAGAAACCGCCCGGCTTAATCAAGGTGCGCGAAGGCCAATGTTTCCTCGATTTTTACATTCTTTGTTTTATAATGTAGAATTCGGCCATCAAATTGTTGCCAAATCCTCTTGTTAATGATGATGTTGGCATTGAACGTAATTCCCGATCACTTAGCTATTCTGATCCGATTGTTTTTGCCTTTAATACCATTTCAGAATTTCTCGTGCAAATCAAACTGTCGTGCAAACAAATAATAATAGTTCTAGAATTTTCGAAATCCCACCCAACTAGCTGATTCCCAGGATTCTAATCTTTCTCCTGCCGCTCTACCGCCGCCGCCGCTCACCTTTGCGAATCAAACATGCATTCCATTCGATGTTGCGATAAGAAGAGCATTGTCACTCAATGTTTGCCAATCTTTGAGAATGATAAACATGACCAAGCGGTCCTTGAGTCATAACAAACATATTCCACAAAAATCTCCAAGCGAATTCAGTTTCAACTCGGACCTAATTGTTGACATTCGTTGTGGCAATAATTGCCCTTTTCGGAATATCCACCTTCCTTTGTTTTGAGTATTCCAACTCGCTCCACCTGTCTGCCATCTAATATGTTGTTTACATTAGCGAGCCTTGCCGAGGATTAAGGTGTCGTTTGGCTTACTAGCCAACTCCCATCTCTTCCATTTGTAACTTCTCAAGATTAATACTACTGTACCAAGTCGGCTCAAATCCCCGCTGGCATTATTGACATTCGCGTCGAATGTTTTCGCATTTGTGTAATTACATATGGTCCCGTGTCCCCACCGAGCGTTGTCTCGCTTATTTGACCGGCCCGTGTCGGCCTCCCGAACAGCCGATCGGCAACGGTCAGTTAGATAAGCGTGTTGGTGGGTGGTTGTAGTAATGGTTGAGGCAAATATGAGAATGGGTGGCCGTGAGGGTTCCGTGCAGTTTTCCTCCTGGGGCCGTTCGTTTCGGTTGGTGTATGCATTCGCCACAGGGGCGACTGTCAAGGTCGCCTACGCCGCCGTCTCATTTGACTCTCACCCTCAATTGTACTACTACCCCGCATATATTTCTTGGATATTGTATTCATTATTATCGATTGTTATCCTCAAATCGCACAAATATTTTATCGTTTCGGAGAAGGCTATCATATTATTCGAAAATGGAAGCAATCCATAGCGATCATCATTTATTTATATTTTTTCATGGCATACCTCTTATTTGACCTTGATATAAATTTGATCGATTTCTTTTCATTAGGCCGGAAGAATTTGATTTAAGCTAGTTTGCCAATTATGCTGGTTCGCCGAACATTATGAAATTTCGCCGATCTTAATAATTCCAATTTCAGCAAAAACCTGTATTTGACGGCCTATTAATTGGAATTGTTAGGTATTTGGAATGGATTCTTGAGATGTTATAAACATTTTTGGCTAAACAAATTTTGACACATTTTCGTTACCCAGTGAGACGTTGAAGAAATATTATGCCGATTTTGTTCCCACTTTTCAGCTAAACGCTTTCCTGACGCCATTTATTCCGTTTATGTCCCTTATTTTTGCCTTCTTTTTTGAAAGAATACATTGAGAATCTAATCAATGATACAAATCAACTAGTTTGTGGTGCGGTGTTCCTCGACAGTTTTATTGAGACGCTCGCATGCATGTGTATCTGCTTCATGAAATGTATCGTCGGCGCTATTAAAAAGAAAAACTAGTAATGGGTGGATTGAATATAGCGGAGACCACTCGGACAAGGTCGTAGAACACCAAAAAGAATAGAAAAAACGGAAAGAACCGAACTGAGTCGAAAGCGAACCAAAAAAATATATAGAATGAGCCTATAATTGTGATGCCGAAATAATACATGCGAGTGCGAGTTCGTCTAGATTCCTATTTAGTATAGTAGCGGCAAACCTTGATACTTGAAAATAGCCGATTTTCCGTTTATCCAATGGCTACGCTGACCGCCATCAATCATTGGAAATGTTTTCTAAGCAGCCTGCAGCGGCTTCCGAAATAATCCTTAACAATATTATCGCGTCTTGTTTTCTTTTTTTCTTAGTCAACGTTTTTTTTCCGGACGATTTTTTCAACCGTTATTTGCTCTTCCTCCAGCCTGGCGGGGCGGCAAGGTTGCATTAAAAAATCTCCCCCATGAAAATCACTGACTACCGTTTTTGAGGCATTTGCGCTCACCTCGTTCATCATCTTTTTGTTATTCCGAATCAATGAAGTCTCAAAAAGTATGTATAAGTGTGTGCGAACTAGTTTTGCGTCCGCAACAAATGTCAATTGCATTATTTTTTTCTCGTTTTCTTGTAGCAGTCAATCAGCTCGTCTCGCGAAGACCTACTCTCGGAACACGCCACGTCGCGATCAACCGTCCGTGAGATTCCCGTTCAACGGGCACCATCAACGGCACCATCGCATGCTACAAGCATCCTTGACTATCGAATCATGCCGACTACTACAACAACCTACCATCACGTTGAAACGCCAACAGTGAGTTTTTCAAAATTTTTACAAAATTTGTAGTATTACTATTACCAAGGACATTTTTGATAGGAAAAAGAACATTTTACAAATAATTTTGCAAAAATGAACATTTTTTTGGGGTGACATGGGAAAATCATAGAAATTCACCACAGGTAATGGGTATTTAGTTGAATTCCCAGCGCGGTGTACTAAAAATCATATGACACCATAGTTTGATTCCAAATTAAAATAATTATATGTCTGGTAATTGGTTTGTAATAAATCAGTCCGAAGATCTTATTTCAGAAAACTTGTTTGACAATTTAATGCTTACTATCTCACACGTAAAATCTTGTTTACTCTCTAGTTGTACAAATTTGGTCATAAAAATTTCAACATTAATCGCTGTTTTCTCAAGTTTTAAAATCTCGGAAACCGGCAGACTTTTCGTCAATTTCGAAACCTATAAAAATCATTACGATTTGGTTGTAATGCCTAGAAAAAACCCGTTTTTGATCCAAATATTAAACCGCCACCTCCACGAGGGCATTATTTTTGTCGAAATGTATTAGGAATATACCGATGACTAGTTCTTTCGTAATATTTACAAATGTACAAAACCCAGAATAATTTTTTTTCGTTTTTTTTTCGTTTCTTTTACTCACTCTCACTCACAATTCAATTGTACATTTGTGATAGAACACTGTCATTCACACGTTTGATGGGTGCGCAACACGCCACGGGACAAAAAATCGGTTTCGATGTCTCGTTTATTTGCTCGTGTTGGTGCTCATTTCCTGTCCTGACAAGAACTTCCCAAATTGTTGGCAACGGCTTAACAGGCCTTCTTGAACTATTTGTTCATGATTTTTTTCTTTTCCTTCTGCGCGTTACGGTAGTCGGACGAGTGATGTCAAAACTTTTTCATTCATCACTTGAACAAGTTAAGGCTCGACCTTCAGAACGTCGCCAAATCGCCACCACTTGAATTAACCTAATAACAAATAACCGATCACTTTATTATGTGGAGGCGCTCGCATAGTTTAATACTAGTAATAATAACAATAAATTTTGCTAATTTAAATCTTGAGCATTATCAATCACTCGCACAACATCTTCTGAAAACTCTAACCGCGTTCAACTTGCAGGACGAATATTATCGACGTGAAGTGATGACACGAACAATTATCACGCGAAGCACTGAAGCTTTATCTCAGGTTTGTCCCGTTTTGCTTCTATTTATTTTTCCGCTGCTTCTTCTTTTCTGAATGTGGTTGTGTGAATTAATAGACACTTTAATGTCGCAAAAACAAATTTCGCGGGAAAAATAAATCAATAAGGAAATGCATTTGCTATAGTTGTATATGCATACGTAGAGGTGCGACACGTCGCTGATACCCCTCCATATTTTTGTTCCTACCTTTTATTTCCACGTTGTCAATAGCAATTCCAAAGCAGAATTGATAAAACGAATTGAAGAGCTTGCAACTAGAATTTAAATTTCTATTTTTTTTTTCGTTTTCCTTCTTTCTTCGCTGCATAGACGCATAGAATTAATGAGTACATATGTAAACACTACAAAGCTACGATTTACGATCGACAGGTTCAATCATCTTTTTTTTCCAGGCTCCGCTCGTAAGACCAACATCACCTTTGGATAGATACATTCCGTATACTACAACAACTACCAGTGGTGATGGTAGAACTAGAGAAGAAAGAACTGTAGACTATAAGGTAGTGAAATTTGAGTTTTTGGATTATTAAACAAAAAATTTAATTTTAGGTTACTTATCATCGTGATATTGAGGAAGAGGAAAGACGCATTCGCGAAGATCAAGCTCGTCGTCGTCAGGAAGAGCAGGAACGTCGCGCTCGCGAGGAAGAGAATCGTAGAGCTTGGGAGCAACGTGAGCGCGAAGAGCTCCAGCGGCTACGCGAGCAGCAGACAATGGCTGAGCGCGCATTTGAAAGAAGTGTTGCTGAAAGAGAGCGCGCTGAAAAAGAGCGCATTGAAAGAGTACGAATTGACGTCATACATATCGATATTAAAAACGAATTCCACATTTTAGGACCGTATTGAGCGCCAGAAAGCTGAAATGATTCGACGCGCTGAATGGGAACGTCGTGAAAAGGAGAGAATTGACGCCGAGGAAGCTGAATTGGCTAGAAGACGCGCTTTGGAAAAAGAGAAGATCGAACGAGAGAAGGCTGAAGAAGAAAGAAGAACTCTTGAGCGACTCCAACGCGAAAAAGAACGATTGGAAAGGGAAAGAGCTGAAGCCGAGCGGTTGGAAAGAGAAAGAATCGAACGGTAATATTAAATTTTTATATTTACCATATCATATTATAATGCTCACTTTAACTATGGTTATTATAAATATTCAGCGAGCGCATCGAATTGGAAAGGATTGAACGCGAAAGAATTGAAATCGAAAGAGTAGAGAAGATCAAGCGGGAACGTTTGGAACGCGAACGACGTGAACGTGAGAAGGAACGTGAAGAGGAGGAACGCCTGCGACGTGAACGCGAAGAATTGGAGCGTATTGAGCGCGAACGTCGTGAGCTTGAGATTCGCGAACGACAGGAGCTTGAGAATCAACGGCGGGAAGCTGAGGATCGCGAGCGTCAGCGTCTTGAAGACGAAGCTTGCGAGATGCGTCGCCGAGAAGAAGAACGTCGCGAAGCTGAACTTCTGGCCGATGTTCACAGAAAAGCCGAAGAGCGCGAGCGTCTTAGACGGCGTCAAGAGCGAGAGGAAGCCGAACGATTGGAACGAATTCGTTTGGAGCAACAGAGAATTGATATGGAACGAGCTGATGCGGAGAGAAGAGAGCGCGAAAGGTGTGAATATTCGAAAATGAATTTAATGATTTGATTTTGTTTAGAAGAGAAGAAGAACGTAGGGAGCTGGAACTCTTTGAAGCTGCTAGAAGAAAGAAGGAAGCTCGTGAACGTGAAAGACTTGAGGAGCTTGAACGTGAGCGGCAGCGTAATGAGGAAGAACGAAAAGAGCGCGAACGACGTGAGCAGGAACGACGGTTGGCTGCGGAACGTGAACGCCAGCGAAGGTATGCCGAAGGAAGGAGATGATTTTTTTTCTAACATGGATTCTTTTAGACAAGAAGAAGAGGAAGAGATCGCTAGGCTCAATGAGATTCAAAGAGCTGCTGCGATGCGTCAAGCACAAAGAGAAGCTGAACTTCAGAGGCAACGTGAGCGCGATGAGCTTGACCGTAAAGCGCGTCAACTATCGGAGCTCGAACAGCGTGAGAAGGAGCGCCGCGAGCGGGAGCGTCTCGCCGAAGAGGCGCAACTCGCCGAGCTACGCGAAAAGGAGCGTCGTAATCAAGAGATTCGTGAGCGCGAACGCCGCGAGGCCGCTGAACGCGAGAACAATCGAAGACTTGAGGATCGTCGATCGCGCGATAAACTTGATTATATTGCTCGCGAGCGATCCGAAAAGGAAAAGTTTGAAGCGGAGAAACGGCGACTTCTCGCAGAGAAAGAGGCTATGAACAAGAAGAAGCACCATCTTCTGAGCCATGAAACTCTAGCGAAGCTGACTCAACCGTTGTATTACACTACCAGAGAACCAGAAGTAACGACCAAGGTCGAGAGACAGGTACGAAACAAATTATGATATTGCAATTCAATTATGTGGAATCAATTACAGGTTATTGAGCGTATCGATCGCAATCTCTGGGTGGAAGATGTTCCATTGGGATCCAGTGCACAAAACGCAATCTCCTATTTGGATAATGACGAGAACAATAGAGATAGAATGTACAATCCGAACGATTTGACTAGAAATGGATCTAGCAGGTTGGCACAGATTTCCATAAAGAAAAAAAGGTTTATGTGAAATATATTAATTTAAGAAGCCGCTATCATCGCGCCAAAATGGACAAGGCTCGCCGCGACTTCTACTCGACTGGACAGGATTCGACAGGTCTGGCATGAAGCTAGCATAGTAGAGCCTTTTGTCGTCCGCTTACACTTCTATTATATATTTCATCAACATGAGCAATATTCTAAGAAAACGCACATCATATAGAACATCCTTATGTGTCATTATAGCAATTACCCTTACCATAATTTTTGAGAAAACAATTTCTATTTTCAATCCCTCCCAGTGTTTTCCGTATCATCCATGTGAAGCACCAAGCATGTATTTAACGACTATGAGAAAAAAATGAACGAAAAAAAGTACATCTTTGGGAATGAGTTATGTGCATGAATTTGTTGTGTTCTACCCTTCATATATGTGTTTTTTTTTTTGCATGATTGTTGGCGGTTATCACGAGAAACATGAAACAAAGTCATTCAAATTACACGCCTGATGAAAAAAAGCAAACAAATTGATCATCAGGTAGCAGCTTTTCTAATATCATACTCAAAATTATCACGCTTTTTCTTTTCAAAACTTTCCATGCGCTCGCCATTTCGTTACGTTTTCCTCACTTTTCCGGCCAGTTCTTTTTCTTTTTCGTATCACTCAACAACAACAACAACAACAACAACATGAACACTTTTTCAAGCTTTCCTTTCCTTTGAAATTTTTCTTTGAAATTAAAATTCCATAGATTCTCTACAATAATAATAATATATAATACGTTTTTTTTTAATTCAATCCTTAGAGTGTGAATGGATGGTTTTAGTTTATTTTATCCCGAGAGAGTGTGGTGCCTTTGGTTTGAATTTTCACTGCCCAGCAACCACCAATTTTTGAGAATATAAAGGTGACTGCATTTTAATTATTGCCTAACTATTATTACCTTTTCTTTTTTATGTACTGATTTATAGCTATAATGCCTTATTCAATTATTTTGAGCATTTATTCAAAATAATATCCTCCACTTCTCTTGTATACTACTGTTCATATATTTTGTTCAATGGATAAATATTTGAATAGTGTTGTCCAATATATTTTTTTGTTTTTTTTCAATTATTTATTTTCTGGAGCTTCAAATATGTTCAAAAAATATCGAATGACTGGGTTTGCGTGAATAATCGCCAATGCATGTGAAAAAAATGACATATCATTTGGGACAGTACAAAAGTGCAAAAGTGCAACGATCGAAAAAAACATTTTCGCGGTATTTACCCTGGAGCTTGTGATTGTTAAATGTGGAGTATCCGTGTTAATTTTGTCAGCAGCGACCAGTCGAATTTTTCTTTCGGGAATTTCGATTTTTGTTAATAGACAATACGAAAATAATTGGTAGATCAAACAAATGTGAAGTTGATGGATATTATGACAAATATATAACAAATATACAAAATGTATCCTTATTGTATTATGGACACATTTGAAAAATACAAACAGAGGGGATTTTTTTTAATTTACTCAAAATTCTGAAATGCTCCTATATTTGGTTTGCTCTAAAATGCTGCACAATTAGTTATACCGCTCAATAATTAAAAAAAAAACTTATGTGGTCAATAATTTTCAAGAATCAATTTCAGATCCACTTTCTGACCGTTTCCGCAAATCCAATGACGATCTCACATCTCGCTCGCGTCTTGATTATCGTGGACCGCTTCTTCAGAAATTCCACGAATCAGAATTCCGCACCACCACTTATAATGACACTGATGGTCTGCCATATCGACGAATGGGACCAAGTCCCTATGAACAGGTAAATTTATAACCGTCGCTAATATTATTGTTTTAACCTTTCTCACATCATCTAAAATTGAATTCGGACGTTTTTTTTATTCGACCCCATTGTCTACCTTTATTGAATGCGCTTTGCTTATAATATTTTTGTGATAGCCATTCGCCAAACTTCTCGAAGAGACTGAAAGAAAGTATGCGTTGTACAACAGCCGTGCCAGCAATCCAGGACTTTACTCGCGCTCAAGAACTTATAGCTCCCAATTTATGGATACTAAGGATAGGGTAAGTTTTCAATGTCCGCTTATTGGGGTTTTCTTGTCTTGTTAAATCTTGTCCGTACACGTGCTCGTTAGATTTTATTATATTTGAATGGTCCAAAGGATTTTGAATACATTGTGACGTTTCTATGAACAATCTACTAATTTATTTTTATTATCCTTTCTTAATTTTCAGAATACTGAAACTAACAATAGAGCTGAATCTGTGGTAGCGTATGACAGAGAAGCCCGTCGCGAATCTCCATCAGATGCTGCTCACATTAGAAGCCGCAGCGCTGATTATTTAATGGACAGAAAGTTTGTAATCCAATGATTTATTTTTCACACCAAACATTTGTTAAGAATTCGCGAGGAGACTGAGGTTCCAGAGAATCAGTTGCAGAAGACTAGAGGAGATTCCTCCCCAAGAGAGTCCCGAATCTCAGAATACGAGATGAGATTCCGCAAGTCGACTGAGAAGCTCACCGTGCCGGATTGGTACCGTGAACATCTACCGCAATCGGGAACTACCAATACCAGTTCATATCGGTATTCGGAGACACAGAAAACTCAGCAACACCAACCGGTTGCGGTGACAACCACCACCACAACGACCTCGACACCAATCACACCAGGTGGCGTCGATTTCCCACGCGGAATGTTTGATCGCTATCGCGATGAAATCGAAGACCTCCGACGATCACGATCATCGCTCCATCAAGTTGGACAAGAAGCTGCTCGACAGGTTGTTGCTCTATAAACATTTATTGGTTTGGCTCACTATTTTACCCAATTGTTATCCGCATTTATCAAAACGCTACGCATTTTCCCCAAATGTTGTCCGTGATTTCTTCCCATTAAAAAGTGCTCAACCCCTTTAAAGATGTCAAATTGCAATTTTTCACTTTTTTTTGATAATTGTCAATGACCAACACTTTATAATAATACACCAACCTTTATCCCCGAATCAGCATGGCAATACTTCCCTATTTTGTGTTGTTTATTTGTTTACATAATTGTTTTGGAAATTGTCAGCGTTTCATAAGCATTTCGGTATTATTCCCTAATTGTGATGTACTTATCAAGTATTGTTGTAATAAACTATACATAAAATTTTTTTAATGGGTTTTGAAATGATGAAAATAGACGCTTCGCTAGTCTGCATGTCTCAGTTCGTTTTTTTTTGGTCAGATTTTTTGAAGAAGCTCGTTAGAATTCAAAAAAAATGTATTTAGCGCTTTATTTTAACATGTTGGCCCTTTGTTTCGAACCCTTATTCGTTTTAATACCTGTTTCCTTTTTCGAAAAAAATTTGGACTTTGGAATTATAGGGATCAGCATTGAGTATTTCCGGAAATGACCCGCATCGATCAGCTACGGGTTATACCGTTTCGGAAGTGCCGAATGCGTGGAACATGCAAACCAGTCGCACTTCACGCGTTGTTGAGGTCGCCGACACTTTTGTCGGGACTTCATCACATGAATACGGTAAGCTTTTAACGGTTTTTCGTCCACTTTCAAATGTTGACATATACTTGAAACATTGATATTGCGTCTCAATGATATATAGTTTGTATCGGTCTTTCGAAATTAAGTTTTTTTTTTCCAAATTTTATTTTAGGAAATATTTCAACGAGATACGGAGGAAGAGTGACCGTTGAAGAAGTGTTGGATTCCATCTTCCAGAAAGCGCCCCCAGTAGATCCAAGAAGTCGGCAGACCGATAAGAGGTGTTAATCTTTTGGAACTGTCAAAATAATTTTATATTCAAGTTATCCTCAAGCCGACGAGGTTTACCAAGGAAATCTGGATGGTCCAAGCATTTATACCAACAATTACAACGTTATGAGACAAGTGATCAAGCAGCCAGATAGAGCTGAACATCTTCTAGAGTATGATTTTAAAAATAATCTTGATATAGCCGAGCGACATTTTTAGGAACGAGGAGCTTTATGTGCGCTGCGCTGAGTGTCACAGAACACGCGAATTGTCCGCAGCACGCCTTCAATTTGTTTCATGTAAACATTGCTACACCTATTATTGTTCAAGAGAATGCAGGTAACCACTTTGTTGCAACAAAAAAGCGTAAATTAACTTGCAAACTTCAAAATTTGTAGGCTCAACAATTGGAAGCATCATTCGGGACGCTGCTCATTTGCTCGAATCAACACATTGTGCAAAGACGTGATTATGAAGGTTGGCATTCATTTGGCGCAAGTTAATCCGTTCCCAAAACATTTGATGTTTCAGGTTCGCGAGGATGAAGAAGCGCAAGCATTTATGTCGAAAGTCGCTCGCGATGGATTTGCAAGCGGCGGACGTGGCAGTGTGAATATTCGGCTAGCGTCGCCGCAAATCGCGCAAGTATGCAAATACAGATTAATATGACTGAATAATGATGATTCATTTTTCATTGTCAGGCGTATGTGAGCAATGGATGGCGAGCGTTGTCCGGAATTCCGCTTAATCAATTGCTTTATTATTACACCGTTGCTGCGCTGGTGCAGGAGAAAAAGGAGCCGTCATTGATAGCGTTGTGTCGTCGCTATGAGCCGAGAGAGAAATTCATTCTCTCCGTGTCCATTATTGCTGATATCGAACACTGTCCGGAAACTCCGCCTCCAGAGACACGCGAACTCTTCGGATCAGCACCGTTCTCTTCGCCGCGTGCTCGTTATGAAGCTATCTCAAATACGCCATATTTCTCTGATGTAGCTCACAATGTTTAATGGATCTTTTAGTCAACTAACCAATCATTTTTTCATTATTTTTTCCCGTGATCTACCAAATATGTTTTGTGATTTTAAAAAATTAACTATGATCATTTATTTGATATGTTTTACGCCATTTTTCCGCAAATATGCCATACTGCCTAGTTTTAACATTGTGGAGGATTAATAAATCAAGAATTGTTGGAAACCCTGCACAGATTTTTTCCGAATGCGTTCGACAGGGAACGTGTTCTACGTGCATGAAACAATAATTAAATTTTAGTTGTGATGTCAAAAGATAATAATCTGGGTATTTTTTTTAGAAAACGTATCTATTCATATTTTATGTATAAAACTATTATGTATAAAATATGGCCCATTTTAGTATATGGACGGCATTCTTAATTTTAATAATTATTGCAAGGCCGCCGTTAAACTGAGGGCGATGCCTACATGGAACCTTGTGAGTTCTATTGTCCATTGAAAAAAAGACTCGCATAATCTTCAATAATCTGTTCGAAAAGATAAAATAGAAATGAGATTTGAAAATGTTTCATGGATTATGGTTATTGGGCAACTAAAAACGCATATATTTTCTGAGAAAGAATAGTTTGCAATTTTGAAAAGAAAAAAGACTTCATAGAGGCGGAAAGTTGGCAATTGGAAACAGCTGGATGTTTTCAGTTTAATTTTTCATAAAAATTTTTAAAGTAAGAGCATCCATCAGGAATCGATTTGTGATATTTTATCTTTTTCTATATGCTTTTTTTACTTTCAGAATTCTTAAACTCAAATTTGGAAGATTTTAAATTATTTCTGTACTAAGAAACATCCATTTCAGTGTAATGAAATTCGCTGCTAATCGCCCCTGATCTGATTAATCATCATCTAATATTTTCAGATTTACTTAATCGATGTACATCAGTACATTTATTATATTTATAGTAAATTTATTATAAATTCTCCTTATAAATTTTCAAATCTTCATATGAAATTTTCGGAGGTCACACTCAAGTAAGGTTACAAAACCGGTAATAAAGTATGCGTTTATTGCAAGTCCAACGTTTTCCATTCATTCAAACTAGTAGTAACCGATAACTATATATATTTTTTTAATGTTGTTAATTAAATGACTTATAATTTGATGGCAAGATGTTCTAAAAAGTGAAGAATTTACTCAGTTTGAACTGTCGAAGCACCTTCTAGAAAACAAGAAATTTTATAATCCTTAAAGATTAAAGATATTAAATTAGAGATTAAAAAGTCAGTGACATAATATTCGAGAAGTATTTTTTAAACATAAAAATCTTTCGATGACAGCCAATTTCTAGATGACTAATTCTTGCCGTTCGTTTTTGTTTGAGACCCTTTCTCGAATCAATTTCAGCCACTCGATTGTGATGCCTTGTTTATTAATGAGAATTCAGAAAAAAAAGTGCAGTGTCTGATGTCGCCGCGGGCATATATATATACAATATTTTATGCAATTCGTTGTCTTCAGTCTGATTGCTATGTCTTTTTTTTATCGTGTAGTCGGCTCGCAATCAAATTTGTTTTCCCATTTTTGGAAGAAATATTTTAATTTCGTCTTTACGCCAATAATATCACATCATAGTTTCCTGTGTTGTTGACAAATGTCACATCAAAGTGTTGCGAATGTTAAGATGCCCGCGGGGCTCGTTTCGTTCTTTTTTTTTTGAGAATTATTCTAAACTTCAGACATCGGCTTAATGGCTCGGCAATCATGTCGTTTCGTTGCTGCTCTGTTCCAAAATAGAATCAATCCAAAATTTCGAAAATTTCTGCGCGAGACCTGACCATTCTTTTCTTATTTATTAAAGCGTTTTCGCGAATCTCATGAAAGCACAATTTTCTCGAGAGCATCGAAAAAAATTAAAATGTGAAAATAAATCTTGAAACCCTCAATTGAAAGAGGAATCCTTGCCAATTTTTATAGGTTCCAATATCATCGTATATGTATACATTCGTGCCTCCAAAAAGAGCTTTTGGATATTTATCATCAATTTCGTGAACTAATAGATAAGCATAGTTAATGAAAAATAAATAAAAGTATGATTTCACAACATATTTATTATTGTTATTCAATTATATACTCATTTGCGAATATCCAGATAGAGACTAAAGTCCATAAAAGCGATTCCTATTAATTCTTGTCGGCTTAGCTAAAATCTGCAAGTTGTTTGCTCCCATATATTCACCATTGCTAGTGTTTTCTTAATTTGTTTGAAAAATATGTATTGAACGAGATGGCTCAAAACGAGAACAAAAAAGGGAAGAATTCTTGAGAATCGAAAATGGGTGGGACGTTAACTAGGGCTAATTTCGGCGTCATTTTTTTGTGCGTGTGCTGCTCTGTGCTCCGCAATGCTCCCCCGCAGACAATTTATTGTTCCATTATATCACCGTTTCTCAAAGGCTGTTTGTGGATTTTCTCAATAATTTTTAAAATCATAATCAAATCTTCGGCGGGAATTTCAAATAGTTTTTACACGAACAATCATTGTTTCGCACTTGTCCTTTTTTTTTCTTGAGCTCCGCTCCCGCAACATTTTTGATTTACTAACCAAATTGACTTGAGTGTCCGACGCAGTGAAATCTTTTCCTGATGCGATGTGGTAGAGTACACAATAACATATGCAAATTCAGCAAGTATATGAAGTTCCCCTCTCTACAACATTTGTGGCCGCATTTATTTAGAATTGCATTTTGTTTCTTGAGAAATTTTGCTTCTTTCTTCTTTTTTTTGTCTTCCATCAATTCGCTTCAGTTTTGAGTGATTTTGACAAGAGTATGTTCGAATATCAGGCGTTATTTTGAGATATGCGATTAATATTCCAAAAAAAGTGTTATTTTCCATTTATATGGAAATTTTGATTATAACATATAGTCGGCGTCCGGCGAGTGTTGTACGCGGGTAGATTTACGGGGAATGCGCCTTTCTCTTGGTCTCGCACGGACTAACAGGTTTTTTTTTTGCATTTTATGGGTCAGCTAGATAATTTTTTAATCTAATAACTTTGGAAATTCAGGGAAATGCCAAACTGAGCAAGAAAAAATTGGTCGTTCTCACGAAAACAGCAGAATAAGCGTTCACACGTGGCGAGACCTTTTCAAGGCACATGCGCGTAAATCTACCCGCCTACAGTAGTAGCCGGACGCCTACTATACTTCGCAATAAAGAAATATGTGGAACATCTATTTAACGTTATTGTATAGTCGGCATCCGATGACCGCTCTATGCGGGTAGATTTACGCGCGTGCTCCTTGAAAAGGTCGCGCCAAGCGTGAATGCTTTTTTTGCTGTTTTCGCGTGAACGGTTAATTTTTTCTTGATGAGTTTCGCATTTCCTCAAATTTCCAATCGATATTCGATTAAAAAATTTTCGAACCGGTCCATAAAATTTGAAATAACCTGTTAGTACTTGCAAGACCACTACGAAAGACGTAAATCTACCCGCGTACAGCAGTCGCCGGACGCCGACTACACTACTTTAAGAAATATACAATAGACTATAATTTTCACAAATGTGTGTTTTTTTGGTGAAACATTTTGCACATGAGAACTATTAAAATATGAGAAGATTTTTTCAGCAGTAAAATTAGGCAATTCTCCTTCACGAGTTTATTTTTCTTTCCCAGTTTAGATACAGACCTTCAGCCAACAATATATATGCTTTAATTTAAATATTGCTTTAATTGATTTTACTGCCAATTGTATTCATTTCAAATTATAATTGTTAGGATGATAGAAAATATTATGTTTTTTTTTCGATGACTTTCTTTATTGATGATGTCTGGAAATAATTTCGAAAATTGTTGTGTCGTTACCCTCAAAAATAAAACCACCCAAAAAATCTTGTTCTCGCAGGCGCCAATAAACATGTGGGAACATTGGTTGTGTCTATCATCGATTCGTCTTTTGATCTTCTTGGCACCGAACAAAAAAATACATTTGAAGCACATCGTATTCCAGATTATTCCCTCTAGAAGTTTATCCAAACACGCAAAAAAAAAGTTTATGAATATTTCCGTTAGAAAAAATCGAATTAGGCAGTTGCGCCGACTGATTTTTGATTTTTCTAAAAACGTAAGAATAGTTTTTTTGAATGTTTTTGGGTTATTTTAATATTACCTCCTCAACGTCACCATTAAATTCTTAAATCGGAAACATTTAAAATTCTGATTTTTTTTTCTAAATATCCCATTTGTCATAAATAATTTCAACCTTCATGGAGAATTTTCCATTTTTCCACATTAGTTAGTTATCAGGGAGTCGGATTTTTTCCTTTTCAAATCCAAACTAGAAACGCTTAATTTTCCATTGAAAAGTGCACTTGAATCAAAAAGATGACAAAATTCAACATCCAAATTGAACAGAATTTCTGTTTCATTTGTGTCCCATTGGAACTCTATTGGGACACTTAAAGCTAATCAATTCAAGAAGCAGATTCGATGAAAACTTGGCCGCAATTTTTTGTCTAAACATTTAAAAAACGATTTTATTGAAAACAAATTTTTTTCTATTCGTCCCTCACCTACTCGACGTGTTATTAATAGATTTTTATTTGAAAAATACTAGTGAGAACCGGAAATTGAGATTCGCGACGATTTCATTTTTCTTTCAATTTCGCTTACAATGATGCCATTTTTTGAATCACATTAACCCAGAATTGGCTCTTCGTGCTTTCTTAGGTGACAATTACTATGCGCCTCAAATATTCACCTTTATCTCATTTTTATTGCATTTCCGGTCCTTCCAATATTTTTGGGTGTTTTTTTTTTTTCAAAAAGTGCACGCAGCCTTATATAGTCAAAGTGTATACTTGTTGACACATATCAGAAAAAAAATTAAATTATGAATCATATAAAAATTATATTTTTCAATTATGCCGAACAGGATCTAAAGAACATAACAATTTTTTGACTTTTCTATATATATTATTTTCCCTTGACGAAAAAACGAAGAAAGTTTGAAATTAAATGATTCATTTGAAAAG